TGCAAACTTCGACGTGCCGACTCATGACAACGAGTGACTGGACGAACCGTCACCGAAAACTGAGTTCCGGGCCCCGAAGGTCTGGCCACGATCGCCAAAACCAAGCGGTTCCTGGCCACGATGCATGATGCGAGCTGGCAGTTTGTTTGTGGTTGATTAACCTCGTTCAGCATCTGACGGCATCGTCTCAGTTGACAAGGAAGCCTCATCGAGGTTCGTCTGGACGCAGATGCTGTCGGTCTGGCCGCTTATGGCCACGATTGCTGAAGCCTGAGCATGATGTGGCTATTCGTCTTGGCGATCCCATCGTCGCAAATGAGTGAATGCCCTTTCGTTTGAGACTGTGTCCCAATCGTCCAACTATTCGTCTCGAAATCACCTAATATCTGCAACGCAAACTCACCTTCCCACGGCGGCTAAGTAATTGTAAACACCAGGCCTGTAATCTCTGCGGGGAGCATGAGTCACTTGTTGACGTCGATATCTTCCAAGAGGCGAAATTGACGCCATCGTGAGCACGGGTGGCCTTGTGCAGTATTTGTATTCCGAGGTTGGTCTCCATGGCACGAGTCAGAAAGCTCAGGTTCAGCCTCCGTTGAGGTTGTGCGATAGTCCCTGCCCTTAAGCAGACTTTCTCGAAGGCTTTCGTCTGATGTTGCAACTGTGATCCCTTCTCCAGCTTGACACATGATATCCTTCCACGCCCGAGACACGTCATTCGAGGCTCGGCTTTGCCTCTTCGGCCATGCCCATTGACTTCAATCGGGCTTTTTATAGTCCCCTGATGCCGCGTCGTCCTCCACATGCCGCTCAAGGTGTCGCCCTGGAAGCACTCAACGTCTTCGGATCCTTCACGGCCCCTGAACCGATAACATCGGCAAACTTCTCGCGACGGTCATAGCATTGAGTTGCGGGAGGCCCCTTTACCCCAGGCTGTCGATCACACTCACGAGCAGTGTCCTCTCTGTTACAAAAGGCCCGCTGGAGTGGAGGCTTCAAACAAAAGAGAAAGACGGTGTGCGAGTGTTGGCATCGTGCCAGGGCTGAGGATCGTGGAGTTGGTAGACTTCCACCAACCAGCGCCACGGTTCTGATTGCTCCAGCCACCTTGATGCAACGGCCTTGCCGACGAGTTTTTCCAAAAGTCCTCGACCGACCCGCTGTTGTTGCTCCGAAGCAGGTACCCGTAAATGCGCGGAAGAAGAAGGTTGCAGACGGGGCCGGGAGCCGGAAACCCGCTTGGGAACATGTCACGAACTGCGCAACAGCAACAGAAAGCTTGTCGTTCCTGTCAGGCGTCCAAAACTCCGGCGGAGCAATTAGCAGTTACCGGAAGAGACGAACGCAGCGGAGAGTTTCCTTCGCGCGGCGTTCAAGGCTGGAGCCCTTCATCTTGTGTATCTCTGGTCGGGGAGGTGACCGAGCCGAATCCGGGCCGCATCTGAGGGCTGGGCAGCCCGAGTCAGCGCTCTCAACATCGGTTCTGCAGGACCCGGTGGCCGCCCCTCCGGAACAGGCCCGCTGGAGACAAACACATGCGGCTGTGTTTGCTGATAGGGCAGAGTCGGCTGCACAGCTGACGGGCCCTCGTTGTTCGTAGTCATGTACCCGACATAGTTGCAGGTACTAAATGTACAGTCAGCGTTGGAGCAAGTACATGCGAGTATTACATGAAAGCCAAAGTTCAAGACGAGCACCGGATCTGGCCGTAACCGCGGAGGAATAGTGGCGAGGCGCTGGCAAGCGTTTGCTGGCGTCAGAGGAGCCTCTTTGTCGCTTCGTGGGCGAGTAGCTAGCGCCAGGGAGCCAAAAGTAAGGGTCTCGGTATGCAAGCCGTACGCCATCCAGCTGTGCGTGCGGTTTGTGCCTATGCCGTGCTGTACCGCGCGATTCGATGCGAGGCAAGGCGAAGGGTGAGTGGATGCACCGCCTCAGCCCCAGCCGATCAGCCCCAACCCAATCTTACTATTTTTGGACCTCTCTCTCCTGACGAATCGCCGTGAGCCGAAGCCCGTATCCGTAGAAAATGCAGGTACTTGCAAAGCGACAAACGAAGACGACGGGATGCGAAAAGTGCGAAGGCGATTGCTCGCAGACTGAACCTGAATCTCCGATCATACGGGCGCATACGTATGCAGACGAGGCAAAGCTCGGATGGGATTCCAGCTGTTGTTGCCGTTGCGACGCATTGTGAAAGAGAAAACGGGGTGTCGTTGCCGGGCGAGGGTACCTAACAAAAGGAAGTAGTAATTAGAAACAGAGGAGAAAAGGCATTGCGGTGATGGACGTGTTCGAGACATCGGGCTGCACAAATGGGGAATCTGGGCCGTGTGGTGGAAACAAGACAGCCATCAGCGGGTTCCAGGCGCGACGACGACTGGCGGGTGAGATTTGAGTCTCCAGGCGGGATATCATAAGGATATTCTGACAAGCGACGGCAGGTAAGGTCTGTAATAAGGTAATTTTGATGGTTGATGGAAGGGATCCTCTTGATTCCTGCCAATCCAATGTTGGCATGGTAATTCAAGGTTGCTGGCTGCTGGTGGCTGCAGTGAACTGTGTGAAGGTGAGTGCCAGGCGGCAGGTCGTTCTCAGCTCCCAAAGCCAAGTATTTGGTTAGGGCGGGCAAGGCGTTTCAGAATGTTCGTGGAATCCTGAAGATCCCGGAACATAAGTGGGCCGTTAGCAAGTACACGCGTCTCACCTAAGGTACCTTAGATGCAGAGCGTCACACCAGCTGCGCTGCTAACAGCTCAATGTCCTTCCTCGGTGCAATTCACCTGCTCAGAGTATGCACTCGCCTTATTCAGGGTCTGTCTCTCGTGCCTTCTGGTTACATACCGGCGGTAGGTAGACTGTCAGGCTGTCTCTGCCGCAGCTCACCAACATCAGTGATCCCGTCATCTGGTGACATCCCATCAGCCTGCCAGCTGGTTTCTCCCAGGAGCAGTCCAATAGGCGTCCTCGATGACTTGGGAATGCTTGTCAGCCGGCTTGCAGGTTGCCGGGTTCGGTCTCCCGTCAGCTTCCTGATGGACAAGGAAGCTACAGCAAATGGGTACCCTACGCTGTTTTGATGCCTGTCTCCAAGGTGCTGAGTGCGAAGTCTGACCTGACAACAACAAAGATGAGATGGAAAAAAAAAAAAAAAAAGGTCGAGAGACTCCGAACCAAGCCACACTTGGAGGAATATGAACCTCCACGGGGACGGGCCCTCCTGGCGCAGCAATTCCACGTCGCTGTTCGTAGGTCGAGCCAATGACAGCCAAGGATGATGGCTGATGCTGGTGGTGGCACGACAGATGCCGACAAAAGGGACGGCGTCCTTTTTAGCTCTGCTCTCTCCTTTTGCTCGCGGCAAGGAGCGTGACACTTGCGAATGAGCGACAACTGGGCTGCCTCGAATTCCGTGTCCGTTGTTACATCCCCCTCTCTTAACCCCTATTGAAGGGCTTTGTGTGGACGACTGAGCATTGATTGCCAGGTGTTTCTGGTTTCTGGTTTCTGGAGCAGATCCCATCCCCTAATGGATCGAATGAAGGTGCAAGACCAAGGGGGTACGCGAGATGCAAGGGCCAAGGGAGCAACGACCGGGGGTTTCGGCTGCGAGCCTGCGTGAGTGCGTGACGTAGTTGGCCCCGGGCCCAATTCTTTTTTTTTCTCGACTGCCGTGTTTTGGTATTTTGACTGGCTGGACTCGCCGCTGGTGGTGAGCTGCAGGACAACCAGCAGCTTGCTTGTTCTTGTTCGGGGCGACAGAAAGGAGACAGCATCGGTTGTCCTGTGCCTGGCTGGCAACGTTGAAGAGAATGCGATGGACGTCTTCCCTGCGGTGGATGACGGACTTGACCACCCGGTGGCCTGGGGACGAGACTTGTGCCGGCCTGTCCCAGCCAGTCCGTCTGGTGTCTGTCACTAGGTAATTAGCTGATTGAGGTAAGGTAATAGTAAAGGTAGGCTGCTCTTGCTCTTGGTGCACCGACTCCTCTGATGTCTGCATCATGAGCATGAGCATGGCAGTGAGCCGGGTATGCTGGTCCGAATTCTTGGTCTGCGCGTGCTGTTCTTCGGATTCCAAGGTCGATGGTCCCTGTTTCTGGCCCTCAGGTGCTGCTGGTCACTCGCTCGTGTGCGTCTTCGGGTGGTATTGTCTTGTTCATCGTGCATCAGCAGGGCCGACGCGATGCCTGGTGCTAAGCAGCGCTAAGCCACAGCTTCCCCAGTCTGTGTTGACGTGAGGTGAGAGCCGATGGGGCAGCTAAATGAAAGTACCTGCGGGAGGAAGCCAAGTACTTCCCGTCGTGTCTGCCTTCAAAGCTAGGTATGGAAGGTACATCTCGCCTGCAGACAAGAACCGGGGAAAAAAGTGACTTCTCCTATTCCATCTCATGTACCTCGTCAGAAAACCGAAGAGTGAGAGAGAGACAGAGCAACATAGCAACGAAGCAGAGAAAGCTCACCGTCACCGCAGCTTCGCTTCTAGTCCACACTCAGCCCAGTCGGGCCAATCCCAATGCTATTCTGATCCAACCAAGCCATCCTCCACTGACTGGCGCTGCCACCACCCAAAACTTCCCTTCCCATCCTATCCTAACCCATCAGCAAGGCCGCCAGCCCGCAAGACCCTTTTTTAACCATTTGCTGCCCCGTCCTGCATCACCACCCTCTCCCCTTCTACTCCTCTTGACCCCCCAGCCCTTCCATCAATCTCATCCTTCTTTTTATCCTTCGGTTCACCATTCGTTACTGGGGTTGTGGCTTTCACGGCCGCACATCTCCTACCGACCTACAGGGCCTTTGTTCGCGCAAACGCGTGACACCTCAAAACTCCTCCCATCCCATCTCATCTTCCCTGACCTGGGTCTTGTTTACTTCTGCTCTCTGAAAAGGGACATAATCGACCCTCCCTAATCTGCCCGGCAACAATCTGGAAAACCCTTCCCGACTGCCGCAAATATCATCACCAGCATTCGATACGCCTGAGCTCACCGACAGCAATCATGGATTACCGCGGGGGGCACGGTAACGACTACGATGGCCATAATTTGCAGGACCTTCCTCCTGGCTCTGGCAGAGGAGTAAGCTTCAACCTCTCAAGCGCGAGCTTCCTTCAAACCTTTCTTCAGCTTCTGACCTGTTTACTTCGCAGTACCAAATGCAGCCTCAAGAAGAGGGCCATGACGAGGCCGGCCAATCTCTGTTGAGAGACGACGGCCCAACTTCCTACGCGAGCCACCTGGGACCTGCCGAGACTCCTGGCCGTCCCGTTTCCGCATACTCTCTCACAGAATCATACGCTCCCGGCGCTGGCGCGCGGACACCAGTCCCCGGTGAGGCGGCCTTTTCCACTGGCTACCGCTCCGAGCTTGACTCTGGTGACGGCGGCTTTGGTTATGGACGTCCCGCTTCCACCGTGGGCGACGCCGAGGACAGCTGGGTTCGCCGACAGCAGCCCGGTGGTCCAGGTGGTGGTCTGAAGCGTTACGCGACCCGTAAGATCAAGCTCACTCAGGGCTCCGTCCTGAGCATTGACTACCCCGTACCCAGTGCTATCAAGAACGCTGTTCAGCCCAAGTACCGCGATGTCGAGGGAGGCAGCGACGAGTTCCACAAGATGCGCTACACCGCCGCGACCTGCGACCCCAACGACTTCACTCTCAAGAACGGTTACGACTTGCGCCCCAGAATGTATAACCGCCACACTGAGCTTCTCATTGCCGTCACCTACTACAACGAAGACAAGGTGCTTCTGTCCCGTACCCTCCACGGTGTCATGCAGAACATTCGCGACATCGTCAACCTCAAGAAGTCTACTTTCTGGAACAAGGGTGGCCCCGCTTGGCAGAAGATTGTCGTCGCCCTCGTTTTCGACGGTCTCGACAAGACCGACAAGAACGTCCTGGACGTTTTGGCTACCATTGGTGTCTACCAGGATGGTGTCGTGAAGAAGGACGTTGACGGCAAGGAGACGGTCGCTCATATCTTCGAGTACACCACCCAGTTGTCCGTCACCCCCAACCAGCAGCTCATCCGCCCCGTCGACGATGGCCCGTCGACTCTGCCGCCAGTCCAGTTCATCTTCTGTCTGAAGCAGAAGAATACCAAGAAGATCAACTCTCACAGATGGCTCTTCAACGCCTTCGGCCGCATCCTGAACCCCGAAGTTTGCATTCTCATCGACGCCGGTACCAAGCCCAGCCCTAGATCGCTTCTCGCGCTCTGGGAAGGCTTCTACAACGACAAGGATCTCGGCGGTGCTTGCGGTGAGATTCACGCAATGTTGGGTCGGGGCGGCAAGAAATTGCTCAATCCTCTCGTCGCCGTCCAGAATTTCGAGTACAAGATTTCCAACATTCTGGACAAGCCTCTCGAGTCCTCTTTCGGATACGTCTCCGTGTTGCCCGGTGCTTTCTCCGCCTACCGCTTCCGTGCGATTATGGGTCGCCCGCTTGAGCAGTACTTCCACGGTGACCACACGCTGTCCAAGATTCTCGGAAAGAAGGGTATCGATGGAATGAACATTTTCAAGAAGAACATGTTCTTGGCCGAGGATCGTATTCTCTGCTTCGAACTGGTCGCCAAGGCTGGCCAGAAGTGGCACTTGTCCTACATCAAGGCCGCCAAGGGTGAGACTGATGTGCCCGAAGGCGCTCCCGAGTTCATCTCCCAGCGTCGTCGTTGGCTCAACGGTTCTTTCGCTGCCTCGCTCTACTCGCTCATGCATTTTGGTCGCATGTACAAGTCCGGCCACAACATCATCCGCATGTTCTTCTTCCACGTTCAGCTCATCTACAACATCCTTCAGGTTCTCTTCACATGGTTCAGTTTGGGTTCATACTACCTGACGACGACGGTTATCATGGATCTCGTCGGCAACCCGGTCACCTCGGACGACCCTTCGTTGGAGCGCCACGGCTGGCCCTTCGGCGACACCGCTACTCCCATCGTCAACGCCCTGCTCAAGTACCTGTACCTGGCCTTCGTTATCCTGCAGTTCATTCTCGCTCTGGGTAACAGACCGAAGGGTTCCAAGTACACCTACATTGCCTCTTTCATCGTCTTCGGCCTGATTCAGTGCTACATCCTCATTCTCTCGGCATACCTGGTCGTGAAGGCGTTCCAGAAGCCTATCGGCGAACAGATCAGCTTGGATTCTGGTGAAGACTTCGTTGCTAGTTTCTTCGGAGGCACCAATGCTGCTGGTGTGATTCTCGTCGCCCTGGTTACTATCTACGGGCTTAACTTCCTCGCATCCTTCATGTACCTCGACCCCTGGCACATGTTCACCTCGTTCCCTCACTACCTGGTGCTCATGTCTACCTACATCAACATTCTCATGGTCTACGCCTTCAACAACTGGCACGATGTATCATGGGGTACCAAGGGTTCAGACAAGGCCGAGGCGCTTCCTTCCGCACAAGTCAGCAAGGGTGAGAAGGACGAAGCCGTGGTGGAAGAAATCGACAAACCGCAAGAGGATATTGACAGTCAATTCGAATCGACTGTCAAGCGTGCTCTGGAGCCATTCAAGGAGGAAGAGGAGATTGAGAAGCCCGACGTCGAAGACTCGTACAAGTCTTTCCGTACCGGTCTGGTTGTGTCATGGCTTTTCTCCAACACCTTCTTGATCATTATCATCACGAGTGATAACTTCAACTCGTTTGGCATTGGCGTAAGTTCTCGACTTTATCGATATTCAATGACATTGAGACTAACATTTGCCAGAAATCCGCATCCTCGCGTACCGCCTCCTACTTCAGCTTTTTGCTGTACGCCACCGCTGTTCTCTCCCTCGTCCGTTTCTTCGGTTTCCTGTACTTCCTGGGCAAGACAGGTATCATGTGCTGCTTCGCCAGACGATAATCGCAGTAAACCACGTTCTCGAGGGCTGCGGACGTCCCCACGTCGTTGTATGGATACCAGAGGAGAGACTGTACTCTTGCCATATTTGGCTCATTTCCAGGAATCCTTCGGTGTTTGCATTCAGGGTATGTGTTTTTAGTAATAAAGGGCACGGGACTCGACAGAGATTCTTGACGAAATGACCAGAAGGGTCAGTAAAAGTATGCGGCTAGTAGCATTCCGGGCGTTTATATGACTCGATAGTCCTACTTCACGAAATGAATTAAGAATACCAAAATCCCGAATTGAAGACTGCTTGTTCGATAGATGAATCCAGTGATGTCAAGTCACCTGACCAATACAGTTTGCTGACAGACAGGCGCTCCAAAAACCTTGCCGATGTTCTGAACCAACAGGCGGCTAAGGTAGCTGCGGAAAGCGGGTCCGGCAAAAGACCGGTTGAACCAGGCTCCTATCTTATCGCGAAGTAAGTGACCGCATTGACTGCTGCCCAGTTGGTTCGCCCAAGGCTGCCTTTGCTGTGGCAAGAATCACGAATCTTCCGACGACCGACGACCGACGACACCGTTTTGGGCCAGCCGGTATACTCTGGTCCGCAAGGTCTTGCTAGTAATACTTCAACTACAACTCCGTCCGCGCACTTCTCTTTGACGCTCCGTCATCCACGCCTTTCTCGCGACTGCCCCACCAACAAACCCCCCATCAACATTTCCCCTCCAAAGATCGGTCAAGATGTTAAAGATCTGGTCTATGGTTCGTTGGCCGGCGCATCCCGCCACAGAAGCACACTGCTGACCCCAACACAGAAGAAGGAACAGCAAAAGGCTGAAAATGCCGACGCTGCAGGTGGCAAGAAGAAGAAGGTGACGGCTGCTCAGTTGCGGGTGCAAAAAGGTGAGATTACCCCAGGAATCACACGAGAGGCCCCCAACGCTTACGAATGGCGTCTACAGATCTGTCGGAGCTTTCTCTCGGCTCGACAATGAAGACAGACTTCCCCGACCCCGACGACATCCTCCACTTCACCCTGACGATCGAGCCGGACGAGGGCATGTACCGCACGGGACGCTTCAACTTCTCTTTCGACATCAACCAGAACTTCCCTCACGAGCCGCCAAAGGTTCGCTGCAAGGAGAAGATCTACCACCCCAACATTGATCTGGAGGGCAAGGTCTGCCTGAACATTTTGCGTGAGGACTGGAAGCCGGTACTGAACTTGAATGCCGTTATTGTCGGACTGCAGGTATGCGTGCGCGCTTCCTACGTCACATGAAAAGCTGACTAAACGGTGTTTCCTATCATACAGTTCCTCTTCCTCGAGCCGAACGCCTCGGATCCCCTGAACAAGGAAGCCGCCGAAGATCTCAGACTCAACCGGGAGGGCTTTAAGCGCAATGTCCGGACGGCGATGGGTGGTGGTACCATCAAGGGGGTGAGCTACGACCGTGTGCTCAAGTAGCGGGATGTACCGGATCACCCAGCGTTCCACCGACTTTGGGCCCGCCCCGAACGTGGATAGGTCCGAGATTCTAGATGCCTGGGATTTGACGGCGTCTCTAGACGACTGTACCCTCGACACATCAGAGGCTGGCGGGCTTGTTTTGGACTTCCAGGCTGTGTGCGGTCGGGATCGCGGCGGGCATTGGGGCAGAGCATCATCGTCCGGCGTTCATGGATACATACAAGATTACGAATTACAGAGAGGCGAACATTTGGCAGAGGCATCCATTCAGTCTGGCTAGAGAAGATAATATCTGCGTAGGTGGACTGAGAGCAGAACCTGAGCAAGGTGTCCTGGCAGCGGCAGCGGTAGCGGGAGAATCCGACCAAGCGAAGCAGACATTTTGGCGAGAGGTCGCAAAGCAGTTGCGGCAGAGTAGTTAGAGGTTATCCGGAATGCAAAGAGCGTTGACAAGTATGATACAAGAGCTGCAACCAGAGACCAATCCTCAGCGTTTCGTTTCTCAAGCTCCCTAGAGGCAATCAAGCACGAAGAGTCACATCATGTCGGACGAGGAGTCATAAAGGGCCGGATAGTACTCTAAACATAGGCCGCAGGCCGGGACCGCAGGCGCAGCTAGGGGCCGTAGCCGGCGAGGTGGATGTCGGTGAGACCCCGCCAACGGTCCATCGTGTGTGACTCCCAGCTGAGGATTGGGCTACGAAGTCGGCGCTGTGGGCTTGTCTGCCCCGCAGCGCCCGCCTCGCCGGCAATAACGTTGATTGCTCCCCCGAAGTCTTAGGTAAGGTCGCTGTCAAATAGGAATGCATTCAGGTAGAGGCTACCCCGACTTCGCAGCAAAGTCCCTGCTTTCTCCAAAGTCCCCAGTACCCGCCATCCCACTTGACGGGCGCTTCACGGCCCCCTACCGAACCCCGGACGCTTCAGAGCCTTCCCCACCACGGGCACAGGCCAGGAGGGCCAGACGACGCAGTCTAACCCACCGTTGAGGCAAGCTGGGCCGAAGTCGGGGGTCAGCTTGCCCGTCTCTAATCCAGTAAAAAATTTCCCAATTCCAAACGCCTTTTCCCATCGGTGAACTCTGTCTTTTCTCATCATCCCAATCTCTCCTCCTCTTCTTCTTCCTTACAATTGACTTGTACGGATCCCCTCTCCACTCCCCTCTCCCCCCAAACCACAGTTCACAATGGCCTCCCGCGGTTTCTCCAAGGCCCTTCGGCCCATGGCTCGCCAGTTGGCGGCTAAGCCTGCTACCCAGCAGCGCACCTTCGTTGCTGCCCGCAGCTTGGTTCGTGCCTCTGCTCAGGTCTCCAAGGCCTTCGCCGGCCAGCAGCAGACCCGCGGTGTCAAGACCATGGACTTCGCCGGCCACAAGGAGGACGTCTACGGTATGCGAGAGACCCAAACGAGTCCCAGACGACTGACTCGCGAGCAATTGCTAACTCTCATGCCACAGAGCGTGCCGACTGGCCCCAGGAGAAGCTCTTGGTGAGTCACAAAAGAGCAATTGAAGCAAAACGAGCGCAATTGGAGCTAACAGCCATGTTCAGGAGTACTTCAAGAACGACACCCTCGCCCTCATCGGCTACGGCTCCCAGGGCCACGGCCAGGGCCTGAACCTCCGTGACAACGGCCTCAACGTCATTGTTGGTGTCCGCAAGAACGGTCAGTCCTGGAAGGACGCCCAGCAGGATGGCTGGGTTCCCGGCAAGAACCTGTTCGACGTCGATGAGGCCATCTCCCGCGGTACCATCGTCATGAACCTTCTCTCCGACGCCGCCCAGTCCGAGACCTGGCCCGCTATCAAGCCCCAGCTCGTCAAGGGCAAGGTACGTGATGATCTTTGCAATTGGCAAGCCAATTGACCCAGAACTGACTCTTTTCAAGACCCTCTACTTCTCCCACGGCTTCTCCCCCGTCTTCAAGGATGTCACCAAGGTCGACGTCCCCAAGGACATTGACGTCATCCTCGTCGCCCCCAAGGGCTCTGGCCGCACCGTCCGCTCCCTCTTCCGTGAGGGCCGTGGTATCAACTCCTCTTTCGCCGTCTTCCAGGACGTCACCGGCAAGGCCAAGGAGAAGGCTCAGGCCCTCGGTGTCGCCATCGGCTCCGGCTACCTCTACGAGACCACCTTCGAGAAGGAGGTCTACTCCGACCTGTACGGTGAGCGTGGCTGCCTGATGGGTGGTATCCACGGTATGTTCCTCGCCCAGTACGAGGTTCTCCGCGAGCGCGGCCACTCCCCCAGCGAGGCCTTCAACGAGACCGTCGAGGAGGCTACTCAGTCTCTGTACCCCCTGATCGGTGCCAACGGCATGGACTGGATGTACGAGGCCTGCTCCACCACCGCCCGCCGTGGTGCCATCGACTGGACCCCCAAGTTCAAGGACGCCCTGAAGCCCGTCTTCAACTCCCTGTACGACGCCGTCAAGGACGGTTCCGAGACCAAGCGCTCTCTCGAGTACAACGGCCAGAAGGACTACCGCCAGAAGTTCGAGGCCGAGATGGAGGAGATCCGCAACCTGGAGATCTGGAGAGCCGGCAGAGCCGTTCGGTACGTTCCCACTCAACCACACGAAGTCACCTAGCTAACACATCCTCTCACAGCTCTCTGCGTCCCGAGAACCAGAAGTAAACGGTTTTACGTTTTTATGTAGAATGATGAGCGGGGAAAAAAATTTACTCGGAACGGCCATTTCCTAACCACTGTGCTGGGGAGGCGGGGGACTTTTGTACTTATAACACCGGATTCTAGGCGGATTCGGGGGCCTGGTTCAAAAGTTTGCATCTTGGACTTTGGGATCCTTCAATACCATTTCTTTTTACGTCAAGTCATTTGACAATGTGCCTCTCTCCTCTCTCCCTTCCCTCCCCCGTCGTTGCGGGTTTTTGGTTGTGATTCTGTGCGTGATCGCGTCTGTGCAAGAGTCTCAGAGGTTAGACCCTGCAATGGGCCGAAATGACTCGTTTTGCCTTTGCTAGCGTTATCTTGCGCGGATTACGACCTAATTCTACCACCCCCACGCTTCCGTGCTTTCTGGCAATGGGTGTTGCGGACGAGTTCCGTGGTGTTGTCAAAATCTTGACATGTGCATTGAGGTTGGTTGAGGCTGTGTATGAGAGGAATTGCTCAATTGCTTTGGTAGTTCCGACGCGTGTGAACGGATACTTTTGGGAATTCGTTGAAGATTCCTCATGTCGTTTTCGCAATTCAGCCGTGCCAAAGCAGCCAGAGAATAAGTTTGGCCTCAGTTTGGATTCTGCCGTATCGGGGTTCATTACGGGATGAACACCTGAGACCTCAAGCTAGAGACTTGTTAATTGCTGGAAAATATAGATCCGGGCGCAGATTCACACCCACTACAGGACAACTCAACGCCCTATTGTCACGTTGTTATCGCTATTGTCATTCGTGTCATCGTTATGGTCGTTGTCGTCCCTCGTCGTCGTCGTTGTATTCGGTATACCCAGACTTGTGTTGTTCTGTCGCAGGAGTCTGACTTTCCAGGGAATGGGCTCCTGTCCGCTTCTACAAATTAGTCTCTGTGTTTAGGATGTGTGAAACTCGGCCACTCCCGTTATGGCCAGAGTTCAAGACACTGGCAACGTTGCCGAAAAAAAAAGATCGACACGGATAGCGCCACAACGGCGTTTGACGCGTTAGGGTCTTGGAATTTTGGAAAACGCGACACTGGTTATTCTAGACGCGTATGTTCAGTCTCAAGTTGATGGACTTCTTGTAAATCGTCCTGAGAACAGCACCATAAGTTACATTAACTCAGCGCTGGCCGTGATGCCCTCACCTTGAAATGCAGACTCACCTGGGCCGCAGCTCGGTGGCCTCGGTGTGTCGGTGTATGATTTTGCCGTGGCGACGAAACGCCCCACCCCCTTTGTCTGTGCAGCCTCTCGGTAGTCGTTGCTGCGTCAACAGCAAACAAGCCAGGGCCCCTTCCCACCCCCTTCATCTCACAAGCGAGCCCAAAATGGCCTTTGCTGGGTATTCCATCGAAATACCAATTCATTGACGATTGCTCTAGTCTTCAGACCACTTCAACGCGCTTGCGAAAAACGCCCGACAAACACTCTAGCTTTTCTGGAGCCGCGCACAATGACGCCGTTGTCCCCAGCAAAGGAATCCAGACTGAACAGTTCCTCATCCCCTACCGAAGAAAGAAGCCGCGGTTCCTTTGAGCAGCAACAGCAGCGCTACTACGAGGTCCACACCCGCACTGAGACAACTACGAGCGGCGGTGATGGTAGCAGCGATAACACCACCACCACCAGCAGTACGACCACTTTAACTTCCACCGCAACCGACAACGAGAACATGCCACCCTCTCCCTCGGATTCCTCGTCGCCGCCGCCCTCCGCGCCGGCAACGGCCATCAAGAACCAGCGTCACTCTCGCGTCATGTCTGGCACCGCACCCTCACCGCTCAAAATACTCGCCGGTGCCGAGACAACGGAAAAGCAAGCCCGGAGCCCGCTGCGCAAGACAGTCATTTCCCCAGACAAACGCTTCCCGATCAGGGTCAGCAACACATCGTCCTCAGAGTCGCCTCGCTCCGTCTCCGTCTCCTCCAATTCCCCGCCGCGCGAGCGAACAATGAGCCTCGACGACGCGATGCGCGACAACGAGGGACTCAAACACGCTATTGAGATTTTCGAGGACGACGAGACCGGCATGGAGACAGATGATACCATCGCCGACGACACCTCCTCCATGACGGCCGGTGCCGGCGGCGACGAGCACCCCGAGATGGCAGCCCACGCCTACGAAGACCAGAGCAGTCTGGGCCCTGACGAGACCATGATGAGCACCTTCAGCACCTTCTCCGCCGTCCCCAACCTGACCACCTTTGCGAAGCTCGGTCTGACACCTCAGAAGCACGCCAGCATGCACGGTATGACCCCGCGAGGGAGACCCGAGACCGTGCACGAGCATGAGCAGACTCCGCGACAACATATGGCGCAGGAGGGCAACACCACCAACCTGTTGGACTTTACCGGCAGCCAGCGATTTCCCCACAAGTCGCCCTCAAGGCGGGGAACTACGTCGCCTTCCCGAGGAAACCCTAATGCCACTCCCGCGCGCCAGATGTCAAATCTGCTGGACTTCGACATCCCGCCCCTACCAACTCCCCGCAGCATTCCAACTATCACACCGCGCGAGCTCGAGAGCCTCAAGTCTAACTTCCTCTCGGAGATTAGCAGCTTGAAGGCGTCGCTGAGCGGCAAGGAAGCTGAGGTACTCTCTCTTAAGACAGCGGTTGGAGATGCGGAGAAGCGCGTCGGCGAGAGCCAGGAGCAGGCCCGTGAGGAGCGGGCTATGCGCGAGCAAGTCGAAGAAGAGAAGGATGCCTGGGAGAAGAGCAGCCGCGAGATGGAGGCAGTGCTCCGCGGCGTGAAGGAGGAGATTGTCGAGAGCACCCGCGAACGCGAGGAGCTCGAGTCAAAGCTCGCTGAGAGTGAAGCCCGCCGTGAAGCCGCCGAGACTATGGCTCAAGAGGCCGAGAGCAAGCTGGCCAGCATGCGCGCTGGTAAGCCGGAGAAGGAGGGCTCTCCCGACAACAAGAAGGCCGGCGCGGCCGCGACGTCTAAGGAAGTCGAGATCGCTGTTGAGCGTGTGGCGCGTGAGCTGCATGCCCTCTACAAGGGAAAGCACGAGACCAAGGTCGCCGCCCTCAAGAAGAGCTACGAGACTCGCTGGGAGAAGAAGGTCCACGAGCTCGAGGTCAGGATCGAGGAGCTTACCGAGGAGAACAAGAAGATGCACCTCACCCGCGACGCCACCCCTCGCTTCGATCCTGCACAGCAGGCCATGGTCGAAGAGCTCAAGGCCAACGCCATCACCGACTCCGCGCACATCAAGGAGCTCAGCGCCGAGGTCGAGAAGCTCGAGGCTGTCGTGCAGACCGTCAAGGACGACAACGCGGAGCTGCGCCACCTCCTCGAACAGGAGCGCGTCGAGAAGGGCGAGCTTGTCCAGCTTGCCGAGGAGATGATGCAGGTCCAGACCCACGCCGCGCAGGAAGCCGAGCGCGAGCGCGAACGAGAGCGTGAACGCCAGCGCGAGCTTGAGTGGGAGCGGGAACGCGAGGCCGCCAGAGAGCGCGAGCGCGAGAGAGAAAGAGAGCGTGAGCGCGAGCGTGAGAGGGAGAGGGAGTTCGCGCAGCAGCCCCGTAAGACGGCGACGACGCCCGCTCGCGCCCCTTCGGTGAGAAGCCAACCCGACACCTTCCGCAGCAGCATCGGCCGCGGCTCGGGCCTCAAGGCGCCCGGTACCATCGCCGGACACGGGCGCACCGGCAGCGCTGGCCCCGCGACCAAGGGCTTGCCCCGCCCGAGGCCGATGAGCGAGTTCGGACCGCGCAGCGGCATCATGAGCTCCATCGAGAAGATGGGCAGCCACCGAGGACGCGGAGACTAGAGAGACACCCCGTCCTGATGAGTTTCCTTTTTATATTCTCCCGCAAATAACTTCTACGACGGCTACGTAACGAAATGGACGAAACGCATTTGAACACCCCTGCTGCCCGGGCGGAAAAGGGAAGAAGAGAAGAGAAAAGTGAGAAGGGGAAGAAGAAGAAGAAGAAGAGAGAAGAGCATTGACGTAACGAACTGGCGTCACGGTCCCTGTTTCGGTCTTTTTGTTTGATACCAAAAGGGCAAGGCAAAAAAACTGTTCTGATGAAAAAGGACTTATTGGCCTTATCAAAGGGGTGTGGCGTTATTTTTCTAATGTCTTATGTCTTGTTGTTTTTTGCATTCCTGTTGGTGGGAGGAAGGGAAGACCGGCATTGCCCGTGTTTGGATGAGGTGGGGAGGTCTACATAAGAACCAAAAACCCCCCTTCTTGAATTGGTAATGTTCAGTCTAACTATTCTTCTTCTTTGTTCAACTTCGTTTCTCTGTTTATTGTCTAATCCCGAGGCCCTGGCGGTTTCGTGGTGGTTTGTGTGTGTGTATACGTGTGTGTAGATTGGGGTCGGCGGTGTTTGTGCCTTTGGTTTTTCATGGGCCGGCATGCTTTCTTGAAGGACGAGCGGAGGAGGGGGGGAAGTAGCACTATCATCACGATGTACCGGCTGGGCCGGGTCTTTGGGAGGCAACCGAGCTGTCGTCTTTGGGGCGGCGGTGGTTTTAGGCAATTCTTACTTTTAAATTGAATATTTTCAACTATCGTGACTTTGTGAGGTCGTTGTCGTTGTGAGACTGTGTTACCGTGCAGTGGATGGGCTGTTTGTAACTCATTGGGAATGGTTGTGGTCACGACTTATAAGTAGGAAAGGCGGCGGCGCATGAGAGTGTGATGTTCAGGCCATTTCATTAAAGTCTTCTAACAGACTTACTAAACGGGATGCTCGGTGGTGGCTGTTCGTGGCATACAGAAGTGAGATGAGTCCGAGTTCTTGTGGGATGAGCTTGTTACTTACGAGGACAAGAATGAAGACGGTATCTAATCTTCGTCGTCTCCCTTGGTCCCTGCCGTTCGGCATGTATTCGTCCCTCACTGTTGATGCTCTGTGGATCGGTAGGCGTCGATCGTACGTGTCTACGACTTCCGCAGTCTTCGAGGTCACCAGCCTAGCTGAAGCGGAGGTGGGCCAGAGCTTCAAAGGAGTCCCATCTCACGTCGTTCCTGAATGGAAGAAAAACTTATGGAGTTCTTGCGGTTGGCTTTCTGAAGCAGGCCGAGATGTGATGTATTTAAGTATATCGACTACATGAATAGACTTGTGCATGCTGTCGTGGTGGCAAGCCGCGGCTCTGCGTTGCTCTCAAGTTCATGCTTCGTCTCTACGGTACCAATGTGGGCCCCTTGCTGGGCGTATATTAACATCGAGTGCACCAAGCAGTGGTGAGATTTCTTCCAAATCGCTATGTCCCAGCTGGGCGACGGTGGTGTTTTCGCTCAGAAGCAGTTCTGCTGGGAGACTCTCGAGATTAAGCCAGCCTGTCAGAGGATGGCTTTCTCCAGCCAAGGGGTTTCTCATGGGAGACAACACTAGAACCACTGGGGGGATCTTTGGCTTTTCTTGCGTATTCACGACAACATGGAAAGTCACGGGCTGAAACTACAAATATCTCTACGGTATTTTCCAATGAGAAATGTTGACAAATTGTTTGCTATCATCCCATCTAACCATTGATCTCGGCCCTCATGTCTGTATGTCTTGAGCTTGACGTTTGCCAGTCTGCGATGTTGGAAAGCAGGAGTGGGAACGAGTCCGGTGGAGTTGATTCGCCGTCTTTCTTCGTCCTTGCCGCTCGGAACGTATTTGTGTCTGATTATCATGCGCTCGCGGAATCAGAGGACATTCCGCCAGGCTTGGATCCATGTTGATTATAGCCTAGCCGTAAAGTTAGAATCGATACACAGGGGAGAATAGTGAACATTTTGTAAACGAGGCTTCATGAGGTCGAACTGTCTCTCATCTGTGTAGTTGACTTAGTCCGTCCTTTCTTAAATATAACAAGGTTTAGACTGCGAGTTGCAAGGATCGCGGAAGTGGTTCTGGGGTTATGGTTCTCGAAGCATGCCGATGGCGGCGGGACTCTGTCTGTACCAAGTACTGCTTGACAATGAAACTCTGCTGATCAGGGGTTTTCGTGACAGTACTGTGTGAAGGCAATAAATATATTGTGCCGCAATGTTCTCATGGTCAATAACTCCTGTATCCCAGTGTTGGCAGTTGTCATTTTTGGCGATGTAGACTTTGACTGAACCTGCAGACGTCCTGGGCCTTCGAACTTGTGGTGGCGGGTGTTGTCTCGCAGATTTTGGTTTAGATGCCAGGTATGCTTCGTCCTTCTCCATCTCTGGCTTTTCTTGGGTATTCATCTCGTGTAATACGGAGTATCATGTTGCAGACTTGCCAGTAATGAGGCATGCCTGCCAGTCGAGAGTAAAGGGCGCAAAGATTCACACCCGAGTGCTGGACCAACCCGGTTCATGGGGCAAGGCCTAGATAGCTTTCATTTGCCTTGGTCCAAAAGTCGACATGGGAGCTGCCGCCGCCTAACTCTTTATACCCTCCCGTTGCAAACATGCTCAGCCTCCGAAGTGGTAGACGGCTTCTGATTGCAGCCGTCGAGGTCCACGGTAAACAGGGGTATATATTGGGCACCAAGCTACATAGTTAGGTTATGAATAATTGAGACGTGGCGGTAGGCGACTGCATTGTCAATAGGTACTCAAGGACACTTAAACAAGGCGACAGGCAAAACGGCCGCACTCGTCGTCCCCCCTCGAGAGATGCGAAAAGACCAGCCTACCGACCGTACGTCGTCTTCTCACCCTGTGTTTTGTTTCGGTTCGCACATCGTGGTGTTCGTCACCTGCATACTCGGACAACACCGAGAGACAAGGACGGAGAAGCACGACATCGCATCGAAACCTGCCGCTTTCCCTCAGCGAAGCTGCTTCTGAGGCTTCTACGCAAGCAGTCACCCGTGAATCGTGTATACATCGACGGATGCCACCTAGGCTGACGCCATGAGCATCTTGTACGCTGCGGATATCCAGGCTTTTTATACCAAATCCGGTTCACGAGAGAGCGGTCCACGAAACATCTTGCGTGTATAAGAAACGCACTTCACACCGTTTGCTGAAATCAGGCAGCAACCATGGATCTCTCTCATGTTCAGGTTGGTGCAATACCTTAGTCATGGGGGCTATCCACAGCCATGAACACCAACCTCACGACGCCTTCGAACCAGACACCACGTCGAGCCATAACCTGTATTCCCAACGCCGTCCGTCTTCACTGCCATCCAAGTATTCTGTCCAAACCGGAGAATGTCTGGAAAGCCCGCGATTGTCCCGGCGATAACGATCCGCAAAACGCGAGTCCCAGAGGCACCATACCACGTCCTCAGTTTTTCACAGTCAGAAGCGAAAGGCACACTTTGCACTGGACAAGTCTACAATAGCAGAAGCAGGCACCTTATATAGCTCACGAACCCCTTCCAAAAACTCATCTCCGGGGTCTGCGCCTATCTTGGGACTCAAAGACGCGTGGGTGTTGTGACATATGGGCTGCAAAGCAAACCTCTCACTCACTCAGGCGCCAGGAGTGAATTCAACGGATTTATTGGGCGCCGGTAGATGATGCTCTTTACTGCCATAGCGCCTTCGTATGGAACAGCACACCCTGTCCAACTTCCAGCATGGCCTATGATCTTATAGTCTTGTAATTCTGAGTTGTATGAAGCAATTGTAGCAAAACGCCTCCGCTCCGCCCTTCTCCGTCTCGCTCTGACTCTTAATCTCGAGTGTGATCTTCTTCTCAACGCTTGTCCTGGATCACCCTCCTCTTCGCCCGCCTGTGCTCATCAACGTGATCTTCTGCTTCTTCTTCTTCCCTTTGCCACCACCGCCACCACCAGCCCCTCCTCCACCACCGTTGTTACCGGTCGATGCGCTGGGCTCGTTGACACCCAAAGCCTCCATCTGGAAAGTGAGGTCAGCAGCACCAAATACCTCATCGTCCTTGAGCCAGCCGTCATCAACAGGGCGCGTCGGCGCTAGCTCCGGCGAGCCGTGTACCACATGCGTGCCCCATACCGTCCTCTGTGTAGAAGGACTCGTCGAAATGGAAGCGAGCTGCTCGAAACCAAGTCTCGGATCTGGCGGGGTAGCGCCAACGTGACTGGATAGCGGCTGGAACTCCTCCATATTCAACGCGGGAACCTGTTCCTCTTCGATGGGTCCGTAGTCGCGCCTCATCGCAGCTGCACTCTTGAACTGAGCGGCTTCGACCCTTTCGGATTGAAGTCTCTCACGCTCCTCCTGCACGGCCTTGTCACGATTACGCTGCCTCCGACGGCCGATCTCATCTGCGAATTTCTCCAGGACGTCTGCCGATACGATGTCCGTCCAGTCACATTCCAGAAAGCTGATGCGACATCCATATGGCAGGTGACCCAAGTACTTAGCTCGCTTGCGCTGAATTTCATCCACGATATGCCCTGTTGAGATGTGCTCTACACGAGGTAGCAGAGTCGAAGGGAATGCCGAGAAATCGCCGTACTTGGTCTTGAGGATTCTGATGTCGAGCGCCGACAGGTACAGATGTGGTTGTGATGCGAAGAAGTAAAAATCTGGTTGTACAGACTTCTGCTGTCCAGATTTCGAGCCGCTCGGTAGCATCGAGTCATTCTTGCCGAGGTCTTTGACTTTGTCCTTTGCCGCGTTGATAGCCCGGATCGCCTTCTGAGTCCATTCGTCGTCTTCGTGGTAAAGCAGTTGGTCCTCCGTTCCCTGCTTCTCCAGCGCCGAAATCTCCTCGTCGTACTGCTCCACCATGTAGTCGCCAGTACCCTTCATGATTCTTGCGTAGTCCAGAACGTTCGCAGCGAAGTGCCAGGGAATATCGTCCGCCACATTCAATGCGTCTGAGCCATTCTCCCACGGCAATGCGAGGGTTGACTTGGCAGTCCTCGCCATCAGCCGGAGAACCACGTCGTCTCCGACACGCGGGAGAGGGCTCTCCTGTCCCGCGTAGAACCGCACAGGCCGTGTCTCATGCAGGTAGACGCTGTCCTCGCACAGCGGACATTTCTTCCACTTCAATCCTCGTGCATGCTTCGAGTCCTCGTCGGTGGTGGTATTCATGAATCGGATCAGGCAGGACAGGCAAAAGATGTGTCCGCACTTGGCCATTCTCGGTGCGACCGGCTCGGAGAGGCAAATCGGGCAGCTAGCGGCCTGCGACTCGGACGAAGCCAGGATCTGCAAGACGTTGTTCCAATCGATGTGTACGTCGGCGTCGGCGGCCTGGCTGGAGTAGCCGCCCTCGGGTGATACAACGAATCGGTAGTTGGCGTGGACGTATCTGGCCTTGTCGTTGGCGTGGTGTCCCGAGCCCGGGCCCCATGTCGGATTGCGCCTGTAACTTCTAGAATACGAGTGGTGATCCGCGTAGGGCCGCGTCGGCATGCTGTAGTTGAGCAGATGGGTGATGGAAGTCTGGCCGCGACGGCTCGATGGGTTTCGGACCGCCCTCAGCTCGGCCATGGCGTCATCGTCGTCCGGATTCCTGTGTTCGCCCAATCCCGGTCGACGCTGCATCTTGTGCTGTTTCCGAGCGCCTTGGCTCTTTCGCGGGGCAGCTTGGGGATGGGAAGGGCTAGACTGGGCTGGTCGGCGGTTGGAATCGAAGCTCGCGGCGACGGGCCCAGGTTGAATCGCGGGAGAGTGGGAAGTCGACGATGAAAGGGACTTGCCCAGGTTGGACGGCGTAGAGCTCATATTCGGGTGCTCAAGGATCGAGGTGGGTGTTCTGAAGGACCTCCCTCCGTGGAAGCGGCGATCGACAGAGTTGCCTCCCGGGTCGATGTCGTGATGCAATGCGGCGCGAAGAGACGGAAGAAGAGACAGGTGTCGCGGGGTATCCAGTCCTCAAAGACTTGAGTAGGGCAAAAGGAATGATACGCTCCCAATCCCAAATCCAATACTTTCGATCAACGAGCTAATAGGTGATAAATGAGTTGTAGTTTGTAGAACCAGACGGGGTCCAAGGTGGACGGACCCCATGAGTGATAGGTGGGGATCAGGTAATCGGACGTCGAGAGGAAGGACCAGGAGCACTACCCGTACAGGTGCAGAGTCATTAGGTAGCGGGGCAAATCGAACTCGCCCGTGACGAAACTGACCTGAGTGAAGCTCGGGATTGCAGGTACGTACTCAGCCGGGACTCTGAGAAGCATCACGTGATCGGCGATTACCGTCAATTCAATGCTGCACTGAAGGAGGAGCCAGGAAGGCCAACGTGCAGTCAGATGAGCCAATTGCGAAGACTCTCAGAAACTACATGTTTAGATCCACAGCTGGTGTCATTCACCTCCCTTAAGACGTCGACGTCATCGCATTCACTGACACTCACAGTCGGCAGTCACTGTAATCACTCAAATTGACTGAGTGGATCATATGCAGATTAGGCTCAAACGAGGTATTATGGTACAAGATAGTCCGATGCAGATGAGCCGTGAAGTGCCAACGAAAAGCAGCAAAAAGTAAGAGAGGCAGCAGCCCACAGCATCCTCAATTGATTATAGAGGCTCCTCCACGTGCCCTTGCTTCCAACGTCCTCAGCACCTAGCTGCCATGCTTCGTTCTACCTCTCGAGCTCTTGCACATGCAAAGTGGACCGGGGGAATCATAGAAACGACAAATAACCAAATACGCAGCACCCGACATAAACCGTATGAAATGAGGCAAAAGACGAAGCCTCCCATTGACGCGCAACACGACGGCAAATTTCATTAAGCCGCTTATTTGCTGTGCACCTTGCTCTTGATCTTGCCGATGAAGGCGCTCAGACGGTTCTTCTTCTTCTTCTCGGTACCGGCAGGGCTGTCGGCAGCCTTGTTGGTGGTGCTTGGTGCTGTCGACTCGGGAACGGTGGAGGCGGCCTTGGAGGGAGTGGCAGGAGCCTCGGGCTCCTTAACCGTGGCACCGTTGGTGCCGTTGACGGTGTGAGTGCCGTTGGTGCCGTTGGCACCGTTGACCTCCTTCTTGGGCTCGTCCTTGGTGACGGCATCCTTGACCTCCTCCTTGGCAAGCTTGGCCTCCTCCTTGACGGCCTCGGTCTTGGACTTGTCGCCCTCCTTGACCTCCTCCTTAGTCTCCTTGACTTCCTCCTTGGCGGCCTCGGTCTTGGACGGCTCGGCCTGCTCGCCGACAGCTGGGACGGTCTTGACCTCCTTCAGGAGCTCAGCCTCGACCTCCTTCTTCTCAATGACAGCCTCGGTGTTGGCAGCAGCCTCGGGGCTCTTGCCGGACTCGGTGATGGCCTCCTTGACAACGGCAGGGACCTCAGGAGCAACCTCCTCGCGGGTCTCCTCCTTGGTCTGAGCGCCAATGGCCTCCTGGACGGGGACGGGCAGGCTCTCCTTGACAGGCTCAGGGAGGTTGGCAGCAGCGTCGGTAGCAGCGACAGAGGCTTGGTTAACGGCGGGAGTGGCGGCCTCGACAACGGTGTCCTTGGCGGCGATGGCGGCGGCGGCAGCGATACCACCAGCAGTGGCGGCGGTAGCAGCAATGGTACCGACGTTCTCGGACTTCTGGGTGCCGAAGCCGGAGGTACCCTCGGAGGTAGAAGGAGCGGTGGGCACCTTCTCAAGGAGCTCATCCTCAACGACGGCCTTCTCTTGGACGGCCTCAGGGTTGGCGCTAGCCTCAGGCTCGACGTGGGCCTTCTCTTGGCTCTCCTTGACAACCTCCGGTACCTCGGCCTTCTTGGTCTCTACAGGGACCTCAGCAGCGAGAGCAGCAGTGGTGGACGTCGGGGCGGCGCTGTTAATAGTGACATCGGCGACGCTGGCGACGGGCAAGCTAGACTCGGGAATGGTGTTGTTGGTGACGGCGGGAATGGTAGTCTCTTCCTTGGACAGACCAGGCAGGGCGCTCGCATCCTCGTAGCCCTCCTTGTCCAGCTTGACGTGCTCGTTGATGTCGCCAGCCTTGACGGAGGCGGGCAGAGGCTCGCCAGCCTCAACCTTGATGGGCTCAGCGGTGACGTCCTGAGCGGGCAGAGGGTTGACGCCAAGGACCTTGTCAAGCTCGTTGGCGGGGGTGGCGGGGAAGCCGCCGGGAATATCAGAGGGGGTGGCCATGGGGAGCTTGTCCTCGTTCTTCTCGAGGGGCACGTCCTTGGCCAGGGCGGCGGTGGTGGACTCGGGGGTGACGGTGTTCATGACTGCGGCGGAAGAGTCCTCCTTGACGATTTGGTCGGGGGTCAGGAAGTTGTTTACGTTTCCCTCGTGGTCGGGTTCTTGAGGCGCGGTGTGATCTGTGATCCAGTTGTTGTCGACGACGAACTATAAAGAGAGAAAAGAGAGCAGGTCAGTAAGATTGGACGCGACGGGTTACGATGACAATGTTTTTAAGCGAGAATCAGTGGGCAGCGCAAAGCGGTGGTGCAATGGATCCTGGGCAATATGACGACGCGCGGACGGCAGATTGGGGTCAGCTGGCGCGATCTGGGAGATGCCGATGTTATAAAGGCGACCCCCGGTCCAGAAAGAAAAGGAAGGTAAGGCCAGACAGGCCAGACCAGACCAGACCAGAAAGGTATGGCAATCAATGGCAGCAGGCTCGGTGGGAGGGCAACGCCAACGCCGCACAACTCAGGCAAATTGCGAGGCGGCGGTTCCTGACGCTGGGTGTTCCTTGGCCGGGATGGGATGGCAGCTTGTTCCTGGTGCCGTGTGTGTGGTGCTACCTTCCTTTAGTCCCTAGCTCGGCCCCAACGAGGTAAGGACTTGGGAGGGCGCAAACACCCGCGACCAGAAACAATGGGAACCCATAGAAGGGAACGCCGATGCTAGACATTTCTGGTCGGTACCTTTCGTACCCAACATGGTACCGTTTGAAGGCAATTCCTTTGAGGGCTCTCTGCACTTTGCGCGTATCTTTCGCAGGCATGAAACGAGAGTAGGGCCGGGTGGTGATGGTGGTGGCCGCCCCTCCAGTGACGATGGCTGGTGGCTGTCGCTGTCGCTGATAGTGTGCAGTATGGTTCCTGCCGCTCCGCTGATGCTAAGCCAAACAATGCGAACCTATCCAGGCTGGCTGCATGGGACCCATGTCGCTGGCCACTGCTTTTGCTCTCCACACAATTCGAAAGGAGCGATGAACCTGGAAAACCTTGTTCATTGCTTTTTTGGCAGCAGGAAAGCGGAGACCTGAACCGCGCTGTTCGGGTTCCGCCAGCCAACCGCAAATTGCCCAAGGCAGCCGCGCCGCCGATGAGCTGCGAACTGCGAATTGCGATGGAGGGAGTCTTGCGTCATACCAGCAGCCAGCCCGGCATGGTCGGCCAGCACGAAGGCAGCCCCGAAACCCGCGTGAGCGACATGCTTTGCGCTGCGCGTGTGCGACTCTCATTTTCCCACCCAACACACCCATTGCAGCGACGTGTGCAGGACCAGACCGGGATGGACCGCCTCTTAGCTGGGCGAGACGGGGGAAAATGAGGTGACCGGCGCGCAGGCAAAGGGAACCCAGCGGGAACGGCAGCGATTCAGCCAGGTAGAGCAGAATCAGGTTGGATAACAAAGAGGGTTCCGTACGGATAGGCGGCAGGCGAGACAGTAATCAGCCAGTCCAAGGCCATCCACGAGCACAGTGGTTGGAATTGTGGTTGGTGACCAGTCGCAGCGCAGAGCAAATTGCGAGAACCCCAATCTCTGCTGTCTGACATGCGACGTGCCGCATCCGAGCCGGAACCGGGTGTCGCAGTGCAGTTCTGGAGCTGACTGGGAGAGCTTGAGCTGGGGGAAAAAAGCTCACACCAGCGTGCGGCCTATTAGCCCAGCAAGCAGCATCACCCCTTCCAGTCCACGACTTCAATCAGTCCAGTCGGGGGAGACAGCGAAGATTGAACAAGGGACCTGGAAGACGTGGATGTGGCGCACGGATGCCGTCGCGGGCTGAGCGAGGCGTTGCTGCTTTCGATCGATGCTCTGGCGTCGCTCTCCCAAATCTTGCTTTCCATGGCGTCGTCTCTGCCACAGTCCTTTCGTGCCGCGTGCCTCCCATAATTGAGCCACGATAAAGGGAATCCGGAGGTGCCGCCAGGTTCCGGGTCCGGATGGAATAAACCAATGGTCATGTGTAAATAGGAAATCACCCGAATTGGCGGTTACGAACCTTGTAGTAGATCTTCTCCGAGGCCTCGGGGAGGGTGACGGTCTTTTCGAACAAATTCCCGACCTTGTCCAGCTTCTCACTCTTGGTCCAGTTGTCGAAGGTTCCAGTAACGTAGACCTCTTCGGCCGGGTGAGCCCTATGAAAGACGGAAAGGTTAGCAAGGTTGGCCGTTTAACAGGAGGCTTTCTGTTTTTTCTTCAATCCGCTGTGGGAGCTTTGCGATTCGATGCCACCGGGTGGATTCGCCATGGCCGAAGCTGGCGGCATATCGTGTGAAAGAAGGTTCGCATTCCACATGGCAGAGGACGAAAGCATGCAAGCTCAGTCGGCGCCTGCTGAAGCGCGACGCAAGGAGAGAACGGCGGCCATGACGGCATTCCAAGCGAGAGACAATTCGACAAAACGCGGCGGGGTGCGAGAGGGGAATGCGGGCAGAGTAGGTAGGCGAGCTTGAGCATACCAGGTAAACTTGAAAGTGCCCATTCTGTTCGATTTCGCGGGTTCGTTCTTTCGATGCGGGATGATTACGATTAGTCCGACCGGCGCAAATGTATAGACGTCGTCGGATACAGGTGGAGGAGAGGTGAGTTTGTGTTTCGTTGCTTGCGAAGCAAAAAGAAGAGGAAGAAAAATCGGAGGGGAAAGAAAAAGTCGAGAATCGAGCGGCGGGAACCCCCAATTTGCGCGCGTGGCAGAGCTCAGGAAGTAATTGCTGCTGGGGTCGAGGGGTGTGTGTGGAAACTTGTCGCATTCGCTGAGCACCCAAGGGTACTATGGTTCAGTAAGGTAGGTACCTTAAGGGAAGACCTCGGACGGCGGGGGTTCTGAAGTTTCGTTTGGCGGCGGCGGCGGATGGCTTGTGCCTGTCGTGCGCGCTGTCCATGGTGCGGTGCGGCGTGGGCGGTCTAGAGTCCAGGTCTGCTGCAATATGCGATATGCGACATGCCATATGCGGCCTGCGGGTTGGGCTCAATCTCTGCTCCACCCACCGACTTCGCTATGCTTCATCATCAGCGGTGAGCCTCTCTGAAATGACGACAACTTGCTGGCTTGGGCGCTTACACCTCTGTTCAGGATCTGTCATCTAGGCACCTGGGTAAGGACAAGGTCAAGGTGGTGTACACCGTACCGCCAGTCTCGGCTCACCTCGGGTCGGTCAGTCGGTGAGAGAGTCCCTTCACATTGCTCAACGGTTTTCTTTATTGTGTAAGGTACCTACCTAGGCAAGTCAGATTCAGCATACGTTAGTCTGATGCGTACAATGCAATGTCTGACTATCGAGTCTTGCCATGCCTCTCTGAAGATATCCCACTGATACTTCACGTTATGTACCTAAATTAAGGAAGCAGCTAGACAAGAACCCCTGATCATCTCTTCGCGGCAAACAAGATGCAACAGGAGCAATGACACGCCAAAAATACACTCAGCAATACCTTAGCTTCAAGTCTCAACGCATGACTACGGATACCTAGGCTCAAGGAAAGGTCGAGAAGGTGAGGCGTCACAGTCACAGCGTCGCAGTGTTACAGAATGGGACAAGCGCACCTTCCGTCCTCACCTCATGAATCCGCGTGCTTGCTGCTTGGGCACCTGCAATTCCTACGAATGATGTGCCTTGCGACATGAGGTACGGGATACAGAATGAGGTGCAGGAAGGATCCATCATACTCGCGCCTTTCTCGCATTAACAAGCATATTCCTGCGCTTAGAACCGAATCGAAAGACCAACTCAAGCACCGTCATGTATCGACGCCCAAACTATCGTACTGAGGTGACATCCTTCTCTCGCAGCCTCTCCACTTGGCCGCAGAAAAAATCAACACCAACACCACCACGATATGCCAAACTGCCTAATTCCCAGCCTCCGAAACCCCCTGCTGTCTTCACCTCCCGTCTTCACCGTTTTTTCTCTCCTTTTCCGTACCTTGTTTTACCCTGCTTGATCTCGCCTCGCCTTACCTTGCCGCAAGCACCTGAACTATGCTAAAGCAGACCGGAATACCACGCTCGTCTGGTGTTTGGTGTGTGCCTCAGAGGTGGGATGAAGCTAAAATCGCAGTTAATTTCGATTGCGAAGGCGCCACCGCACTTCTTGTCCACCGTCTCGTGTACCTCAATAACTGCCCAAACAGCCTCTCTTCGCCATCCAACGCGCCATCCAGGGGTAGACTCTTCGTCTTCTTTGTTCTTACTGATGAAAGTACAGAGTAAGCATTCGTTCCTGACACCGGCTGGTCCGCCACGGCCACCGCTGCTTTGATTCATCAACCTAGGTTCTCAACTCGATGCAACGTTCAGTGTCCAGTCCGCAGACATCCATCGGACTTTCAGGGCCGAGATCCTTGGCCCGCAGCTCAAACCCAGCAGGCCTTCTCTACCTAACGGATTTCTTACTGACCTTATCTTCAGGTCATCCATCTGTAACAATCCTCATCCCGGATGACACCCTCTCGTTATTGCCTTTTGGCTGACTTAGATCGACCAATCCCACGGCCATGATCTGACTTCAAGGATTCGTCTTCCAACCTCGATTACTCAAGCCATCCCGCCACCCAGCCACCCCGAAAGATATTCTCCTGCCGCGTCGAGTCCAAGATGCTTCGCTCATATTACATCCCGCGCGCCCCTGGACCCGAAGCCAGCCACCGCACGCCGGCGCCAACCCCAATCTGCTGCTGCCGTCAGCCGCTGCAACTACCTGTCTGACAAGACGGTCCGAACACACAAGTCTCCTGCAACTGCTCACACAGCAGAAGCAACCACCCCGAGCCGAGCGTCAGACTTGCCTTCACTTGGGCATGCGTCTTTACTTCTTATGAAGTCTGCCGTCGTGCGGTCTTCGTAAAGTTGCTCCTTGCCGTCTCACCACATCTTCCGGAGTCATCCCAGCTTGCCGCGCCTTCATCTGCTCGTCCGTCAAGCGGCGGCTCAACGCCAGAAAGTTGTGGCTGTCTTCCGCCCGTTGTTCCACCATCTCACAGTCGCGCGCGACCTATATCTGGCACAGTTATTTCCCGTAGCTCAACGGATCACGAACGGATCTCATTTCTGAATCTGACCGCACTAAGAAATTTGCGGGGAAGAAGGGGTGGAAGCTCCGAACTCAGACCGGGCCACTCCCCGACTGAGACAATCCATGGTCGCTCGTCATCCGTTGACCCAAACCCCTTCCACCCCAGCCCCCCTCTCAGAGCCGCAATCACGCGCGCGACGATGATCGACCCATCTCCACCGAACAATTTTCTTCTCCAAGTGGGAGCTGCTCCATAACTGATGTAAGAGCGCAGGTGGGAGCAAAAATGACCTTCATTACGCATCGCAGAATCTGCGGCAAACGCGACCCGTTGATTCACCCCGTCCTGATGACGATCGACTTGCCCAGCGCATCCCTGTTTGTCCTCCATCTTAGGTGTTCAACCGATGTCGTGACGAAACGAAGGACCGAACAGCCTGACCTCCCCGGCAGGAACGTGCTTCGGTGGGAAAATGCTTACCGGGTTGTTTTGCGACATCCTCGTTGCTGGCATCGAGGACGGCTTCAACTTCTACACACAAACGGCAATCTCGAGAACACAACTTTCGAGTAAACAGCAAAGTTTCATCAACGTATGACTTGGTTTCCTTCACGGCGTCAATGTTTTCAGGGGTTGAGCGAACAGACCCATCCACTCCCCGGAACCTGCCACTAAGCCGACGTCACAGTTCCCGCACGTGTCAAACATCAGACGCAACTCTCTTTTTTCTTTCCCAAGTCTGCCTGCCATTGAACGTTTCCTCGCATTGCTGCTCTTCCGAGTGGGCGCCCAGTCAGCTCAGCCCACGAGCGCGAGAAAGAAGCTTGATTCGAGCTCTTCAGAGGTTACGGCTGTTCTCTCGAGTGCCTTGCATGCGCACATGGTTCCATGCGCTCCTTGTTCAAGCCAACAGGGTGAGACTATTCAGATGAGTGGTTGACGAATAGGAACGGCAACTTTTCAGTGCGCTTACAGGTGGAATCAAGATGAGAAGAGGTGAAAGAGCTGGATTACACATCGCATTTCGTGCCCTTCAGCTTAGTGATCTTGTATGCGAGCCTGTGATGGTCACTTGTAATCGTCTTTCCGGTGGAAAGGTTTCCTACCATGGGCTCTCACGGCCAGGCTGCTTCGCTGAGGTCTTGACTGAACCTCTATGATTATGGAAGTCAAAGTCGCAAGCCGTCTGGTCGTCGTCATCCTCGCCTTCTCCGCTGCCAGATATCTCCGGGCAAAGTAGGGGCAATATCAAACTATGTTTGAACATCCAGGTCATACAAAGCGGTTCAAATATATCGTGTCCGCCACGGATGCTCATAAATTTGACTTAAAGGCCTATCAAGAGGTGCAACTCAAGAACGGCAACGGTGAATCAGCCGCCTTCTTCAATGTTCGGAGGATATAGAATCATAGTGCTCATCCACATCCATGAGTAAAAGAATCTTGACGTCCTTTGGAAATTGTAGAGTCGGATGCTTTCCAGGTACGATGCCCACTCATTCTTACAACCTTGCCTCAAACCGAACTACGCAGTCTACCTGGGACGTACAGAACCCTGGCAGTGATACATCTTTCTGTTGCTTATATACAGCGACGGAGGCCTATGTGGGCTTTGTTGATGATACTCATGCTGATACATCAGAAGGGCATCTCCAAGTTTCGGCGCAGCGACTTTGCGTCATCGAGATCAGCCACACACAGCCTTCTCTCGATCGGCGCGCTCCTGCTTCTTTATAAGCGTGGACTTGACGGAGATCATTTAGGCTCTCCAACATGTCTGTCAACTTTCTGAACGACAATTAGACAAGTCGAGCGGCCGCTGTCGTCGAATTGGCAACCTCGGCCTGTAGTCATCCATGGATCGCTGTTAACATGACAAGCCATACGGAGTATCTGACGAGCGGTCTGGACACCTGTTTCTATCTTGTTTCCGTCCGTAATCGTCGTTCTTGGGCTATTGTAAGGCGTTTACACGTCGGTATCGAACACCTGGCGAAGTACTTGTCGTCCCAGGAATGATAGCATACACCCTTCAGAATATCGCTTTCGATTAATCTGCCGAAATGTCAAAATCGTCCTTGTCCGAGCATCATCGCTCTGATTGCCTGTAGTGTCTCGAGAATTCAGTCACGGCGACGTATATTTATCCTAGACTTGTGTCCCTTACGACACAGGCTCAATCTGACTTGAAGATCTCTTCTACATATTTGAGCCACGGACACACTGAGAAGCCTGCCAGGTAAGATATCTTCCGTATGTCTTCATACGCACTTGTTCGTTAGTCTTTCTGGTCTAGCTGCGCTCTGCGTCACATTCAACGAACGTCGCATCGCTTCCTGCCATCGTATATAAATCGCAGCTGTTACGTTCTTGACTCAAACACACCAATGAATTGACCGTGCTGTCGCTGACACCATTGGGTTGAAAACTCTCGAGGTCCAGGTTGATGATCCAATCTCAACAGCCAGTGTTGTATGCGTGTTAAGTTCTTGTCAGCAGAGATCAGTGTCTGTTCATGTAGTGTTGCTTTGCTGTATAAGTGAACATGGACGAAGACCAGCGATGTTATGAATTCGATGACCTGGGTTAGATACTCATCACATATTCACACAAAATACAACGTCGGTATTTAAACTTCGATAGGCCGCTTCGCAGGAGGATCAATCTAGAATCATCTTTCGTCAGTCGTTGATTGGATCGATGGTCTTTGCCGCGGCGCCGTTCGACAAGGATGAGGATATGTTTACATATAAATACTGCAAGAATATACAGGACCTGAACGCCCCAGTGCTTTTACTGGGGTACTTATAGCTTGTCATTATTTGTTACGAAGAAGTGCCGGCTGGTGAGCGCTCGATGACGCCGACTTACCATGGTCCAGCTCGCCAACGAGTATAAGAGATCTTGGTGATCGCGTAAGAGACAACTGAACACCACACTTTATCTGGCGCTTCTTTATCTTGCCGCTCTCAAATCACAAGGCCACGACGCTGAGACTTGGTAGCCGGGAGACGTCATCTCAGAAGCGAGGACTGAAGTTCGGTCACGCATGTACAACAACATTGAAGTAATGAAGACCCGGGTAGTTTGGTTGTATTCACGTTTGTATAAGTGCCAGAGGATTACAGAGCTCGGGGACGAAGGTGGCAAGATGACTTTGACGGCCTTTTCGAGAGGAAGCCCAGTTGGCGCATGCTCGGGACATTCTATCAACCAGGCCATACGCAATGCATCCCGTTTTGATGCGAGAAAAGTCGTTCCAGTTCCCAAGGATCTTATCCTCTGCTTTCTCTGCGTCTTGTATAGTTTATCAATTCATTAAATAGTTTCGCGATTTTGAACCGAGACATAAGCTCCGGATATCCCAATCTCTTGTTCGCTGAGGCAGCTCTTGGCTCGATGTTTGAGGACCCTGAGTCTCGGGCTGACGGGAGAAGGGCAGAAGAGCATTCCATCAACGATAGGGCAATCGCACCTATAAATTCTTGTGTTTATTTCCTTTAGATGCGAAACAGAAGCGCGCGGAAATCCTTCTGTTGCTCAACGACATTGAGTGGATCGATCGAGGGCTGGATTTGGTCTCGTAAACTCTCGCCGATGCTCGAGATTGCGACATGGAAGACCGAGGGATGCGCTATAAGGTACTAATCACGTCCCTCGTCATCTTCTCTGCTCTTTTATTCCTCGGAATACGTCGGTGTTGTCTGGTGCTGACAGCAAGATAATCGGCCGGATCGTAGATGAAGCTCAACTGGTTGCCTGCATTCGTCCTTTCACCAGGCCACCCACCAACTTCTGTGAAGACGAAATCATGAAGACTCATCGCGCCTTTGGTGGGTTTATTCTGCCACAGCTTGCCCTTAAAGAGCTAGATTTTGCGCTCTTTCTGGCGTCCCGCGACAACGGGAATACATGCGCAACCACGCTGAGGTTTAAATTGGATAGTGCGTGTACTGAGGCAACGAGAATGGACAGCAAAGCTGAACACCCAGTTTATGACCGCTGCTATGAGTCAGGGCTTGTGATATTCTGTGTGTGGGAGCATCACTCATCAGACAAACACGTACATCTATCAAGGCCTTGCAAAACCCAGCCTCAACCTCCGCCGACTACGATGTATACGAAGCGATTACGTACCAAACACAAGAGAAGAGAGGCGGAAAACCAAGACAAACTTGTCAGCTCACATCATGGTCGGCTAATATGTAATTGTAAACATCTACTCCCGCCTGTAGCTTGATGATTCAAGTGGCTTGAGGAGTTGGCAAGCAGGGTGTATTGAGATGGACGAACAGACGATATATCGCTGAACAAACTGGAGCGCTCAGCGAGTTGTACAGCCATATATATGGATGCTTCGCACCATGCCATGCCAGAACTAGGACTCGATGACCATGACGGTGTGATGGGACCATTACATTACTCTTCTGGCAAGGCCCCAGAACCCGTCCGCGACTGATTGGGTCGGCTCAGGCTTTGGGACTTTCGTAGACTTGCCCTCCAGCGTGGACACGTCCCTGGCGCCTTCGCCAGCTAGAAACGCGATTGTGGCCGAGAGCTTGAGCCGGGACTGGGCATAAGAACATTCAGGTGACCTTTGTCAGGGTCCGGTTGTCTGGTATAGGGGGGCTGTATACCCAGCTCGCTCTTCTACGTCTCCGCTCCTTTTCATCGTTCTTTCAGAGCTGGCTCTCTATCAAGGATGCGTATCGCTTCCTCTACTCAGTCTCGAATATGGCTTGATTGTCCCGTAGAGTCTGGAAAGTGGGGGACAGGGCGTACTGGTTGAGTTTCTTCACGAAGACTGAAATCAGAAACGAATACCTACCCAATAAAGCAACAGAGACACAGAATACCAGAGGAGGTATCCAAATACAAGATCATGCCAGCAGGTCACTTCCATCACAAGCTTGAAGGATCGTATATCAGGCCAAGTCTGAGATGATTCATCGTTCAAATACACCGCTGGGGCATATACAATGTGTCTGTGTTATCAAAAGCCAGCTCTATGGCAGAAGCGAGTCATTTATACCCAGAGGCACGACGCGTCGAGGGATGGACGGCCTCGGACCCGGCACGGCATCACTGCTCTACTGGGTATAAATGAGGGCCTGACCATCATCTCGACTTTTCCTGAACAAGCAATTGCACTTCTTGAATCTTATGATGTCTCATCATTCATTGCCTCATAACATATCCATATCGTTCCACATGTGTAGCGTACGCTGCATGAGTTTTGCTCAACGAGTCAGAACGCCCTTGTCTTCCGTCTCCGGTGCCTGGTTATACGTTATCAGTACCCGAGCCGTAAAACGCTACAAGTTTACGGAGGTCAACATGGTGGGAGGACTGGAGAAGTGACGCTCACCTTGGGCAGGGAGAGTCATTCTCCCTGGGATGTAAAAGAAGAGTTGCGCGCCGGGACTTGGTTGGCTCACCATCGGAACCAGCTCAGCGTTCTACTGGGTATGAATACCCCCAGCCCCCAATGTTCAATTGCCGAGGGCGCAATGGACTGGAGACAGCATGCCATATCCTGAGCCTGGATTTGCCCGTGTTCTCCTACCGATATTGGCGTCCGAGAGCATATGTATGCCCTCTGGCGGTTTACGGCCCGAGGAAGGACGGCAATGGCATTTAAGTCCGCATCTACACCCGGAAAGCAACCGGTAGGCTCTCGAATCCCGAGAGCGCGTGCCATTCAGAAACTGCGAGCTTTTCAGCATGGACTTTTTCTCATCGTTGAGAAACGGATCATGGCGGGTGAGTCTCGGCAACGTCCTTGATATCGTTGGAGCTCCAGTCTGACGGCGAAAGCGCTCTCATCTTGCGTCTCTAGTGCTCGTGTATACGGCGTGTATGCCTAAGGTATGGGACGATGAATGGAGGATGGAGGGCAGCAAGGCTCTATAAGTCCTTGAAAGAAGACTTGGACGCATAGAGCGCAGGCTCTCGACACATGTATCGGCAAGCAACCTCAGTCAAGCTGAAGCGAATGTCCGAATCGAATGGCATGGAAACGTACACTGCCTGTCCGCCCAGCAAAACCAGGTTATCTCCAGGGAATTTATACCCCTCGACGCAGACCGTGAAGCGGAGAGATCCCGAGATTCGGATCACACGAAGAGATTCTTCACCCACCGGCCGGCTCGTCCCCCGTACTCAAAGAACGAGCTAGTACCCTATATAAATCTCTCATGCATGCTGTCAAATCACATTTACCAACCGTGTGCATGTCTAGTCCCATCTTTTGGAGCAGCGTGCGGGTTTCCGGGTCGAAGGAGTCAGGCATGCAACTGGACATCCCGGAGAACGGCCTCATGGCAAAGTACGGCGAATGCCCAAAGTCGTGTCTGCGAACTCGCGCGCCGTGCGTTCGTCGGGTGTTGTTTCACCTCCACATACCCGAACACCACCGGGAGACAGAGACGAAGGGCGAGGATGGACATCATCAAGATGTGGTATTGAGATCCCGTATGTCGTGACAGGATATCTGGATGGATGTCAAACGTGATGGACATCTCGTACATCAGAAATCGCGGCATTGACCAAAAAGAAACTGGATCCTTGGAACCATCAAACTGGTGTTCAAGAAAGCAAGAAAGACTCTCACTATGACGTCTTATACACCATCTCGGGTGATCAAACAGAGCTCAGCCAGAGCCTAGCTACCCTGCCATGGCCCCTGGATGACTGAGATCATGAATGTATAAAAGTCTACGTGCATTGAACCAGACCCCTCATCTTGCAACAGCCACCTTAAGGACCGCTCCCGTATCCATGGACAAAGCCGTGGAGCACCACAAAGTCTCACCAACCGCCAAAGGAGCTGTTCCAAAGTCTCTGTCACTTACTCCCCACAGAAATAGTCATCCTACATCACTCTTGCTCTCAGTTTATCGTGTAGTTGTATCAAGTGTATTCCCCTATCCATACAAGCCGATCCCCTCTTGTATATATGCGTCTAAAATGTCTACAAAAATGCTGTGCTGTTGTTGTCACCACCCCAACGCCTTCTTACGCCTTTACATGTCTGTGTATATCTTTTGTGTGTCTCTCGTCCCCGTATCTCCCTCTTGTTGAAAAGAGCCGCGCCCGTCATTATCTCGTAAGTATACAATGCAAATAGGTATTATCCTCCGTGGTGGCCAAGTCGCTTTCGAAATGTGCTGTTATGCCATGCCATATATATCCAAAAACCCAAGACAAGAATGCAAGAATAGAAGAGACAAAAGAAGAAGAAAATGTTTCAAGTGGGCTTAGAACCACTTCCAAGTCACGCCCTCCTCCAGCTTCTTCAAAACGCCGACGGCGTCGACGTAGAGGCGGCTGCGCCCGCCGATGCAGTCCACGTCGAGCCACCTTCTCACCAGCGCGACAACTGAAATCGCGTCCTTCTTGGACCTCAGGTGGAGGACATCTCTGGCGCGCATGCTTGCGATGGTGCGCACCCATCTAAGCGCTGAGCTCTCGTCTGCGTGGTCGAGAGGGCTGTCGCGGGAATCGCGGTGACCGTAGGCCCAGCAGATGAGCGCGCAGACGTACATGCCCCAGTAGTCCGAGATGTCGTCCCTCCACATTCTGGGGCGGCCGATGTCCCAGTCGTCCTCGTCGTCCGAGTCCTCTTCGATATTTCCGTGTTCGGTGAAGGCGCGGAGGGCACGGCAGGCGAAGGCGACGGCGACGGCGGCGTCGCCTGTGTCGCACCACTTGGCCAGGCGCTTCTGGTGATCGGTGAAGGACTTCACTTCGAGGACTTTTTGGCTGAAGATCCAGCTGTCGCCGGAGGCGGCGAGGAGGTCGTGGAGAGGGGTGTGAGCGAGGGCGAGGTAGGTGTTTGCGACGGGGCAGTCCGGAAAGATGTTCGCCATGCGGTACGTCTCTGGTTCCGTGATCTCCGAGGAAGAGCGGGAGAGCTTTGCGGGGTCGTCCCGGGTAGGTAGAAGCAGAGTCTCCAAGGCTAAGATAACGGCACGGTCGAAAGGGACATGGGTGTTGACGCTGTTCGCAGAAAGGGTGTCTGGGTTGATTATAGAAAGCATGGGCGGCTCGTTGAGGGAATCGCCCTTAGAGGTTACCATGGCAGCCCAGGCATCGGCGCTGGCTGCTTCCCAGAGATCGTTGGTCGGACCGATAAGGGGGATATTGGGGACGCCGTTCGCGACGATATCGAAGTCCCGGATGCGCTGCTGCTCCAGGTATACCGAGCTGTGTGTATCCAAAACGAAGAAGGCAGCGAGAAGGCGGCGGCGGGTTTCCGTGTGAAGCCAAGTATGCCATCTGACGGTATTGGCGCCGTTCATTGGAACTGGATCGAAGATGGAGCTGTCGGATACCTGGGAAAAGGTTTAGAATTCTGTTGCAGGAAAGCGATACCAAAAGAAAGAATCATCAAGAAAAGTAAAGACGAAAGCTAAAAGAGAAAAAAAAAGAAGATTAAAGAACACAATAGATGGAAGAAAACTTACTCTAGTGTAAATCGATTCGAATTCTTTCGATGGCCGGATGGCCGCTCGTCTACCGCGGAATCGGTTGAAGTACTCACACAGCAGAATCGTTTGCATGACAGATACATCCCATTGGAGGATCTGCTTAGTTTGGTCAGCTGGATAGTTCGAACGAAAGGCGTGTGTTGCTTACGCGTCTGGACTGTTGCCAGGCATATTCATGCAATTGATTCCCCCTGATGCGATCCTCCTTGGTACCCATGTACTGGGTAGCTACTGCAGCCATGGCGCAGCGGAGCACGTCAATCTGCTCCGCAGCGGCCTCGAAGGTCCGTCGGTGAACAACGGGGAAAAGGTGATGAACCTTGTCCCAGTAGACCTCGAGGTAGTTGGGAATGGCTTTGTAGACATTTGCAGGAGGCAAAGGCAAGGAGCCTTGCATCAGGGCCGGGGCCGCCAGGAGGCCCAACGCCACCTCTTTCTGGCGGCCCAAACAGGCGAGTGAGTTCATCATCCGGTCTGATGGTAGTGCAGTCGACGGGGTGACTAGAATTTCAGATGATTGAGCCGATGCCGATGTCACCGGCGGGGTCAGGCTACGAACAGTATTGACATATCGTGGTTCTTGGTGGGGGTCGAGAAGCGTCTGCTCGTCCGAGTATCCCGACATTGATACATCAATCATGGGGAAAACTTGAGAGTTGCTGATTTGGGGCGAGGGCGAATATTGATAGAACATCGGAGTGGTTGTCGCAATGGCATCGAGGCTGGCCTCCCTGTAGGGCGTGAGGAGGTTGCCAGACCATTCCGTATTGGGCCTTGCCGTTGGCCACAGTGCGCCGCGGCGAGAGTGATCAGAGGGTGTAGAGTAAGTGCTGTCGGAAGCAGAGGATGGCCATGCGGCATTGTCTTGGGTATGCGAGAGCTCGGGCGGTCCGTCGGAACCAGGCATTTGAATACCCAGTCCATTGGTCTGAAGATACAACGAAGGGAACTCCGGTGTTGTGCGCGGCTGGCTGTAATCAACCGTGGAGAATGTCGGAGGGGTGTGGAAGCCGTGGGGAGAGTGTTGAACAATAGGTTGTTGCGCGGATAAGGAGTAGCTTCCGCCATAGCCAGAACCGCCTGGAGAAGAGCGGTAATCTTGGCCCATGTGAGGAGACATTGACTTGCTCATGTCGGGTGCGCCCATCGATTGGTAGGGACCGGAGTTGGACATGTTCGGCGTCATCGGGAGACCTTGGACCGGGGTCGATGCATTCGGTGGGTAGCCCATCATGGGGTGCTGGAGCCCAAGACCACGGACGCCTCCTTCCATAGAACCGGCAGAAGTCCTGCGGCTCGCGCCTCCTCTCGACGCCTTGTCGCCTTCCAGTTCACTGAGGAAGTCAGCAAGAGTATTCTCAATTCGTTGCGCGGACAACCTACTGTCGTTGTTGATGACGCTCAAGCAGATCTTTTCGGTGAAACGCCCTGTCGCAACCTGGCACAGCGCACGCGTACTGGGGAGTTTCGTGACTGAGCTGGTGTCGTCTAGAGATATTTGTCAGTGGGTGAGGCGAATAACGCGTCGCCGTATGTCTTACCTCAGGTGCTCGGCACGGGTGAAGGTCTGGCTAAAGTCAGAAGATGTCTCGAGTTGCCCTTGTTGCCTGGCTTACCTTGGGAGGACGGCAGATATCGCACGTGTGGACCTTCATGCCCTTCTTTGCGCGGCTGACCCGTCCGGTGATCGGAGTCAGCTTGACGGGCACGTCCGATCCAGGCGGCGGGTTGCTGAATGGCCTCGAGGGCGCGCCGGAGGGGTCGTAGCCTCCAGCAGACGGCCCAGCATAGCCGTGTCCATAGTTTGACGGATCCATATTCTCAGGGCTGATGTTGCTTCGTCGACGAGAGGTAGAGGGTCTGCCGGACGAAGACGACGAACCGGTTGAAGATTTCGTTATTCGTGACGGACTGCGATTATTCGATGTTGTGTTTTCTGGTTGATCTCCGCCTGTCGCATAACCCGAGTTGTATGTTGGGCTGGGTGCTAGATATGGTTGGTGATATATGTTTGAAGAGGTCGGGAGGTGGTCGTTCTTATTGGTGTGGGAGCCGTGTTGGTCCTCGTCGACGTTCATGATATCTTGGAGGCTAGCCATGGTTTATGTTGCCCGCAACCGGGACGGGATGTGACGAAGGCAGATAGGCAGAGCTGTTGTGACCACAGTGAGCAACGCAGAGGAAGAAACACAGCCAAACTTAGTAATACACAGCCCAGCTGAGGGCAGTCTCCTCTCTGGGAATAGAGCGTGAGGTGCAGACGATGGAGATGGCAGCAGCAACCCCCAACGTCCAGACGCAGTGTGAATGGGGGGGCAAGGCAATGGAGGCCCGGTGAGAAAGGGGGGGTGTCAGTGTAGAAAAGAAGGCTAACTGAGGTAAGGTAAGGCGAGGTAAGGTAGGGAAACTGGGGGAGGTAGGCGTAGGCAGTAACCGTAAGGTAAGGTACGATAGAAAGCAAGACTTTTGGGGGGCTGTTCGTGAGTGTCAGCCTGACCAACAGGCTAAGGCTAAGGTCGGTAGGGGGGGTGAGGGTCAGTCGAAGTGAGATGCAGAACCGGTCTGCAGTGGTTATGGTAAGGTATGGTCTGCAGACGAGAGGCAGAGCGAGGCGAGGCGTTGGTTCTAAGCGATCCCCATATGCAATGGAACAGAATTCAGAAAAGAGACAAAGATAGTGTTGTTGTTGGTGCTGTTTTGTGCCGCTCTGGTTGTTGGAGACATTGCATTTGCTATATTGAGAGGAAGGCAAGGCAAGGCAGTTGAACTTGCAGAAGCGCGGCGCATGAGCAGCAGAAAACGCGGGAGATGTCAGCTCTTCAAGGAGGCTGTTCTTCTTGAGGCCTCTATGCCCCCCCTGTCAGCTGTAGACATGGGTGATTCAAGGGCGTCGAAGCTCGTTAGTTAGAACCGTAGGAACGTACTTTGTAGGCAGGTCAGAAATGCAAGGTACTCGTTCGAAAGGGTATCGGCCGAGCTGGGGTTTCGGTCACCCACCACTGCATATGGCGTCGGGTTGATTGGCAGAGAGGCCGGATGCCTGTCATACGACTCAGCCCTCCAAGGCTGGTTAGACGAGGTCCCACGGGGGTCCCACGCAGCGTCTCCCCGACTTGTACTGTAAATTTGCCGCGATACTACGGAATGAGCGCGTCTGGGATCGGCTCCTATGTCTCGTCCGTGCTGTCTTCACGGACAAGAAGTCAGGGGATGAGGAGGGCCATAGGGCGGAAAAGCCGCGGCACGATGAGGTAGCCGCGGAATGCAACCATGGCGATGATGCCTCTTTTGTGTTGTTTGACCGTGTCTCTCCTCCTGTCTCGGGAGATCAAGACAAGATCGTGGGAAACCGATCGCATGTCGGCGAAACCCCCAGGACACGGGACAGGCGCGTCATTTCCCATTGTTTGGGACGAACGGCCGGCAAGATTGATAGGGGATCGGCGGGAAAAACACGTTGAGGGCCGGTACAGGCGCTGCCGGCGGTGGGAAATGCCAGCAGACGCCGCGAGAAAAAAGCCGCCATTCTCTTCGAAAGAGGGAGAGAGATAGAGGCCGTTTCTCGATGAGGAATAGCGATATGCGGTTATGGCGTCACGTCACCGGTCGGATGGTTGATACGAGACGAGAGAAAGAATTTAGCGGCGCCAAATGGAGCGCGGTCATTCCGTTTCCCACAGTACCTGGAGTACTCCTGTACCCAACTTTGGTGCCTAGCGGCCGCTAGCGTCCGTGGTTGAGGAAAAAGTGGCTTGTAACTGCGTTGTTTCTGGGGGAATAGCTGTTGACCGAAGGTACTGTATGCTGAATTTGCTGCAAGAGAGAGAAAAAATTGTCAGACGAAGTGAGGCGCAGTCGTCAACCGTAAAGTAAACTGTTGTCATTGCTGTGCATGCATGAGTCGGTGTCCCTGTCAAATACCCCCTGTTGACTGGCTTTCCCCTTTGGGATTTTGACTTTACAGGGAGTTGAAATGGCAGCGGGTTGGCAGGCAAGCTGAATATTTGAGATGTGAGCATCGAGATGAATACTGTGAATTGTAACGGATGAAGTGACGTTCAGCGTTCAGCGTTTTAAATCAAGTTCCGTCCAAAACGATGCCGCCTCTCCTCGAATAGTATACGGATACGTCCAGTGTACCTGTGTGGTGGAGAAGACGGCTGACTGCGTGGTGCCGTCGCTTTTGCTCACCGCGATACTGCGGCGCATGTGTCTTGTGACTCTTGGATCGTCCATAATAAGCAACAGTTCCTGCGACCTGCGACCGGTGACTTGTATTGTTGCTTTCTCCAGGTAACAAGATTGGCGCATGTCTCTTCCGTCTCCCGGGCGGAGGGACCCAACCGTCTCGCGGCAGGCGAGTGTTCCGTTACGGCGGCGCAGAGGGAGAAGGAGAGACACAATGATGTCAATCGACCGAGGACCGAGGATCATGAATCCCGTTGATTGAATACCTAGGCAGCTAGGCCGGGAAATCCAACCCGGTTCAGGGGTTCGGATTTCGGAGGATGATTCCCTGCCTGCCGTGTTTTGACTCAGATCCCCGATGCTAAGACGTTGTTAATTTCTGCAAATCTTTTAGCTGATCAATAACGAAGCCGGCCATCTTGAAGCGGCCCTGCTCAACAACGGCCGCTCGAAAAGCCTGTAACTGAGCCGTTGGCTGTCATCGCAAATACCTGACAGCAAGAAAAGACCAAGAAACGCCATGCAGCGCCCGGCCCGCTGAGAGACATGGGAATGACATGGGCAACGACAGGGATAGCCCCGAATCGGCGGGGATGGCAGGGGCTTAGACGCAGCCCAAAGCCCCATTGGTGTGAAGGTCACGAACCACTCGTGGGTTTTGCATCCTATTTTTGTAAGTGTCGTCAACTCTGGCGATGCTCGATATATCCTCAGCTCAATATGTTCGAAACGGTCGCAAAGAGCGTGTATCGCGCGTGAATGATGCGACGACCGAAATAGTGTGGCAGATGGTAACTGCGAAGTACCTTAGCATGCAATGCGAGCGAAGCTGTCAAAAGACAGACGAACACGTTGGCATCGAGACACGCTAAAGTCCGACGTGCCTTAGCCTGGGCATGGCGAGAGCCGATATGGATTTTGGACGGTGGAGCGTCCGAATGGGGCCACACCGACGGCTTGGACCGACTGCAGGGACGGATGGGTCCGGGTCGCATCTCAGTCAAGGGAGGACGGGAAGGGAACGGACAAGGCGAGATGCGACGTCGGGGGAGGAATTCTTCAGTGTTTCAGTTTCTGCCGGTGCCGAATGGATGGGCTGGACCTGGACCGAGGTGGTCGGTGGTGAAGCCCTCATAACAATCTTGGGGTCCGAATCGAATGCGTGAGGTGGGATGTGGCGGCCGGGGCATCTCGGCTCACGACGGAGACGGCCACGGTCCTTGTCACGACCCACGACCAGCCGAACTGATCATCTTGCGGGAGGGAGGAGATTATCCAGGGGGGCGGACCATTGAGACCTGAACCGGGTCAGTCGGGTTGAATTGAATTGGGTTTGGGGGCCGGACCGGCCGAGACTGCGGCATGCGAGATATCTTGTTTGAAACGCCATGCTTGTTGATCGCCGGGCCAAAAGAAAGCGCCTTGCATCGACGGGGCCCGTTTCAAGTTTTCCGGTTTGCAGGGCAAAGAGGATGCAGATGCAGTTGGTTCTGTTTGTGGAATGAAATGGTGTGAAAAACTCGAGATACCAAACTGGAAAGAAAGAAAAAAGTCTGCCGGGGCTGAATTGCGGTATCGTCCAACAAGGGCGGGGACGTAGCGGGAAAAGGGAAGGATTCGCAGTGATGATCTCGGCAATGATTCATGTAGCAGTAGAGGATCCGGTCCAGCCGGAGGGATGTCGTTCCGATCCTTCTGGTCCAGTCAATGTTGATTTTTTTTGAGCGGAAGGAATCAACCCCGGCCAGCGAGGCACTTTGCAGTCTCGACGAGGACAGCGCCTTCCCAACACCAACTGAGTTATGTTGGTGCTGTGTGCATCGACGTCCATGTGTCGATAGCACTGCACATACTCTGTAGACGAGCGGGAAGGATGACCCGAACCGTTGCTTCTCCTTGGCCTCCCGTCAGGTCTTTGAAGAATGATGCGAACAAAAGACCGTGTATGGCAGGTACCTTACATAGGCAGGAACCTTGCAACCGAGGTGCCTTACCGCAGATTCCTTCGATGGTACCTTGAAGTGGCACTCGCATCTCATCATGATATCTGAATCCAAATTAAGGCAATGCAACATCTAATTCCAAGTCCAACACCAACTGTGCCGCTTCAAAGCTGGATCTTCAATGTAACCTCCCGTTATAAGAAACTCATCGTCTCATGGTTGTGAACTTCAGCTGGTCGCACTCCGAGGACACCGTGGACACCGTGGATCTCCAGCAATAACCGTTTCTGGATATCAAGGCTGAGGAAATGCCAGCGGTTAACAGTCAACGGCCGCAACGAAACTCACCGGTACCCAGCCAAGACGTCGCATTTCGAAGTTTGTGACTGTAATTCGTCTGCATCGCACTCCAACAGCACTCCTTCCCGAGCCCTGCCAACTCAAAAAAGTGCATCGCAACCACGATCGTGACTGCTCTTTCTCGCTGACTCCATCGCGGTCGTCGGTGCTTCGCCGCCTCGCCGACTGAGGAAGTTGCTGATGCCCCACTTCCAGTACCTGCCTATCCCCGTTCTTTTTGGCAGGGGCCGGCTAACCTTCAACGGGAAGGACCAGGGTCGGCGCTTAACCCTAAGGTACCCAAGGTATTTTTAGTACCATCCGAGCTTCGACGTTTTTTTCCCCGTCTCCGGCTTGATCCCGCTGGCGGTCCTTGTCGATACCACTTCGCTGAACCAGGGTCATTCTCAATCACCACACCAAAGTCCCCCAAGTCCCCCTAAGAACGGCTGTCAACGGTGCGGCAACCCCGTTTGTTCAAGGCCCGTTTGAACTAAACATTCGGCATGAATATCGAAACGAACGTCCTGACGTCGCTCATGCACATCAGCCCTAGTCTTATCAATCCCGTAACCTACCTTACCTTACCTTACGCCCGATCGCAAACCGGATTCTCCATCATCGAGAAAAATTTTTCGCATCTCAATTCTCGTCGTCCAAGGAACGTCAAGGAAGTTGGTTCTATTGTGTACGGATACTCCCCGCTCCTCTCGCTAAAATAAGGAAAAGGGGGAAGAATCCGAACTGACCCGCCTCGCCAGATCGTCAAAGTTCCTGTTGGTCGTCATTTCGTAGTACGAAGGTCCTTTCGAGGAGACGAATACCAACAGATGCGACCATTTCATGTAATGCGACTCACACCCACCGCATCGCACAGCACAGCAACCACTACAGGTCCAAACCGATGCCCTGAATATCCGCCCTTGACTGCTCATCTGCAGCCCAATCCAATCTGTTGGTCCTCCTGCCGGTGTCATCTGAAGTCTGGCCGTCCCTCCCGACTCCCGAGTGCGAGCCATGTCATGCGGAGAACCTTTACTTCAGCCAGTCTTAGCCCCCGACTCCGTCGCACCACGTCTTTGCTAAGCAGGAAACACCCATGTCACCAACCGAGGCCGTGGACATAGCCCGATCCACGGCGCATTGCAGTCATTGCATTTTCCCTTTCCATCCCAATACGTTGCCTACTGCATACCCGTAGGGCAGAGGAGCGTCACAATCGACGACTGTGGATGCAGATGCCGATGCCGATGCTGTCGCCTAGGTACTCGACCTTGGATTTTCTAACGGCCGAAGCTACGGCCGCAAACCACGGCAGCAAAACGGCTCTTCTCCCACGTCTCTGTCACCAGACATCCTTCAAGCCACTGGCTAACCACACGGCACCGGTCAAGCCTGATGGTTGTCACAAATCGACTTCCTCTCGTCAGAAACTTCACGTAATCAACGGCAACATGTCAGCATTCCATTGCGACACTTTACCGCCCGAAGCGCCTGCCGCTTCTATCTACAGAATTTGAAGGTGCTGCTCTGCCCTCATGTCCAAGACACCACTCAGCTGTGCTGTACACCAAAACAGCTGCCTAGTCGACCGTCTTGGCGGATACGCATGTCTCTGTCTGGTTCGCGCCGCAGAATGAGATCGCACGTCGACCTTCATGCAGCGTCGATTGCAAAGTAGCAAAACATGGAATTCCAGTCGCGGTAATGCCAGTCGGAGCCAAAGTAGGTCACTTGCAGCTCACTCACCATCATGTCATTCTTCGCAGCAGACGGATCCAACAGAGCGGCCCGGCACGTTCGTTCCCTCGTGTTCCTGCTTCGGACTAAGGCACCTCGAACATGTGCCGCACATGGCCAGGGACGAATCCTATCGACATCGTTCCACCAATGGCGTCCATTGCTGCTCTTCGCTTCCTTACTCAGCCGTACTGCCGAGTCCTTTCCGGTTCCTCCCTCAGCACATCTCCATCTTCGATTGCAAACACTTTGCGAGATACACTCCACTTGAATCTTGGGGGCAGTGCCTCGTTGTGCTCAATACAGTCAAGCCAAGCCGCTTCTTTGCGTGGGGTAACACGCGATGCGGCTTGCGCTGATGCAGTGCTTGCGGCTCGCGGCTCTGGATATTCGCACTCCCTCTAGCCGAAGGATCAAAACTCAGCCTTCCCGTCACTCGCATTTCATCATAACCGCATACTCAGCCCCCCATGCCCACCATCGGCGGCTAAGTCGCAAACCCAAGGCACTTCCTTCCCTTTGGATTCGTTTCAGTTCTCAGTTGCCGATTTGAAGCATGAGCGGCTTTTTCGATTGGATTAATTTTGCTTCATGGCGACTTGCGTCTCGCGTCTGGCGCCAAAATAGCCCAACCAGCACATGCCATGGAAATACACATCACATCGTGGATAGTAACATGGTGTTAGTTCACGGCTATTTTCTTCTCAGTCACCGAGATCAAATACACCCTTGCTGGGTGTTTATCCCGGCTGAGTGTGCGCATGCAGACCCCATGATGCCATTCGCATCCCCAGCATCACTTGCGGAAAGCAGTTCTGTGTTCCAGATCAGCTTTGCCCCAATTCGTCAATCTCAGCCTTCGTCTCGGCGGCTAACAGATCGGATCAGGAGCCGCGAAGGACTTTCCTGATAGCGGCAATGCACCATGTACGTGATGGGGACGCAGGACTGCGTACCTTGCATGGGGTTCACCCGGATCACAAATTCGAGACAGGACCCCAATGAAAGCTGAACAGAGTCCGCAGCGTCGAGTCTCGTGTTCGAAAATAACGATTCCTCATGATGATGAATTCACACGGTGATTCTCTTGTTACTGCGGCTGAGGAGCCATTCGCCGAAGCGAAGACCCTAGGCCTGCGCCTGAACAAATCGCCTCACGACGGCACGATGATCGAGCATGATGATATGACGATAAACCTTGCTGGAACGGTCTACCACAAAGCCGTAGCTCCTCAATCCTCGAAAACGCCTCGGCTAATCATCTCGCTTGTCGACATCAACGATGTCATCACGATTAGGATATAGCCGTGGTCGCAGAATGTCAGCCTCGTGTTTAACCAAACAGAATCTCTCTAATCAGGGTCCATACCTGGTCCGAGAGGCTTGGTTGACGAACTATTAGGAAACCGAACGTTCGTTTGCCACAGGCCCCCGGCACCAACATGAGATGAACGCCCGCCACCCGGCGCGGCACCACATTCCGGGTCCGGGCCCAGGCCTATGACCGTGCCGTGCATCTCGACAGGCGAACTGGTGCGCCTCGCCTTCGACGCTCCTTACTCGAATGGCCGGGCTTTTGTGTCATACCATGCCGCGCGGGGGGAGGCCATGACGAACAATGATAAACGAGGTCCAGACCAAGCCCCAACCGTCATCGGCCCGTCTTGGTCCGCTTCGATATGGCCATGATCTACCATTCAAGCCACAGAAGAGGATGGATGTTGCCTCGCTTGGCTGTTTACCGCCTCAAAACTCATTTCCCCAGGCCCGGCGGCCGGCGGGATCGATCCAGAGAATGAAGAGTGCCCTCTGTTGGCAAGGATGTGAAAGAACTTGAAACATGGGTGGTTTACCACGGAGTTGGATAACCAACAACGTTTTGGGGACTTTTGGCGAAAGAACAGAAAAAAAGCCCCCATCGAGGCCGGGCTGTGTGTGAACCAACCAACAGCACATCATTCATGGCCACTCACTCACGCTCCCCGCAACTTAACACCAACAACCCATGACGAAAATGTGATGGGGTACCGTGGAGGCGACGAGGTGTTGGCCGTTTTCTGACAATGCTGAGTTCCTCCTGCGTCTTGTTCTCCCCCCCGCGTGCGAAGATAAAGTCCAACGGTGTTTGGGGGTTGAAATACACGATCGACACATGTTCAGTGTTCACACCGGTCCGCACGGAGCCGAAGGCGGCTCCATCTCTCCCAACCAACAAACTGTGTGATTTCGGCCGTGCTTGCGGGCGTAAGAGGTACGTGAGCTGTAAGAGGGGGGTGGTGTGGAAGAAGTGTGAGCGGGAAGCCGAAGCAAGCTCCAACGGCTTGCCGTGAAATAGGTCGGAGGAGCTCGTGCTTTCCCATGAGTCGGAGGAGCTTCGGTTTTCCTCATCAGTTAGTTGGAGGGAGCTCCGGCTTCCCGTGATGGTCTGCCCTCCCCTTCTCCTTCCCCTTCCTCGCGAGCCGGGTCCATCCCGGTTGCGTCGAGAGCTGAAGCTAAGCTACCCAGACTTGGGACGAGACCTGTGACCGTGGACCCCTCTTTCTCTTTTCCCCTCGTCCCATCGTGCTTGTCGCGAGCGCGATCCGAGACGCGAGACCGAAGAAAGAAGGAGGAAGAAGGAAGAAAAACGGCCATGTGCGGCTTTCCGGCAATGAAGCGGACCGGACCGTCCGTTATGCCCCGTCCTTGACTTGGTGAGTTGGATGTTTGTTTCGTTTCGTTTCCTTTTTGTCTGTGTGTCAACGGGCGGTAAGCTACATCTTGAAGCTTCTGCTTCGCAAGATCAACAAGCTGGTCCAGGCTACTTCGACAATTTGATTTTGTTTTTGCCAGTAGATACCTATGTAATAAGCGGGATCTTCTATTCAGGACCAAAGGCGCGCGGGAATGGTTTCCCCGAAGACAGGACACACGACACGAAACGCCTTCATGAAGAATAAAACAAGACAACGGACAAAGACACCAACAGTAATAGATACACTTTGCGATACCGGACATCACTCCCTCTTTTACTTTTTGGTAAGCCGGTTCACAACATTTCCATCCTCTTCCCTCTCTCTCTGTCCCACTTCCTGTTGCTCTCGTGTAGTTTTGGAAGAAAGAAAGACCCATCATCATGCCGTGAGGTAATTAAGGTAGGAAACGGTTGAGAGGCATGACGTTTTGGGATGTTCAGGGCTATTATGAGGCGCTCGCGGTGGCGGCGGTGGACTGCTGGGGGACGACGCGGCCGCGGGGGCTCTTGCCATCGGACTCGGACTCGTCGTCTGAGTTGCGGCGGGAGGGGCTGTCTTGTTCCCTCTTGGACTTGGTCATCTGCGGGCATGCTGGTTAGCTTTCAATATTCCTCTTGTCTGCGCAACGACTAAAGCAAACTTACCCATGAACGAACACCGCCGACAAGACCCAAAGCGTAACCCGTGATAAAGTCGTTTGAGGTCGGGGCCGGGGTGCCGCCGGGAGTGGTAGGCGGGATCTCGACGCTGAGCTTGGAGCGGTTGGCGTGGGCGGCGCCGGGGAGCTCGCCGTTCTGGATGTACGAGGTGCGGGCGGCGGGCGCGGGAGACTGGGGCCGGGAGGCGGGCCAGAACTGGCGCAACTCGCGGGAGAGCTCCTGACCGGTGGTGGACCAGTTGGTGCGGATGTTATCGCGCAGCTCCTGGACGTGGCGCTTGAGGTCGAGCTCGTTCTTCTTGATCCAGCTGACGTTGAGTTCCTGGCGGGAGGTGCCACGCTTGAATTGGCGGGCAATATACTTTTCGTAGTCGCGGACGATCCTGTTGGTATAATTGTTAGCATTTGCTGCTCCTATGTTCCTCTTTTCAAGCGGTTCCCTCGAAAGTCGCCCTGAAAGCTTCAAAAAAAGAAGCGGGAAGACATACTTGGTGATGATACCCGTCGTGCTGACACCCTCAGTTCTCTGCGTGACCAAGAACTTGCCGGCCTCCTTGATAGGTCTGTAGATGTCGTCGCCCTCGTCGGCACCGTAGGGAAGGTCGTCGTGGGCGACGTAGTCGATCTTGTGCTGCTCGAGGAAATCTGGCGTGACGATCCAGGGGCAGTCCTCAATGACCTCATCAACCCATTTGCAGTGGCGGACGGTCTCGGCGCGCTCGCGGCCGGAGAGGACGGTCAGACCTTTGCGCTTGTGGGTGTCGACGTCACCGGCGACACCAACGATGAGGTGGACGTCTGGGAAGGCCTTCTTTGCTTGTTCGAGCTGGCGCATGTGACTGTCGGACAGGAGTTAGCTTCAAAGTGGTGGTGGAAACGCTCGAGGTTGCTGGCATATCTTGCCGCTAGAAGCGGGCAAGCTGGCCGAAGCTCGGGAGGAGGTGCGAGACGTACCCGAGATGGAAAAGGTCGAAGACGCCGTCGGCGTATACTCTCACAGGTCTGCCAACGGGCGGGTCATTCGTCCTAAAGCCCACGGGGTGCGTGAGCTTGCCGATGGGCGGGGGCGGCATGGAATCCTCGCCGGCGCCGGCAGCGGAAACACCCTCCTTGATCGAGACCTGCTTGCGGTTGTTCTTGCGGCCGACGCGCTCGGCAATGTCGACACTCGCTTCGGTGGTGTCGCTGGGCTCGCCGGGGTCGAGGGAGTGTTCTTGCGCGGCGGCGTTGGCGGAGGGGTTGTTGGTGTTCTCGTGGGTTGAGCGCTCCGAGTTGGCGCGTTGGCGCTTAGACGGGTGGCCGGCGGCGGAGGCAGAGGCGGTGGAGTCTGTTTTGCGGTGGATGCGGCCGGATTCCGGAGCGGTGCTATCGCCTTCCTCGCCCGAGGCATCGCGGGAGGAGGCCTGGAGGGAGGCGTCGAGGTCTGGTTGGGGCATCGTGTTGGAGGGGCGTTTGCGTTTGCCTGCTGCTGAGGAACCTGATGGGGAAGACATCTTGGAGGGGAAGAGGGGGGAAAGCTCTGTGGCTAGAGGGGGGAAGGGATGTGGTTTTGAGGATTGGGTTGTTGGCAGATGAGGTGTAGCTTGGAAAGCGGTCTGGTCTGCGTGATGCGTGTAGTGGTTGTGGTTTGTGGTGTTTCGCGTGGAGTGTGGTGGGTTTAGGGGCGGTATGGAGTCGAAAGAGGCGTATGCGAGGGATCGGCGGAGGGTATGGCGTAAGGTATGCAGGAACTAGGGAATTCTCCTATGGCTGTCGAGTCGAATTTCTGGTTTGGAACGGGCGCGGGATGCGTAGGTGTGTGGTTGTGCTGGCCTGCCTTGGTTTTAGTTAGGAGGGGCGTTGATGACGATGTAGGTATGTAGAGACAGGATGGATGTTTGGACCGAGGACACAATTGGCATAGGAGCTACCAGGGAAGCGGGAAAAAATAATAAAAAGCTTGGGATTGGGGGTGGGTTTGATAGGTTGCATTAGACGGAAGATGATGGAAACTTACCACTCACTCTGAGAGGTTCACGGGTCTACCTTTTGCGCGCGCAACGAACGGGAAAGTCCAGCCAGCGGCGGTTCGGTTTAGTCCAGTAGAAGCAAGTGCTCGGGTGATGGCTCAAGTTGCCGAAGAGCAGATGCTCGAGGTAAGGTCTGGGTAACCAGCGCAATGCAGGAGCGAGCAGCAACAGGAGCAGCAGTAGCAGCAAGATTGCAGCATATGATACGGATTAGACCTGCAGCTAGTGGGGTGGGAGCGTCTTCTCCGGTCGGACTGGCGGGACGCGGACCACGCAGGCTGGGGGAAGCGGCTTCAAAAAGGTTAAAGTTGGGGCTTGAACAAGTCCAAAAGCGTGGGTGACAGCTGTTATGAAGCTCGTTAACCGCGGCTGTAGAGGTTCGCGATCAAAAAAAGATGTTGATGCGAAGGATAGCTCGGTTTCTTGTGTGTACTGCAAGTGCAAGGCTAAGCAGGAACCATTTTTTTTTCTTGGACCAGAGTCGCGTGTCACGAGTGGGAAAATGCCACGATGTCCATCAAGAAAGTGTACACGGTCACAAAATGCATGGCGCAAACGCGCAGGAGCAACATGCCTGTCTCCCTTTCCATTGCCAACTGCTGCTCGCAATTCGGGAACCGCTCTGGTCGTACCCGCTCCGACGGACAGCATGGACAGTCCGAAATGGAAAGGAGACATGGACCTGGAGGAGTGAGATTGTGCTGTGCTTGGTTCTATGCAAAGAGGTCCTGTTGCACATGCGTAATTGCCCAGATTGTGCAAGGCAGTGGCGTCATCGCAATGTGGCTTGAGCCATCAAGTGCACGCACAATTACGTCGGAGAGACGTGGCTGGCATAGCTCGACCAATAGTTGGTGAGTGAGCAGGTGTCGGAATTAAATAAAGCTAAAATAAAAATAAAAAGAAGGTCGTCCGTCGTCCGTCGTGTGCGGGTCATTTCTGCCCGGCAGGGATGGTTCGAGATTTCACGATTCTGTTGGGGAGAAAGTGGATTCCACTCCCCTTCTCCGACCGGTACGTACCCGTAAGCAAGCACCTCGTCGGTCTCTCCAACCGAACCAAGGAAGTCGACACGTGGGCTTCGCGGTTGAAACTCGGTTCGATCTGAACTGAAGGGAGCTGAATTTGTTGTTCTGAGCAGCGGTTGTGTCGACGACGGGCGTCATTGCTCGCGTCGAAAATCATTAGAACTGCGGCTTTTTCTCTCACTCGCGCTGTATGTTTGTCTGTTCTTTCAAATGGAAACAAGTCGAAGCCGCATCGAATCGAATTTCGGCCAATTAATGCGCTCGACCCACTGCCAGCGTGCCTCCGCTGGGGTGTGACGCCATGCATGAATCGACTGCCTTTTTGGATGACCGAGGGGATTCGGTGCTCTCGGCCCTGTCACAGAGAACAAACTTCGGGGTCGGCACGTGCGGGCACGGGAGATGCGGCACGGAAGCGGAAAGGTGGGGCTCACTTGACCGGTCCGATTCCTGAGGGTGGGTCCCGGGCCATCGCCGATATGCGCCGGTGCAATATCGAGCGTAGCAAGCATCGCAATGTATTCAAGCTGCAACTGCCACTGCCTCCTAGTAATGTTTCTGGATTTCTCTTTTGGTTGTATCTCCCTTTACTCAGATTAAGGCATCTCTGACCATAGAAGCCTAAAAAGTCTTTAACTCAGCTTGAGTAACCTCTTCTAATAAGCATAAAATAATTGAGACTTCACTTGGGCTCAATCGCATCAATCTAGGAAGTATGACATCGAAGTGCACAAACTAGGTATTTACTCATTGACTAGAGTAATACCGGACTGATTCAAGTCTGCTGCCCTTCCGTCATCTGCTCCATCTAGACCCTGCCCATCAAGGTCCTCAACCACAATGGAGCTACGAGAAACACCAAGACAGGGATCACCACTATCTATTATGCCTTTCATTGGCTTATCTCACACTTCTCAGCTGGCCATCAAGGTAGATTCCAGCGGATGACATCCTCCCTCCTGATTGTGTGACTGAAGTACGTTAGGCAAGTAGGCCCTGAGCCGGACGTCTCACTATGGACACATCAAAACCATTCTTGCCCCCGAGGAAGTCTTCCTGTTCTCCTACACTCATCCTATTACCCCGCGATCACACACCTCTTGTCATTTCCTAGTCCCAGAGTCACCATGACGGAACAGTTCGTCCACGACGTGATCATCATCGGCGCCGGCCCCTGCGGCCTCGCCGTGGCTTCCCGTCTTTGCGAACACTCCCCATCCGCTCTCTTTACGGACGAGGAACACCAGCGTTACCACTGGATCCGCAAATACGGCCGCCGCATGCCTCTCAAGAACAGACGCAACGGCAGCATCATTGAGAAAAGAACACAAAACCACGGCCAGAGATACTCAACTCTTGTCTTGGACGCAACAGGGGACGAGTGGTTGAACAAATGGAACCGTCTCTTCAAGACTTTCGACATCACCCACCTCCGCAGCCCCATGTTCTTCCACGTCGATCCGATGGATCGAGACTCCTTACTCGCCAGAGCTCATGAGAGAAACCAAGAGAACGAGCTCCTTGAACTTCGGGCCTGTGTCGGGAAGGAGATTAGCAAGCATCTTCGTAAAGCAAGAGTCAAGTCGCGGAATCCGAAGTAAGTTCTTCCGTCTAATTCGAAAGTTTATCACATACTAACGTTTAGGAGACAACATGCCGTCGTGGAAGTTGATGAGCGTGATAGGAAAGACTACTTCACCCCGCCCGCCAACCTCTTCGCAAACCACTGCGATTGCATCGTCGACCGCTACGGGCTCCGCGAGGGACTTATCCAGAACGAGAAAGTCCAAGACATAGAATACCGAGTCATCAAGCACGTCTCACCAGATACGAACCTCTTCGCCGTACACACAGACAAAACCATCCACTACGCCAAAGCCGTCGTCCTCGCCGTCGGACCCGGCAACGCCCCCACGATCCCCCCAGTCCTCGGTCTCAGCAGCGCGCCGGGCTCCACGCCGCCCCCGCAGGTCTGCCACAGCATGCAGATCCAAAAGTTCCCGGACCCCGTCGTCCAGGCCAAGATCTCGGCGCGCAAGACCACCAACGTGCTCGTCGTCGGCGGCGGGCTGACATCCGCGCAGCTGTCCGACCTCGCGATCCGGCGGGGCGTGACCAAGGTGTGGCATCTGATGAGGGGCCCGATGAGGGTGAAGCCCTTCGACGTAGACCTCGCGTGGATGGGCAAGTTCAGGAACGTCGAGCAGGCGTACTTCTGGTCCGCGGACTCGGACGAGGAGAGGCTGGCGCAGATCCAGAGCGCGAGGGGCGGCGGGAGTATCACGCCGCCGTATCAGAAGCGGCTGAAGCAGCACATCGCCAAGGGGACGCTGGAGCTGCACGCCAACACGAAGCTCGTGGAGGCGAGGTTCGACGAGGAGAAGAAGGTCTGGAATGTGTGCACCGAGCCGGCAGTCGAGATGCCCGGGATGGACTACATCTACTTCGCGACTGGCGTGCAGACTGACTATTCCAGCCTGCCGTACTTGCAGACCATGCTACAAGATTACCCGATCCATGGTCACGGGGGTATGCCATGTATCAACGATGATTTGATGTGGAAGGAGGGAGTGCCGTTGTTTGTGACCGGCCGGCTTGCGGCGCTCAGGCTGGGACCTGGAGCCGGTAATCTCGGGGGCGCGAGGGCTGGCGCGGAGAGGGTTGCGTGGGCCATTGAGGACCTGCTTCCGAATAGGACAGGTGATGAGTTTGACGAAGCTGATGTCATGGATGAGGAGATGAAGTTTGTCACGGGAAGGGGGAATAGATTTGACAGTTTGGTGTCGGCTGGAGAGGATTGGTGAGCTTGGCAGGAGAATTCAATTCCTGTGTATAGGTCATCTTTCACGTCGAGAGGTGTAAGTCGGGTGACTATCATGAGTTCAATACCACAACATAACATGAGTTTGAAGTCCCGACTCTCTATTCAAGTATTCAGACTCTTTTGTCCCGAAAACATGGGTATCGATGATCTTCTACATTGTCAACACATTACCTCCATATCCAGCCGATGTTTCCTCCTCGGAAAACACGTCCCAAAACCGAACCGACTCCTCCCCCGCATGCGTCAAAGTGGGCCGGCCGCCAGCGGCCGCGTACGAAATGAAGGACGGGGACATGCGCCGAGTTGGACGTCATCCCCGGTCCGGGATTACGCTCCACGTCGCCGTCCGATTCGTCGGGTTTCGAGCCAAGTCGCTTCCGATACCCCTTTTTTTTTCTCCCTCCTCCGGTTGAAACGAAGCTTTCCAAACTTTTAAACGCGTTCACTATAGGTACTAAGAAAATCAGACAGCATGTATGGAGTAGAGGCAATGCAGGCCGCCGCCCTTTTCCATCAGTTGATAGTTATCGTCTCACGTTGAGTCTCCCTCTTTGAGAGCTGTCGCTCCACCGCCACATTGGCGCATGGCTTGAAACGGTGCGCTTTACCCGTTCCTGAAGGTGAACCAGCGAGGGGGAAATTGAGCCTCCCGCACACGCTGGATTGTCTTTGCTTTTCTTCCCTATATCGTGTCTTGGGTGATGTGGTTTTCTCTTGGAGGCGGTTTCAAGTAGTCTCGCGCTGGGCGAGGCCTCTCGGTAGCAAATTGTCGCCCGATGTTTTCATGAATATCGGGGAAGCGATGCCATTTTATTGGTCACCCCATACTCTTGTTTCTCGTGTCGATCCATGGCTGTCTCTGTCGTGTTACCACAAATTGGAACCGACGCTGGGAGAACATGGAGGTGCTCTTGGCTTTGCGTTTAGTTGGAGCGCTCCTATGCAGGTACCCACAGGTCGTCACAATCAACCAAGTGACAGTGAGCAGGAAGGCGACTGAAGGATGTGATGAGCGACTCTTTGCAGATGAGGCCCCAATTTATTGCCCTGCGTGTCCAATCCCTTGGCTCTCAGGTGTTCAGGAGGCTAACAATAATAAGATTGAATAAAGATGACCGGGCGCTCCATGTAGAGAAGTGAGATCTTTCTTCTCCATTGTCATTCATTTTTTTCGTCTCTTATTCTTTGAACCACTCTTTGAAGGGTCTCCATTCTTTAACAGAAACCATGAAGACCTCGACGATTCTCTCCTTGTCGGCGCTGAGCGCTGTTGCTGTCTGCCAGGCGAGCATCTACAGCCAGTGTGGCGGGTGAGTTCTACCTCCCCATACTGAGGCTCCCCCAAAAACATCAATTTACCTACCAGAAGACCATGAAAGCTAACTTCGCTCTGTCAGACAAGGCTGGACCGGTCCGATCACTTGTCCCTCCGGTTCTACATGCGTCTCTCATAATGAGTGGTACAGCCAGTGCATCGCCGGAGGCGACTCCGAAGACACCGAGCCCGCTCCGGAACCCAGCGCCCCGCAAGTCTCGTCTGCCGAATCCACAGCGGCCCCATCCTCCGCTGAAGAGGCCCCCGTTCCTTCCGTCACCGAGGCCGTCTCCACCTCCGAAGCCGCCGCCGTCATGGCCACGGCTTCGGACGAAGAGGAAGCCACAACCGAGGTCTCGGCCTCCGCGCCGTCTACGACTCTCGCGACTCAGACGAAAGAGGCCATCGCCGCCCCGTCCGGCGTGACCAAGACCCTGCCCCAGTCGTCGGGTACCGTCGAGACGGACGCCGCCATCCCCGTCTCGGGAGAGTTCGACGGCGGGATGAAGTTGTACGACCGTGTCCGTGAGTAAACCCCCAAACCTACCATCCAAGCCAAAGCATCCAGACTGAGACATTCGACAGCCGCGGTCTGCCAAGAACAAACGGAGACGGGCGAAGACGACGCCATGTTCATCCTCGAAGACGGCGCGACGCTGTCCAACGTCATCCTCGGCCCCGGGCAGGCCGAGGGCGTGCACTGCAAGGGGAGCTGCACGCTGATCAACGTGTGGCACTCGGACGTGTGCGAGGACGCCGTCACGCTGAAGCAGACCTCGGGCACCTCCAACATCATCGGCGGCGGGGCCTTCAAGGCCTCGGACAAGGTGGTGCAGTTCAACGGGCGCGGGACAGTCTCGATCAAGGACTTCTACGTCGAGGACTTTGGCAAGCTGGTGCGCAACTGCGGCAACTGCAAGGACAACGGCGGGCCGCGGAACATCGTCATCGAGAACGTGGTGGCTGTCGACGGCGGCGTGCTGTGTGGCATCAACACCAACTACGAGGACACGTGCGCGATTGCCAACTCGTGTCATAGCGATGGCAAGAGCTGCGATCGGTACGAGGGCAACTCTTCGGGTGCGGAGCCGACCAAGATTGGCAGCGGTCCTGACGGGGAGTTCTGCACCGTCACGGGCTTGACCGAGACTTGCTAAGTTGGATAGTGTTAGCATGTGGACTTCAAATGGGAAAGTTCTAGAGCCTCGACAGCTAGCTTTCTTGTACATAGAATTCAGTGCGCATTCCCTTCTTATGAATCATTTTGGTGTGTAACAAACACTCCATTGCAAATCTTAGCAGTTCCCAACTCGATTGGTTGCCATGCTGGAATACAGTTGTACTTCTAATAGACTTTGAGACTTGGGTGACAACTACGCTCACCAATGTTGACATGTGCTGCTTTCTTCCTGGCCGCAGAGTATTTCATCTCGATCGGTCAAAATGTATTCACGAGCTTCACGTTGCTGCCCTTGGCGGGGCTTACCTTTGATTGTTCTTAACCACACTGGGGCTTCTGTAGTGTAAAAGGCCCCCTCTGAGATCAAATTACTCGCGCTTAAGACTGTTCCCCTCAACGAACAGACCAGCCCGTCCACATAGCATCGCACGCGGCCGCGACTCGGTCCAAGACACCGGCCCCGACCCCCGATACCCACCCGGCGCCGATATATCCACTGAGACCCGCCTCTCGCCGATGGCCAATCCACCTGCCGTCTCCAATCGCCGGTATCATCAACTACGTACTCTTCCGATGTCTCACCTCGCCCGGAAAGAATCAACAACCCCGCTGGCATCAACTTCGTTCCTGACCTGTATCGCCTACATCACTTCCCCTGAATCATCCACCAGCAAACTCATCCCGTGTTAGTGTCCACTGATTCAACCTCACACCCTCCCCAAAAATAATTCAAGTTCCAGATCTCGCCAAGGCATGATGCCATCTGCCTTAGCAAAACTCAATTGTTTCCTCCCCTCACTTGGCAGTCGTTCTCAACTTCGGACAGCGGTGGCGATATTCTTTCTTTTTGCACACGCCAGAGTTCATCGAAAATAGCTTGATCCTCAGCGGCTTTGGACGAAATAAGAAATCCGGTATATCTGACATATGAACACTAAAAAAAATCGAAAAACTCAATGATATCAAGCCTTTCATATAGTGAAAAGCTTGAAATATACGACTCGACAAACCTCGTGCGATCTCGTGTTTACAACCACGAAAAAGTATAATATACCATCCCGTCCCGTCACTGCCGTAAAACAAGGCCGGTAAACTGCCAAGCGCAGCATGACTCTTAATCTCTCTGGCACAAGAGGGAAGGACGGGGAACAGGAAGAGGGGGAGGTTCCATGTGTCAGTTTTGGCTGCCAACTGACACACGCAACAAGCTTACCTCATCCCGAATCCGACAGCTTACGCCGTGGTAAAACCTACCCCTCCCCGTCAAGTTCGTCCGGAGACACCGACCGCTGTCGTTTCCCCCCCAAAGTCTCATCCATGCCTGACCATGTCTCTCTCTCTCTCCTTCTCCTCCCCCATCCGTCCTCGAACGCGTGTTATACCCGTCCAGATTTCACTATTGTCTCACGGCAGATGTTATAGCCCACAACCCGGGAACGACACAGCGCAGCGGTATCACAGCATACCCCGGGCTCGCGCGGACGCCGTCCGCGGGTAAATAACGACAAGGCCTGCTCGGCCCGGGAATATCGCGACGGCCGAAATAAAAACCTTCCGGGGCCCATCCCTGTGGCCTTGCACGCCGTTCCCTCGATCATTTGGGGGCAAAAGATGCGCGCGCGGGGCTGGGCGGAGTTTGCGGTTTTACCTCGTGGGCTCAAGGTTAGTCCCACCAGCCGTGAGGGAAGAAAAACGGGAGGAAGACCGTGTCGGCGGCGGCGGAAGGCGCGGTCGAAGTGGAGGTGGAGCCATTCCCCGAGGCCATGACTTGACGCCGGTGGGCGGGTGGGATGGGAGGAGAGAGAGAATGACACTATGGGGTGCATGGGAGGCGAAAAGCCCCGAACTCATCGGGTTCGACAGACCACACACCAGAGTTCCCTAAATCCGGGGCGCGATAGGACCATACCAGAGGTCCGATCACGCCGTGGGGTGGTTCCGACGAACACCTCGTCTCGGGACACATGAAGCCTTGGCCATCTGCCGTGCTTTCCCGCCCTGTCAAGTAGGCATGGTGTCTTGTTCCCCGGATAGATTTCGAGATCTTTCTATTCCAATCTCGTGTGTTCTCAGTCGGAAACTTCGTTGTCAGTCCCGGGCCTTAAAACATCACGATATAGAAGTCCGATGTATAGTGCTTCTGCGCTTTCAATATGTCTCTGACATTTAGGCTTTTCGCTTGTCCCTGTTTAACGATGAGGCTAAAAACAAACCCGATAATCCGATCTCGTTAATTTGCCCCCAAACGCCGACGCAAGGTTCGTCCGTCCCACCCATCTTTTGTGTGAATGTAGTGTTGAAAAACAGACAGAGAGTGAGAGAGAGAGAGACGGATGTGCCATGAGCAAAAGGAATTTTTGTGTGTGAGGAGAAAATCGCTCTATGTACAGCAGAAATGAAATCCCGATAGTCCCAATGTTCCCGCGCGCCCTGCGTGGTGACCTTCGATACCCGCGATAGCTGAACCTCTTTCCGAGTTAAAAAAACGTAATGCTTTGTGAAGAACCGTGATCCCGGCTGGTATAACCTCCAATCCGTGCTGTCGTGTAGATATGTACACTCTAGGGTTTTGTTGTAAATGCAAACAGAAAATTCCGGGCCGAAATGAAAACAAACTTTGAAAGGACACACAAAACTCTCGTACAGAAAATCGCTCTTGCTGGCTGCTGGTGGTGTCTGCTCGTCATCTGTGACGGGAAACCTTGCCTCCCCCGAAAAAAACCCTGTTTCTCTTTCGTCCATATGCATGCAATGCAGAAGAAAATTTCGTAGTAACACGTATGCCCGCCTATCGCGCCCGTCTAGCTCAGCTTCTCTCGCTCGGGTTCTCCCACTTGATGGGATGCACGAGCATGCTGCGCATGCAGAGACGGCCGGAGCTGTCCTTGTGCGACTCCTCCTCCATGCCGCCGCGGAGGGTGCCCTCGTTGGCGCGGCCGCCGTTGGTGCCGCGGCCGTCCATCTGGCCGTAACCCAACCACCGGCGCCATAGGAGGCCGGCGAACTCGGAGTTGTAGTACCAGCTGGTGCCTTTGTGGTTGTGCTCGTTCTTGAGGTCGAAGGGGCTGCCGTGGCCGCCCGTCGTACCGTCGCGGCCGCCGTTGAAGGCCTTCTCAATGGTGTTGAAGGGGTACCATGCACGATCGAGATAGACGGGGTGCGGGGCGTAGGCGGCCTTGAAACCGTGGTGCAGAGCCATGGAGGCCGGGAACATCTCTGAGAACATGGAGTGGTGCATCCTCCACATTTCCTCGTGCATGGCGGCGAGGAGGCGGCGGGAGAGGCGAGAAGCGGTCACGATAGCGCAGCGACGCGGGGGCGGGGCGAAAACCATCTCGTAACCGGTAACATCCTTGGCGAACACCCAGCCTGACTCGTCGGCGTCAAAAAGGGGGTTGAGGGTGATGAGGTCGGCATCCTCGCCGACACCGCACTCTGCGGGGTCGGCGCCGCGGCCGCAGGACGGGGGCATGACGGACTGGCCTGCCTCTTCAGACTTGAGGGACATGCGGCCGGGGAAAATTTGGGGACCGAGAATGGCGCGGCGACCGGATGCGTTGAGTTCCTTCTCAACGACGTTGGCAAATTCATCCCAGGAGCCGTGCTCGGCAGGGATGTAGTACTTGGATGATCGTTCCCAGAGGAGGTTGCGAGACTGGCTGCGTGCCCATGAGCCGAGGCGGTCGAGGAGTTCGTAGTAGGAGCCGATATAACGCATATCCATTTCCCAGTTCCAAAAGTGAGTGTACTCAGGATGCTGAAGGGCGAAAACCTGGAGCGGCATCTGGGCGCTGCGATAGACGCCGTGGATATCGCCGTTCGAGGGGTTCTCGATGGCGTCGGCAAAGTGACCCGGGTAGTAGAGTTTCATCTCCGCCTCAGACCACAGAGTGCAAAGGGAGTGGAACTCGGTCGGCACGTTGTCGTCCAGTATCTTCTGAACGACGGAGGGATCCGACCAGATTGGCGCATCGTTGTCCTTAACGTGCAGGAGGAAATGAACCGTGTACTCACCACCCGACTTGAGTGACAACTCGGAAATCATGGCGCGGAAGTTGATGATGGCGAGCTGCGTCCACTCGAAGCCGACATAGGTGCGAATGACGACAGCAATGCGATCAACCTTCTTCAGGCCGTTGTCGGCGGCGTCGGGCTCACTGTAGATGGCGTCGTACGAAGTGCCGACGTCTTTGGTGCTGTTGCGGAAGCGCCCACTGTTGCGCTCGACGCATCGTTCCTGGGCGGAACCCCAGTCGACGCGGCTGTAGTTGATGCGACCAGTCTTGGACCATACGATCTCGGCGCCCTCCTGTTCGGTGTCCATACCTTGCGAGGTGCCTCCCTCGCGGATGTCATATCCGAGTCCGTAGGGGCCATAGCGCCCGAAGCGGTCGAAGCAAATGTCGTTGCGCAGACCGAGGACGGTGTGGGATCCAATAGCCGGGTCGGGCTGGTTCTGGGGAACGCCGTCGTAGGCGTAAATGTCGGGAACGGGAATCTTGTCGTCATCGTCGATGAAGCACTCTTTTACGGGTTGGTGATCCTTCAGGTACTGGCGAGACTCGTAGTCCGGGTGAGCCGAGAGATATGGTGTGGGAGTCGGAGGGGTATCATGGTAGATTGGCACCGTTGTTACAGGTGCCGGGAATGAAGCGTTGGGGTACTCTGGCGTATGGTTTACAAAAGGAACGATCGACTTCAGACCGTTGAAATATCCGTTCAGGCTTTGACGTGTTAGTCAAGTTTGAGCGCCACCCGCGCGATGTTCTCACTCACTGCTTGAACTTGAGCCATGGTGGCATGGAACTGTCGACCTCTGGCATCTCCTCATTTGGGATTGTGGTTCCCAGCTTGTTCGGCTGCCCGCCCAGCCCGCCTATCCTGTAGTCATCGCCGAGAACCTTGCCATCGCGTGTGTATAGCGGGGTGTTGAGGTACGCGAGCCCGAGCAGTAACGAGATGGTGACGGTCCATATCACGACCCTCCGGTAGAGGCAGTGGCCCAGTATCGCCCGCACCCGGATCTTCGGTTGGTGAATCGTCGTGGATGGTGCGGGGAGAAAGAACTCCCCCTTCTCCTGCCCTGGGCTATTCAAGTACAGAGAATTCGAACGAGAAGAGCGAGTACTGGATCGCGTGCTGCTGATGGATCGGGTGGTGCTGGTCAGAAGAGAGTGTGCTCGCTCCATGGTCGTCGGAGAGAGGTAGTTGGGTATCTGGGGTATCACGAAAACATCTGGTGATGGAACTTGGTGTGGCTAGAAAGAATCGAACGCAAGGGAATTTTGGGAAGGAGGAGGATGGCAAAGGTTAATGCTATAAAGAAAGGAACGGTCTGTGTAAGTGACGTTTTTTGCCTCGACTGTCCAGACGCCGGCTCAGACCTTAGTTTTCAAACAGGCAAGCTCCCAGCACAGGATGTTGGACGTAGAGAAGACACAAGCCACATACATATCATGCAACAGAGCGAGCAGATGGGACCGACCAGTCGGCAGCGCAGGGGTGTTTGGCCGGGCTGATCTGCGGAGGAGAGGTGAAGGAGGATGTGCTAGTTGGGATGTCCAGGGTTCGGGGACTGCCGAGCCTCTTTGCCTCTTTGGCTCTGACTTGACTGTCCACCATTCCCACGCCAGTCTGTCTCAGCTACCACCAACGTCGCGGGGAGCGAGCAAGGACGGACCTTGAGGCGCCAAGCCGGGGACAGGGGACAGCGAGCCTCAAGCTGTAGCGGACGGAGTGCTTCTTCCATCCCTTCCCCAGCTACCCAAGCCCATCATCGTATCGTTTGGATTGAAAGTAGCTTGGCAGGTCCCGTATCCAGGAAATAAGCCCAGCCCGGGTTGTGTGCCAACCCTCCATTTCCCCTGATTATTCGGATTGGTAATGACTGAGACGATACGAGGACTACTCATCTCCATGCCGTTCCCGTTCCGGGTCCCGAGATTAACTAATGGAGACTCTGGGGATCACAAATTGGATCTTCGGGACCCCGTCGCGGCCGGACACCCAGCCAGACGGATGGGATGTGCAACACAGAGCAAGAGAGCCTTTCGCGGAGCTGTATCAGAGCGTATGGGATCAGCGGCTCGCTGGTAGTGAAAAGAGGAAGAGAAACTCGAGAAGATGAGAAGAGGTTGCGCGTCCCCTGTGGGGCGCTGGCTTATGCGCACCTGGTAGATCAGGCTCGCCCAGAAAACCACAAGGTCGCAATCAGGGGAGGTGGTTGTAACCGGTTGCTTTCTTTAGCAACTGGGACGTGAATCGGGGCTGTCGATTAAGGTGTGGACATGCAAGGAACGTGGTTTAAGCGCACGGGAGTTGGTGCATCTGAAACCGTCGACGTTGCGGCGCTGGGCGACGTTTCATGCCAAGCTCAACCCACGTTGCGAGACTTGGTGCGATTTGTCAAGGGGAGAAGGACGAAAAGAAAGAGGTTGGCCCTGGACTTTGGGAATTTACCTAGCACTTGGGACTTGGGACTTGGAGGGGGGGAAATACCGGCGCAGGGACGCTCGTGGTTCGTCTGCTGCAGCCCTGGTTCATTCCATTCCGCAATATGCTGGACTAATAATCCTATGGGACTCGTCCCGCATACAAACTAAGGCAATATCTTAGACTTCCGTGACCTGTGTGATCTAGACACTTGCGCTAGTCACTCGGGTTCCTGGACTTCTGGAGTCAAGACACTCGCACTAGCAGAGTCTAGTACCTGGAATTCTGGGACGCTGACATCTCGCACTACGGTCTGGGACCTGGATTCCGTTTCTTCTGACCGCGCCACACGCGCGTGTTGCTGATGCTCCTGGAGCGTTTTGGAAGCGGTTCCTGTTGCGGCTCGGGTTTGGTAGTGGTTCGCACGACGCAGCTCAGGACGACAAATAGGGAAGCTCATGGTCCATTTGCGATCAGCTTGCGTCTCGTGTCGACGCCCTCTACACGAGTATGCCCGAATCTAAAAATCCCATCTTTCGTGCCATTTTGGCACGTCGTCGTAATGGCCCGCCACCGGAAGGCCATCTGACGGTGAGCCGAACACTCTCTCACCCACTCAAAGTCTGCCCTCCGGCACTTTAGCTTTGGGCTCAAGCAGGACGGGCGTACTTCCAGTCGGGTGTATGCTTCAATCTGCTTCTTATTTCATCCGGTCACTTTGGACCTGGGCGAATGGGCTGGTGTGCGTGACTTGGTCTGCTGGGCCGCCAGATCAATCTGATCCCGTCGTCTGCACCAAAGCTTTTGCTTCCATTACCCGTACTTCGTAGAGGTTTCATCCCGTAGACACGCCGATTAGTGTGTGTTGTCTTGGCTTCCGTTCACTGGACCCTTTCCATTTAACCAACGTATATTGCCGTGCTGGAAAAGACTGTGCCGTGCGCGTTCTCCACGAAGGAACGGAAGCACTGACGGATTATTGTCCTTGCTGGCGCCTGCTGCTAGTCCAGCACCATCCGAGCCACGGTGCAAATTCGCCCCAAGCAATGGCATAAAGACCGGTCGCTCGTGAGGTCGGCCACGGGTCGGCGTTGGCGCCGGCGATTCTGGCAAATACACCATGGATTAGACGCGAAATGTCCCGAAGCCGTCACTCGCCGTCAGCTGGCCGTCAACCACGATCTTGGTGGATGTTTCTTCGGCTTGCAAGGCAATGACGGCCAAGTGACGGGCTCCCGGCGAAGCTAGTCGAGTCTAGAGCACGCCATCGTCGATGGATGGCGCAGTGGCGTCCAGTCAACCGAGCTCCTCCTGAGCGAAGAGTTCGTCGTGAGATAGACAACCTCATCAACTAACCTTTTCCCGTGAGCCAGGGAGCCCACGACGGCATCAGCCTTGGGGTCTTGGGTATAGCACGATGGTATTTCCGAAGTCTGGGAATGGATAACCACTCAACCTGCGTCATGCTAGGCGACGTTTGGCACCCACGTGAACCGAAATAAACAGATCGCGTCACTAATTAAGTGATTAAGTTTGCTCGAGACTGACTCTTTTGGGCGTCGAATTGAATGGCTTTACAAGGTCAAAGCTGGAATGATAATGGCTGGACTGGTATTGACGTCAGTGCCGACATCCGGGTGCGGGTTGACAGCGGGGGTATCGTGCGATGACATCGTCTGTCAGCTGAAATCAGCGACCAGCCTCGGGCGGGAGGACGAGTTGAGCGGGAAGACGAAGGGTTGGGGGGGACCTGATTGTTGGGCGAAAGGACGAGAGGGTCAGCCTGTGAGGGTGTTGGGCGAAAGGAAGGGCAGAGGCAGAGGCCAGGAGCCGTCCTTGCTGCTCGAGGTCTGTTGTCTGTCCTCCGGCCATGACTCGTCCGAGTCGCAAAGTGAGTTGAGACTTTCCAGATAGGGCGAGAGCGAAACAAGTGATTGCGTGTCTATCGCGGAAACACTATTCTGACGCGCGACTGTCGACTTAGATCAACACGCTCGCCCTAGATCTGAACGGCGTATGTTTCGTGTTTGGACGGACGGTCCAGATGACGGTCGGCGGTCGAGAAGGTTGAAAGAAAGACGCGAGGCGAGAACGGAAGCGAAATGGAAGCTGAAGCGGAAGCTCCAGCAGCAGAGCGGACACAGACAGGCGTGGAGGGCCATTCCATACATTAGTGTCTTAGTCATCGGCGTCGAGGGAGAGTCCGTCTGACTGCAACGACAGAGCTGATGATGACGGGAATGGGCACTGGCTCACAGCTGCCAGCCGGGTGGGGGAAATCCGACGGTGAAGGCACAAGAGAACAATGTGGAAGCGGCTCACCGAGACCGAACTTGGAGACCCACCAGGCCGTGACATAACCTAGTCACATGACACAGCCCGGATGGCTGAGGACGAGGCTGAGGCCTGCTCCAGCCACACCTGCCATCCCGGTCCCGAAAAATCACTAGCGCCGTCCTGCCCTAGCGCCCACAAGCGACCATTTCAGCAAAACGACGAATTTACACCTTCCCCGCCAGCAAATTCATCGTCACGACACTCCGGCAAGCGACATCGACCAAACAGCCGCCAAGATGGGTGAGTAACGCGTGGAATCATTTCATTTTCTCAGCGTGGTGCAGCAGCCGGATACGATTTTGGAAGAGGAGGAATTACTATCGACTCCCGACCAACCGCGACACCGCCGCCGCTCGATGACGATGCGCACTCGACAAAATTTGGGCCACGAGGGGAAATCGATCTACGACGACCGGGCAACACCGCCATCATAACAGCGCATCACGAAGGGCTTCAGGGGAATTGATCCGGCTGCGACCATGGGAGAATCTTGAGAAACGGGCTCTGAAGGAACGGCTGGCTGACTCGGGAAATCTGCAGTGAACATTCCCAAGACGCGTATGACCTACTGCAAGGGCAAGGAGTGCCGCAAGCACACCCAGCACAAGGTCACCCAGTACAAGGCCGGAAAGGTATGTTCACACACGAAGCGCGCCGACGACGAACTCGCCAGCGAGCCCTCCCACGAACAACCATCGGACCCGGCGTACTAAACATCTTCTCCCACAGGCCTCGCTGTTCGCGCAGGGAAAGAGACGTTACGACCGAAAGCAGTCCGGTTACGGTGGTCAGACCAAGCCTGTCTTCCACAAGAAGGCTAAGACCACCAAGAAGGTCGTCCTGCGGTTGGAGTGCGTCAAGTGCAAGACCAAGCTGCAGCTCGCCCTCAAGCGCTGCAAGCACTTCGAGCTCGGGTACGTCCTCCCCGGCTCTCCCCTCGACGACGCCTCGAGAATGCTAACAATGTCTACAGTGGTGACAAGAAGACGAAGGGTGCTGCTCTGGTTTTCTAAACGCATTGTGTTTACGGTCGACCGACTTTTATGGCTTCCTTTAACGGCATACGGATCATCATCAGGCTGGAACAATGGCGAAGAGGGTTACCAGTTCTCAATTGAGGAACACTACATAGGGAACAAATAAAAGCCCTTGCTTGCGAACGGAAAGACAAAAAAAACCAAGACCAGTTCAAGATAGACCCTCGCTGTCTGTTTGCGCTGTCTGCGCGCGCGCGCGCCTGGAGGCTTATTACGAGTGACAAGAAAAAGGATGGGAAGCTCGGCTGGCGGGGTGTCCTGAGGGTTGTCAATTCGGAACCTGATGTGGGATGGCTACTGTTGTTGCCGAGACGCGTCTTCGCTTCCCCAGACGTGGTCGCTAAAAGGATAGATGCGCTTTACGAAGGCTCAGCCGGTCAATGAAATACATGAGTCTATGAGGAGATGTCTTTTCTCGTGAGCACTGCCTCGTGTGCCTATGTATAGCACGCATCGTCTACCACTTCTATGTGTCGCTTTTCGTCGTCGTCCCTAGAATCCCTCTCCAACCTTGATCGTCCTGCCACCGCCATACCACAATGTCCCGTTCCTCGCATCCAAGCCCCTCTCCTGCCCGACCAGCCATTCGCCACACCACTCACCTCCCTCCCGATCCCAAACCTCCTTCTCAAGCCAAGCATTAATCTCATCAATAGCTTCAACCCACCGCCTCCGCGCCTCGGGCGTTGCGTGGTCGTCCTCGCCCAGGAACCTGCCCAAGGTCACATGCGCGCTGGGGACCTGGTACCGGCTCTCGATCTGCACACCCGTGGACTGGGCCAAATCAAAAACGTCGCGGCGGAGGTGGTGGTACGTGTAGGCGTCGCCCTCGACGACGCCCTTCTGCAGGGCGGTGAGTGCCGGCGGCGGGCTGGTGGGGGCCTCGCCGGAGGCCGGGAGGAAGGACACGGCGAAGGCGGAGAGGTCGTGCGAGATCATGGGCTTGACGAGGCGGGCGCGGTGGGTGTAGGTGTAGTCGGTGACGTAGGGGATCGCGGAGCGCATGGTGTCGGTGAGGGCGGCTATCTCTTGCGGGGTTTTGGAGTGTGTGACTTCGAGGGTCGTGAGGTGCATTCTGTGCTGGGGCATGAGCCAGATGCCTGGTATTGCGTCAGCTCTGCTTTGATACCTGGGAATTGAGACGTCACGTCGACTGCTCTGTGCTGTCGTCTGATGGACCAGCTTGCCAGTTGACAACGGTTACGGCCACAAACATTGAGCTGAAATTACTCACTCGGGGCGACTTTCTTCAGTAATGCCTGCAGATGAGCCGCCAGCCTCACGATATGATCCGGCGGGCGAGCCCAGAAGACGAAGCAGTTTCTGTAATCCGTGAAACCGGGCTCCATCTGAGGGTTCTCCAGTCTTAGAAGAAAAGGGTCGATGATGAGCTCCTTGTAATCAGGACTCAGGAACTTCTCCCTCTGCTGGCCGTTTCTTTTCGTTCTATGAGCATGATACAAGGCTTGGATTTCTGCCTGAAATTACGTATCAGGACACAGGCTCGTCTCATCAGAGGTCAAGAAACCTTACAGGATCATTTCCGCAGGCGTTGATCAGTGCTTGGTAAGGGTTTTCGCCAGGCAAGATCTTGATGCCCGACAAATCTTCCAGCTTGTTCTTGGCATCGGTCGATACCAGTTGGGAACCCATCTTGGCCGTTGGGTGGTGAGATGTGTCTTACCGAGAAGCCAAATTTGCAGCTTCAGGGCAAAGGAATGCGCGTTCTCATCAGGTATCAGAAACAAATGGCAGGTTTGAAGCGGGAGGCCCGGAATGAAAGAGGTGACTAATGAGCAGAATATCAATCTCAAAGGGCGCAATGTCAATACGATACGAAGAATCTCAACGAGATCAAGCAGCTGAAAGCCGTTGTTGTCTTGACCAATCACAAGTGCAGGCGAACTCCTCCCAGCTGCATCTCGTCTCTGAGGTCCAGACCAGCACACCACCTCGGGAATACCCAAATTGGACGGGAGACTGCTGACTAAGACGACGCCCACGATCGGTGGTGGAACTTCCTGATTCGGAGACTCCAGAAGGTCCCGCCAAGGCCCCGCCAATCGGGTCGTCTGCCCCAGAGACGAACTGCTCTGTTTTGACTTCAGCTCTCCCACCTCCAAGATGTCCGGCGCATCATTGGACGGATCTCATCGCTCTTTGAGCCTCTTTCTTTTTCATCGGTTCCACCGGGAGCGCGGGCATCAAAATGTCAACCCAAAAAAAGCGCGGGGCTGGAGACACGAGATGAGAAGGACACGCGTCCTGCTGGTCCGAACCCCCCGGCCGGGCGAGCTTTTCTTTTTGCGCGGAAGTCGAGCACGTCAAGCAACCTAGGTATGTGCGCGCGGGTACATCGCCAGATATTTTACTTTTTGACGGTAGCATCACGTTCTAGAAAACCTTCATGCGTCTGCCACCGGTTGTCTCCAGCGTCTGCCGAAGCTTTCTGGAGGAGGGTTCGTAGGAACGAATTTGCTGGTATTTAACTGGCTTGTCGATTGTTATGCTTGAACTGGGACACGCGTCCTTACGTTTTGACCTCCTCGATCTCGGTTTTCCGTTCCCTTGGGCCAGATATTCTAGAAGATGTGCTTTATGTTGTTTTCGTGCGCGTGCGCTTAGATTCCACGATGACCGGATCCAAGCGGCTATACGTCATCGGAATTGACGCTTGCTCAGTGCCCGTGATGGAGGCAGGTCTGTCGTTCCCAGTGGCACAATGTCACTACTTTCTTACCTCCAAGTCACGCGATCTTCTATCAAGGAAGTCAATAGTCATGCTTACTGTTGCTTACTCTCGTTTCTCCTCTTTTTCTTCTTCTTGTCGATAGACGTGCTTGGCCTGGGCTCCTTTTTGCATTGGCAGAGTGTTCCTCACTGGCTCAAGATCTGAACACAGAATTGGCAATGGGTTCTGTTGTTGGAGTTTCTCGACGATGTATCTGGCTCAGAAACAACGACATAGGGGCAAGTAGTAAGCTTTGTGATCAGGGCACTCCAACCCAGAGAGACGAGTGGTAGAAAAGTTGATCCGCGATTTGTAAAGTCATTACTATTACCCACTTCCCCGCCATATGGGCTTCGAACCTCTGAGTGGCGACTTATAGAATGGGCGAATAGATTGACTTATACACAAGGGACCCTCCAGAAAGGAGGAGATGTCTTGCTTACCAAGTGGTAAAAACAAAGCAGGAAGCCTGATTTTGTTCCCCTTTACCCCTGAAACTCAAAGCATTGCCTTTCTTCATTGAATCAAGGAAGGCAACCATTAAAACCAAATACTCAGCTTCAAACCTTGATGAAGCTCTTGTGCTCTCTGTTTCCTGAAGTTGGTGCATGCTGAGCATTTATTGAGTTGCATGCAGCTTTTTCAACTTGCTCATGACTGGAGTCTTCCGGAGTCCATGCTGCCAAGTGGCAATACATCTCAACCTTTGCCTCCCAGTCAATAGGGATAGAGTCTTTGGAATAGCAGTGGTTGCCTAGTCTTCTGAGCTTTTCTCTGTTCAAGTCAGACTCAATCTCAGCCTTCTCTTCAAGGGCAGAAGGGACAACAAATTGTAGTGAATACCCATGTGAACTGATTCCTCTGGTGGCTCTCGCCCTCCATGATGGTTCTCCTCCAACCAGAGCACACATTCAGGCTATCTCAGGCATGTTTGCTCAAGTGGCAAGGCATTTCTCGCTGTTGAGGCGGGTCCAAAGGGGACTCTTCACCTTCCCAAGGCAAGTTGTTGGCTCCCGCCCTTCACACACTCATGACCCCTCGTCACAGGAGTCCGGAACCTTCCCTCGTCCTGGTGACCACCCAATCTTCTCCGCTCTAAAGACCTCAGGGCGAGGGCAATCAGGACGACATAAGCAACGAGAGCTGCCCACAAACCAGGTTGATGAAAAATTAAACAGCTAGATTAATATTCCCCCCTCCTACCCTCAAAAATTCTCACACTTCTTCCATCACCACCTTCACAGAACCAGAACTTTGCTCTATCCACCATTGTTATTGATCACCAGTACCACAAAGATCATCAGCTCTTTGCAGTCTGTGGACGGCTTTGTTTTCTTCGATTCGAGAAGCCTCGGTTTACCCTCTTTCCACCATTCTCTCGCATTCCACCGCTCATCTACCCCCCTTTGCCCTCTCTCTATCTCCGGTTTCCATCGACTCGCCTCCTCAATCATCATATTCTCAACTTGTGGGTTCGCATCAAGATGGCAGACGAGGGCGACCAGCCTGGCGATGACCAGTTTTGGGAAAACTTTCCGCAGCAGATCAGCTTCAACCTTGATGATCAGCAGGCCGGAAACGACCAGCACTACTTGGCCAACGATCAGCAAATCCAAGATGGTTCAGGAACTGGCTCCGTACCTGGAAATGACCAGTATGACTTCGCCAACCAGCAGCAGCTTCACGGTGATCCTGGAGACGACTCTAGCGGAGACGTTCATCACAACTTCGGCGGCCATCAGCAGTTCCACGGTCATCCAGAAACTGACTCCATACCTGGAAATGCTCAACACAATTTCGCCGACGATGGGCACTTCTACGTCGGTTCAGGAGTTGGCTCCGTACCTGTTCAATCTGAGCACAACCTCATCGGCCACCAGCAGTTTCAGGGTGGTCCAGGAAACGCCTCTATGTCTGGAGATAGCCGGCACATTTTCGCCAACCAGCAGCACTTTCAAGGTCTAGGACATGGCTCTGCACCTGGAAATGGACACCGCAACTTTGCAATGGACATGCAGTATCACAATGTTCAAGCACATGCTCCTATGTACGGAGGTGGCCAGCAAAACTTCAACTTTAACAACGCTCAGCAGCCTCATTCAAACCCAAACAACTTCCATGTCAACGACTATGGCTCGCAGATTTACAATACACACAGCTTGCAGTCGCAGAATTTCAATCAAAGCGGGTATCCCCTTGCCGGCAGCTCCTCCTTCGACAACACTCAACAACACATGAACAACGAGTCTGGCTTCACCGTCAACCCAAGTGACTTGAGTACTCCCGACCGGGAGTTACACTCCGAGACTTGGCAACAGCACAATTCGTTACACCGACCTTCAAGCGCGCTGGGACCAGACCCTACTCTGGGATTTGACCCGGCTACAGAGATGTCTCAGCCATTGTCGTTCTTTCCATCTTCCCCCATGCCGCTGCAGCCCAACATAGCTTTTCCATCGACGAACGTCACAGAATATCATTCTCAACCGCACCAGACGTACACTGGTTCCCATGGTCAAGTCTCCGGGGACTCGGCTGGTGAGCAATACCAAGCCACGAACAATCAGCCTCAACACGTCGATGGTAGCGTAACGGAAGACCAGAATATGTTCGGAATGGACACTAACGAAGCCTCCGACGACGGTGATTCGAAGTTGTTCGTGCAGCCTGGGCCTGGCGAAGACGTCTCGTCCTACCTAGACCTTGTCGGCACCAATCTCGGCGGCACCAATCTCGACAACATCGATCTCGGCGATATGAGTCCTGACGACATCGACAAGTTGATTCGTCAACTCGAACAGCGTAATGGGCTCATTGATAACCAATCTCAACCGTCGCCCGCTGGCGATGGCTTTGCGTTGGCCGCTCAGCCAGGAGGCACGATCCCACAGAACAATCCCGAGCGTCCCTCACATCTCCGTCCTGACATCAACACACGAGACGAGATGGACCCCTTGCCCCCCATCACTCTGGATGCCGACTCACACTCTATTCAAACCTTTATGGGGGTGAACGGCGCTTTGTATGAAGCCATTAATGGCGGATTGAGGCACTTCCCCGCGATTCCTCCCATCCTCCCCAGGCTCCTCCCAGGCGAGATCAGGGACCACAGGTCGGTCAATCGACCGCGCGATGCATTCTCCATCATTCTTGACAAGGCGTTGGGCATGGGTCTCCGGGATGTTTTGGGGAACGGTGGCGTGAAGTTCACGATCGGCACGATGTGTTCCGGTACAGATGGGCCGATTATGGCTCTGCAGGAATTCCAGGACGCACTTGTTGCCGCCGGCCTCTCAAACACGCTCCAGTTTGAGCACAAGTTCAGTGTTGAGATTGAGCCGTTCAAGCAGGCATTCATCAACAGGAACGCTCGTCCCACGGGGCATATCTACAGGAACGTCAACGATTTTGGCATGCCCGGTGCCACCGAAGCGTGAGTTTTATGATTGAATTCTAAACAACCATAATGAAGTGGCTGACCATATCGCAGTATGACGGTGTCTGGGGCCATGGAACCGATTCCCAAGGATATCGATATCCTTGTTGCTGGCAGCTCCTGCGTCGACTTCTCCGTGCTGAACAAGAAGAAGCTTCAAAGAAAGGAAGCCTCGGGCATGAGCAAACTGGGCAGTAAAGTCACGGGAGAAAAAGGACGAGATCCAACTGTTGCTTTACAGGACAATGAAGAAGATCCAGCTACAGCTCTTCATGACGATGAAGAAGAACCAGTTGGCGCTCCCCAATACGACGGAGAACCAGTGGTTGCTCTCCAGGATGATGAGGAGTTTTTGGCCCAACTCAACGATCTTACGAACAACCTCCGTGACGAGCACGAGTCTACGAAAACGTTTGTGTCGATCCTCCAGTATATCCGTCAAAATCGACCCAAGATCATGATCCTGGAGAACGTTGTCAGCGCTCCTTGGAACCAGTTCCGATTTTACTACGCCAAGATTGGGTACGACACCAGGTTTGCCAAGGTCGATGCCAAATGGTACCTCATGCCGCAGACACGTCAGAGGATATATCTCATCGCTGTCGACCGCCGACGTTACGGCGAGAAGGCGAATGGTATCGTTCGTGAATGGGAAAAGACCATGAGCCAAAAATGGTTCGAACAACCACCCAATTTGCAGAAGTTCCTGTTGCAGCCGTCCGATCCCCAAATTCTCCAGGGTAGGTATATGCTGGAGCTCAAGGCTCACAACAGACCGAAGAGAGATGTCGAGGCGGTTGCTTGCATGATGGAGCACCGCACTGCTCGTCGGAAGTACGGCCTCGGCGACGGCAATCCGTTTACCCAGCTCGACGCTCGCGGCATCGTCCGGCCGCGCGAGGATTCCTGGATAGGTTACATCAGAAATTGGCTTACGGGACGCATGCAAGATCTGGTAGACATCAACTGCCTGAAAGGCTTCCAGAAAGGCGTCGACATTTCCCACAAAGCTATCGTTTACGACATCGGCCAGAATGTTCAGAGACAGCGGGATTCGCTCGGAGCGCTGCCGTGCATTTTGCCCAACGCGGATCTTTTCCTCTCCATTCAGGGTCGGCCAATTTTGGGTTTGGAGGGTCTGGCTTTACAAGGGATTCCCATCGATCGCATGAAGTCGTCGAGAGAGTCGGAGGTGCAGCTGAAAAGCTTGGCAGGCAACGCGATGACCACGACAGTTGTTGGTGCTGGAACCCTGTCTGCCCTCATCTTCGAGCGCAAGTTTGTTGAGGACCCTGACAACCCCTTCTTTGACGGCTTGAGAAAAGCGAGCGACGTGGACGTCGACATGGACAGCGGCGCACCTCGCCTTGGCTTCGCCAGAGAAGTGGGGCCGGGACCTGCCTCGACTTCTTTTGCAACCGCGCCTGCCCTTCCCGCTGGAAATCCTTCTTCCAACAACAACTCCTGCCTTTCGAAAAACGAATCTGCCACCAACAACGCCGTCAGCTCTACAACAATGGCGACCGCGTCTAGTTCGCTGGAGTTGGCAGAGGGTCCGGACTGGAGGCTTGCCGAGGTCGACGGCAGCGACCCTCCGGTCTGGTTGCTTCGCATGCTTTGCCAAGAAGGTCGTCGATACTGCCTCTGCGATACTTATCGCAAGCACAAGAACATTGGCGAATATTACATGTGCGACTATTGCGCTGAGATTCGCTGCATCTCCTGCATCGGCAATCCAGAGCACAATTTCGACATGGACCGACCCATCAACGTTCTCTCCAACGATAGGCGGGGAGCATACCGAGACACAGTCGCTAGGCTTCCCGGCACGCTCGAGATCAGTTTGGGGGACGATGGAGATGTTCGTCTGTGCGAAAAAGTTCTCGGCAACGGGTTCCAGAGCCACCAGGATGCGCTCAAAAGTGCTATTCGCACCTGCGCCGGCGGAGTCGAGTATTTCCAGACAGACGTCAATTTCCGGGATGATCTCACCATCACCTACGAGTCCGCCAAGTCCCGCATCCTCATTGTTGCTACTCACGCCTCTGTCACATGGAACGTGTACCTGCGAGGTGCATTTTTCGACAAGAACGCCAGTTGTGAGATCACGGACCCCAGATATCTCCTCAATAATCTGGGCTACGATCTGGAGCAGCCGCTGATGCGAGCCACTCTCACCGATGCACCTTCATTCATCCCGACCGCGAACGACTAGGAGATCTTCGCTCAAGGAAGTATTGAAGTTCTGTTGCGCCAAGAACCGATTCCAGGTCGTGCCGACGCCTTTGCTCAGTCCCTTTTGGGCGTACAAGGTCGCTCTGATCTGAGAGCTGCCATTGTCCCGCACGTTGAGGGTGTCTTCGACTTTTCGGACAAGTGCGCCACGCCTTTTGGCCTTCTGTACGTTCGGAGGAGAGAGCAATCCCGTCGCATCTACCATATGAAGCACACCGAACCTGTGAGCAGCACAGAAGACGATCGATGGGTGCTGACAGACGACCCCCGCAAACTCGAACCCGGCCAGAAGAGGAACATCCTTCTGTCTTTCCACCCTGACTACACCCACTTCTGTCAAGAGAACAACCCTACGGCTCGGGAAATCGCGGCGACAATTCCTGGCGTGTGGGTACGTCCGTATCCTGGCGTCGAGATTCAAGCCGCTGCGCGAACCGTCCAGTTCCATAGTCGGCTTCGCAAGCTTGATCAGTCGACTTTGGGTGCCCTCTCATGCCAATCAGCTACACCGAGTATCATCGTCCGGTGCAATGCGAAGGACATGTATCACCCCGTCTCGTCTCTCCCGGTCCAGTGGAGTGCAACTGTGACATCAACAGAGGAGCCTTGGGTCCCCGTGCCGGAACATCACGTCAAAGATGCTCTGGAACTGATTTCATTCGCAATCAACAAGATTCGCAGCGAAGAAAGCGATACGTTTTCCGTTGAGAACGTCCAGCTCATGACAGGCCAGCAGTGCGCTTCTTGCCCAGTCCAGAAGCCCAAGATTCACCACGTCTGGGACGAAGATGGAACGCTGTTCAAGATCGAGGACGCAGATGTGGCTGCTAGAATTGTTCAAAGCGAGGACAGTCGCCAGCCCCCGTTCAAAGTCGACGCGTGGCTCCAAAATTGCTTCAGAGGCCAGCCTGACTTCTCTCTGCTAAGCATGCGGATATCGATGAACCCAATCTCGCTCATTCATCGTGCGCTCGGCTACATTCCAAGAGACAACAACGACATGTCCAACTTCGTCAGATCCAAGGATGGACTTGGTAACTTCAAGGTCCAATTCACCTTCCAAGATCCGAGTCTCAAGGAGCTTGCACCATTCCATGAGAGTCTGATGTCTACGTCAAATGAAGTTCTGACTACTGCTCAACAACCCCCCAGCTTTCGCGACATGGGCAAAAGGCTGAGAGACGATCAAGTAGCAGCCGTCAACTGGATGTTACGGCGCGAGTCGGGCGACGAAGCATTCATCGAGATGGAGTTTGACGAGAGCATCCTTCCTTCCGTCAATTTACGCATTCACGGGATTGCACAGGTGAAGAATGAAGCTCGCGGGGGTGTTCTTGCTCACGATGTTGGATATGGCAAGACTGTGGTGACACTGGCTCTCATTGACCACACTTTGGCAAACGACCAAGCTATGGCCGCATCATTTCAACAGCGTCGGCAGTGGCTTCAGGGAGATCGTCTGATCCACATCAAGGCGACCTTGATCATCGTTCCGTCTCAGATCGTATCCCAGTGGGCCGCTGAAGCAGCCAGGTTCCTTGGACGTCGCCGCAAGGTCCTCATTGTCCGCAAGTTTGCTGACGTTCAGCCTACGAAAATGCGCGCCGCAGACATCATCATAGTCAGCGGATCTCTCATCGCCAACGACAAGCGGCTTGATACCCTAGCCGCCGCTGCGGAGCTTCCGGCGCTCGAATACAAGAAGGCAGGAGCAAAGGGTCGACACTTTCTTGACTGGTATTCCGAAGCCACAAGCACCTTGAGGAAAAGCGGTTTTGATTTTGGCGCTCCCGAAAGCGCGAGCAACAATGACCTCCATGCGCGACTCAAGGCCGTCCGCCTTGATGCCAGAAACTGGGCAAAGCAGGAATCATTCAACCAAGTTGGGCCCAGTAGCCGGAAGAGCCAAGAGACGGCCACAGAGCCCTTATCCAAAGAAAAAACCAAGGGGAAAGGCAAATTGGACGAAAAGGTTGTCAAAGTCCATGACAGCGGGGTCAATGTCCTTGATCTCTTCAAGAAGGGGCAGTTGCTGGAGATGTACTCGTACCATCGTGTGGTCTACGATGAGTTCTCTTATGAGAACTTAAACGTCGCAGCTTTCCTTCAGTATGTTATCGCCTTCTCAAAATGGGTACTCTCGGGAACGTCCCCAGTCGGCACTCTCGGGCAGCTCTGCGACACCGCTACATTGTTGAACACTCATGTGGCTCGCGCTGCTCCCACACCAGGCTACTTTCCATATATCACGACTGGACCGAACCCACCCACATTGGTTAAAAGCGAAGATTTCTTGAGCTACCGCGACCCCAACTCTGCGCAACTTGCTCTTGAGCGCCACCATCAAGGACAACGCTTTGTCGTGCAATTCGTCAGGAAGAACCGGACATGTCTAGACGAGATTCCCACAAAAGTGATCATAGTTCTCGTCAATCCGACTCGTCACGAACAGCTGATATACATCGTCGTCCAGCAATCTCTCCAAGATGCCAAGTGGAATGTGAAGGAGCTGCCCGGGTACCTTGAGCAATTCGTTCAACGTCTCAAGGAACGCGAGAAGAATGCGGGCATTTTGGGAACACAGGTCAAGGGAGCTGGCAGATCATCCTTTTCGGAGGCCATCGATACATTGCTGATTCTCTCATCTGCGTCTGCGTCCTGCATCCGAGACCTGATGGAGGAGGTAGGCTGGATTCACCCAGACTATCCTCTTACGGGGAGCAGGATCCATGAAGGACTGGTGAAGCAGTCCATTGTGTACTTCAAGCGATGTTCAACAATCCTGTCATCACAGTTCGATCTGATGATGTATCTGGCGAACGTCATTGATGCGGACAGGACGGAACGCACGCTGAGTCGCCAGGAGAAGGAAAACGACTACAAGGCCCACATGCGAGACATCATCGCAATGTTCGCGAGCCACGATGGCAAAGCATTTGGCGATATGGAGTGCATGAACATCGTCAAGAACTTCATCCTTAACAAGCCTCACATGGGTCTCGACGGAAACACACATCAGGGCGACCTCTCCAACGTCTCATGGGACTTTGCAAACTGGCAGAGACAGAAGGGTGGACCCGGAAGGTATGACAGGTTCCACTGGTGGGCGGTAAACCCGGAAAAGGACTCCATCGACGCCGAAGAGTTGAAGGACCTGTCGCATCATCTTGGTGATGAAGATGATGATGTTTCCAATTCCAACACAGACGATCTCACCCGCAAGCTAGGCAAGCTGCGCATGACCCAAGAAGCCGACAACTTCAAGCTCATGGCCGACGCCATTGGCCTGAAGGGATCTTTGAGAGAAGAAGAAATGTCAGCCCGTATCGAGAGATATGTGGCTGGCAGAGCCAGCAAACACGACTTCGAATTCGGTGTCCAGCTTCCATCCCGGCTCCCAGCTAAGGGTACCCTCGAGAGCGCTCGTGGCAAGGATCTTGATGCCACTCTCAACTACTTCATCATGATCATTCAAAGCATTCAGGCTGGCATCAAGGTTACGCTGGAGGCTTACAGAAGGTTCCGATTCGCTTCCAAAGCCTCCAACATGATGGCAGGAAACTCCGCTGGCTTGCAGTGCTGGGCAAAGCTGTGCGACAAGTGTCACGTATCCGCCCCAGGCCTCGTGTATCTTTCAGCCGCCTGTGGCCATACGCTCTGTGAGTCTTGCCATGCAGATTACAGCTCATCCGAGGTCCTTTTATGCCCTGCTCGACCCAGCTGTGCTTGCGTGTCCCGCGGCACTTTCATCTCTGCTGCTAGGATCATTCCTCCCAGCGTCAAATCTACATTGGCGGAGCTTTCGAAGGAGCCTAGTGAGAAGATTTGGGAAATCCACTGCAGCATCACGGAAGCTGCTCTTCAGCGAGGGGAGAAAGTCCTGGTGTTTGCGACTTACAAGTCCATTAAGAACGACATGGCCAAGTTCTTCAAAGAGAGGAACGAATACGGTGTCTACATGACAGATGGCAGCAGCCAAGACTCCAAGACCATCGAGAACTTCAAATCTCACCAAGGAACTGCGGTGTTGATCCAAAGCCTCATGTCTTCGGAATCAGCTGGGACGAACCTGACTGAGGCGAACCACATCATGTTCGCGGGTGCTCTGTCCACCGACAAGGACAACTACGAGATGTATGTTCGTCAAGCCAAGGGAAGAGCTATTCGACAGGGCCAGACCAAGCCTGTGTACGTCTACCACTTCATCACCAGGGAGACGATAGAGTTCGACATCATCAACAGGAAGCACGGGGAAAAGATCTGCAACGCCGGCGCGGATGATCGTGTTCACCTCCCGCTTCCTGCGCAGATGACTCCTCACGACAACTACCCTTCGGCTTTCCGTCCTGCCTTGGATCGCACCGTGTCTTATAGGCTTCTCGGTTCTGTCGAGTTTGACGAGTTTGATTATTAGCGGACGATTGCGCTATTGGGGGGTTGGCCTCCAGTGAGACTACGAGAAGGGAATCGATGAGAGACATTGCTCAGCACAAATTGAAGCCATTACGAGCATCGAACCGTTGAGAAAGTCGAGTGTTGGGATTCGCGCCCACAGGAATTGGAGAGAGGGTTGAGATTTGGAATGGCTGGCCGGATGGAATTGGGTCTTTGTCAATACTGTTTGAGTACATCATCGGGCTGAGGATTTGGAGGCCGGAATTGTATGAGTGTCACGGATTCGGATATGGAAATGTTCTTAAGAAAGAAGTGTTGGCGAGAAAAACCAAACAGAAGAGTAAAAGTCAAAAAAGCAGTCATCAGTGGTCTGTCCTGTGAATCTCGTGAGCGGTATTTTGGTGCCTCGGTTCAGGAGACTGTGCTGCGATACGATCCTCAATCCCACTGTGGCAGATATCACCGATGGGCGATCGCCTGTCTGCCACAGCCGCGCGAGAACATTCACTTCGCAGCCACAAATAAGTTGTAAACTTGGAACCTCCCATGAATGATCATCAATCTGGCGGTAATTTCTATGCAACACCGTTTTCCCTGAGACAAGCCCCGACGCCACCGAGCCATCAAACATCCAAAAGCAAAAGAGACCCCCAGACATGCGTAAATGAGTACTCAAATCCCCGTCCGCCATCTTACAGCCTTCCTCTTCCCCTGTGACCCTCAAGACGCCCGAGTAGCAAAACTGCCCCCCTCACAGCTTCGCAATAACCGGCATCCTCTCCGGAACCTGCACCACGATCCCGGCCCCCTCGCCCGCAGCCTCAAACACGACTTCCTGGCAATCCTCGACGCCAACTCCGCTCGCGAACTGGTTCACGACAAAATCGATCGCCGTTCCCTGCGGCCCCAGTGCCACCATCGGCGCATGCCACGTCCCGGCCCCATACGTCACAGCCTGCCCGGGGCTCGCCACGAACGCCTTCAGCCCCTTCAGATCCGGTAATCCGCGGCCGCGGCCTCCACTCTGCGGGGCGGGCAGGTTCTCTGTGGTTCCCGTCTCCGGCAACGTCGGCGCCACGATGACCAGGTACGCCGCGCCCGCCACCCCGCCGGCTGCCGCGAAGGGGACGAAGGTCTGCGTGGTGAAGGGGTGACGCTCGAGGACCTCCACGCGGAAGCGCCCACCGCGGGACGAGGGCCCCGCGTAGGTGTACGGCAGGAGGGTTGAGATGGGCGGCGTCGGCGGCGGGGCGGCGGGCTCGAGGGCGCGGGCGGCGCAGGAGAAGATGCTGACGATGGGCTTGCCGGACTTCGATGGGGCCTGCGGGTAGAGGTTGAGAGGGGTGGAGACGTTCTGGTACTTGATCGCGGTGCCCTGGTTCGCGGAGACGGCGGCGTGGGAGAGGTTCGGCGGGAGGGAGGCGGAGGGGCGGATGTCCGGGTGAGGGTTCTCGATTACGTCGCCGAAGGGGGAGAAGGCGTGCGCGGTGAGGGGTTCGGCGGGGATGAGGAGGGTTAGAGGGGTCGTGAGCGTGGTTGGCATGGCTCCTGTCGTGTGAAGAACGAGATATGGGTGTTTCGGGTTCCAATTGGGGTGGTATGAGGTGAGTTAAGGGTGAGATCGTGCTTGGTGGCTGTTTGGTGAGGATGAGATCGGAGGTTGGATTTGAGTGAGTGAGAGAGCTTCATGAGCTTCTGAGGTGAGCTCGGCGGAGCTGTGTGGCATTGAGCTGCTGCCCGTTTTTGGATGTGGTCCGGGCGCCTTCCGGGCCTCGGCGCGGGTGGGTGATGGGCGCTGATAAGGACGCGGGGAGCGTTTCGTGGGGTCATTAACAGATGTCATCTGCGCCTATCAATTTGCTTTGGACCTTGCCCGCTGCAACGCATTGTCTCGGAGTCCCCAACTTCCAACGTTCTGCGGGGTGATATTTGTTTCTCCGAAGTGTTTACAAGGGAGAATGGAATAGGCTCCGGTAGTCGGCCTGGTTCAACTCAACCTCTCATGAGCGGGGCAGGGCAGTGGCATGAGCAATCCGAGGAGTGAGCCTGTGACACCGACGATGCTGAGTCGTGCCGGCATCAACGACGAGTGCTGTCATGGGTTGGGCCGAGTGACCTTCTTTCACCTGTCCAAACTCCCGGCTTCCAGCAGGGCATGGGTTCACGACGAAATCCCAAGTCGAGCACGATGAACGGGGGGTAATTTGCGTTGCATTTATTGTCTTCAAGAAGATGAAGTCCGAAATCACCTTGCGACGGAAGCTATTGCTTATCCGTCGTTCACTCCAGTCTGAGATCGATAGTCCGAATCCGAAGGAGGAGACGGATTTGGGGTGATATGCCAATGAACGACTCGTTGGCTCATCGATCGTTTCTGGGCCTTATTCCAAGAACTTTATCTCGTCTGATCTTGGGCTCAGCTGCACGGAGGTTTTGCCAAAGTGTTGGGGATTGAGTTCATGAGGACGCGGGGAAGCAGCCTCGGTCCGCGAGTCGACCTGCTGTGGTTTGAGCCAAGAGGAAGAAGGGATCCTCCGAGCTCATTCACCTCGAAACGGATGAGGCTTGTCTGGTAGACTACAAGCCTTCAGATACCACCTTCGTTAAGAGCTTTCTGAAGATGCTCTATAGGAATTCTTGGCTTAATTCGACAGGTAGGAGGCACCGCCCAAATATCATACGACATGATGCCTACAACCATGCCTGATGAGCGTTCCTTGTTGGAAAATTTGCGAATCGAGCAAGTCTTCCGGCCCATATTATAGATCCGGGCTTTTCCAACTGCATGTGGACAAAAGAAACCGGGGGCATACAATCTCACGAAACAACAGCTTCTCTGGCCGCAGAAGCCGGCGCAGTGGAGGCAGTGGTTGTCGCCGGTGCCGCCCCCTCTTCTTCTCCGGCAACTCTGCGGATAATCTGCTCAAAAACACCAAACCTCAGACTCACAATGCCATCGTGGTCTGATTTCGGGACCACACAGCTCTTGTACTCGATTCTGTCCCCCCTCTTCTCCTCCGTCCAACACTTGTCAAAGTATTCCGGCCCTTTGCCAGTTCCGATCAACGCATCCGACTCCGCAAAGAAGATTTCCACTCGGAGCTTCTTGTCTGCGTTGAGTTCCCTCTCCTTCTCCGCCAAGAGTGGCACAAACTGATCATGGTCGTTCCATTCTCCCCAAAACCCCTCGTGCCCGGTTCTCTTCAGAAGCAGACGGGCATCCTGTCCGAGTCCTTCCACGTTCTCTGAGTACACCCTGTCGATGAGCTGCTTCCAGATCTTCTGCTCGAACTCCGCAAGCCTCACGTCCACCCCGGGCGCCATGTACGCCCCTTTCCCCTGCAGACTGGGCAACATGTCGCTCACGGCACCGATCGCGGCGCCGCTGAACCCAATAGCGGGAGCCAGGTTCCGGTTGATGAAGCCAGCGACCTTGTCGAGCGCGCCGACCATGCTCTCGGGCAGCACGCCCGCCGCCGTCAGCAGCGGGGCGCCGGAGTGCGAGGTGTGCACCCACGGCGTGATGATGGCGACGTACGGACGCGCCGGTGAGAGGAGGTGTCGGAGGTACAGCAGCGTGTTGAGCGCGTAGATGGCGCCGCCGCTGTGGGCGGCCAGGCAGACGTGGCGGATGTTGAGGTGGGCGAGGAGGGCGGGGACGATGGTGACCCAGGCGCGGACGCGGTCTCCGGGGTTGGGCACGGGGGTGGTGCCGCCGAAGCCCGGCCGGTCGATGTCGATTATGCGGACCTTGTGTCGCTTGGCGAGACTGTCTTTTGCGATATGGAGATAGCGGCTTCGGTTGGTTCGGTGAGTGAGATGTGAGACAGAGCGCTGATTGTGATGCTTGCTTACCTGCCTAGGAGGCCGCTGCACCAGAGCAGAACATTCTCGCGGTCTGGGTGTTCTGCGTCCCGGAAGCCGTAGTCGCTGTACGTGACTTTGAAATCGGGTGGCAATGAGGGGTCTGCTGGGAGGGTGAAGGACTGATGAAAGCGGGGGTCACTGAGGTATTCTGCTGCGTCTGGGAAGACTTGCTCTTCTTGGGTGGTTGTTGAAGCCATTCTAACTTATCAATTTGGCTGATGATTGAGGCGTGATTGAGTTTCGGTCGCAGAACCAAGTTCTGAGATGCTTTTCTCCTCTGCCCGGTGATTTGATGACGTGGAATGGTTCATCCTCCTCTTACCGCTTGCGCAGTTCGCCGCGAAGGATTCGGTAGTGCGGCAGTAACGCGTTGGGGTGCGGGAAAAGTTTAGTGCTTACGGCTATGATCTGCATCATTGTTGTTGCCTCAATGCTTCTTTTTGATTTGTGTCGAAAAGCTAACTCGGATATCTGGTTCTGAATATTCAAGCAATGAGGCGACGACATGTCAAGCCCGATGCAAATGTTTTGCTGCCAAGATATGAGGAAATGAGTGACCGGACCTCCAATCGATTAAGTCAGACATTTGCTCAATGTCACCACAATTGTTCTCATAGTAGAAGCTCACGATGTTCTCACCAGAAAGAGCTGTGAGACTCTCACGATCTCACTTCCAATACATGAGAAAGGAAGCTGTCTATCAGCGAAGTCTCACGCCGAACTTACACCAAGTCACGTTTCTGCCACTCAATCTCGTTCAATTACCACTATTTTGAGCTTGTTTTCACTCGACTTCTCAAAACTTGCAACCTGTGCCCTTTCCCGATGGTCTGAAGCATGCAATATAAGCTGCCCTGAGTCCCTGATGAGCAGGTAGTGCTTTTTACAACGTACGTTACAGTTTCTCCAAGACCCAACATCATAAGATAAAAGTTCCTGCTACATTCAATTTCACATGAAAAATGCGGAAGTCACTCATTCTCACCACCTCGATCCTCTTGGCCTCTGTGGCGTGTGCTGCTCCAGTCAATACTGAGAGCGATGGAGTCGACAGCAGCATCCCCTCAGGCGAGGATGTTGATATCGTGAATACGGATCTCCTCGGGGCTGTCCTTGACGCCTATTATCTTAAAGCATCCACCGTTAACATCAGAGGCACCATGAAGGACGTCGATCTAATGCTGGCGAATACGAACATCGACTCCGACGAGACCTCTGGCGACATCCCTGAAACTGATCCGGCGGTGGACACCTTGGAAATGGATACTGCTGAAGCTCCTGAGCTCTCTGAGCTTGTTCAACTGCTTGAGCTCGAGGACGTCGACACTTCATCATTCGATACTTCAGTCCTCGAGGACACTGCCGACGGCGTCGTTCCATCCAAACGCCAAGTTGAGGTCCCTTAGATCAAGCCTTTGCTGATGAAGAAGTTCCGGTCATTGCAGATGAGCCGAAGACCGAGGAGGAATAAGGCAACACCAGAGAAGCAGGCCAAGTTTCACAAGGAGTTGGCTATGATGGAGCGCGACGGCGTCGTTAAGATGGAGCTGCAGGGTTGAATGAGAGGGACGAAATGAGGCTGGCACAATTTCTGTTCAATTCTTGTTGCCACTGCGTGGCACTAATTCAGCATAATGAAACCAATGAACCCATTAGGCCTTGAAGATATCCTGGCGACTTCTGCCATCCAGAGCATCTCCTACCCGCTTGCTTGGGCATCATGGATGTCGCTCGAATGAGGAATTACAGGGGGCTTTCAGCTGTGACGAGCCCTAGCAGCTGAAACCTTTGCAACCTACCCAGGTAGGTACCGAAGGTAAGGCAAGGTAGATCAACCACCATCAGATTCCCTTCGCTAGATCAATCGAGACACTCACTGCGCGCAAGTTTCCTGATGGGGACGTGGATGTCACATTTTTGATGTCAGGCCACCTTAGTACCATCGTTTGTAGTCAATAGCGGCAGTCGACAACGAGGCAATAGAGCATCGCGACTGGTCTAAAACCGCCCATGCACTAACAGTTCAGCTCTCCCCAATCACTGCCTTATTCCTCTTTGGTACCGATTTGACTGAATACAACACCAATCTCAAACCACCATATGTCTCAAGTTCTCGAGGTAATGGCACAATCTAGCTGACTTTGGGCACGACCTCAGCTCCGTCGCCGCATCCAACACGAAACAATATCACATTCAGCTGGCCAAAGAACCTGTGTTCGCGGAGAGGCCGAAAGGTCTATTCGAAATCGCTGTCCAAAGGGTGTGAGCTACGTTAGGCGAGCTCGATCTCGAGGCATGGCTTGATGCATCATTCTCTTCTGGATAACAGTGAAAATCGATGATGATGATCCAATGTCAGTACTGAGATGTTGAAACTGGGTATACCAAACCTACAGACCTTTCGTAGACTCCAAACCTCGACCAGACGTCTCGGATACTTGCATCGCAAAACATATATAAGGTCTCTGACATACCTCTTATTGACCAGATTACACTCGCTCTCAGATGGCAGTCAAGATATTTCAGTCTTTCAAGCTCAAATAGACCCAAAGAGCAGCCTCCTCTCTGATCTTTTCAACACACTACCACACCTCACACACACAAATGGCTCTACCACAGCGCCTCACCGGCCCTCACATCAAGCAAGTCCTCGGAACAACCACATCAGCCCTCGCCGTCTACCAGAACCGCATCAAAGTATCCACCTTCCTCGCCGACAAGCTCCAAGGCCGCAACGGCGTCCTCCTGGCCCTCACCGACGAGGCCAAGGCCCAGTTCGAGGACGACACCTCCCACTTCGCCCTCCTCTCGCTCGCGTACAACGGCTACGTGCAGACCTGGGAGCGGTACCGCCAGGTCTACGACCTCGACCCGGGCGTCTACGGGGAGGGCAGCACCATCTTCGGGCTGGACCGGTACGGCGGCGCCGGGGGCCGGGCGGCGTTCGAGGCCGATTACGGCCTTGCCATCGTCGACGTCTGGCAGAATTCGAACAGGGACTACTGGTTCGCGAGCATGTTGAGAAACGCGGTGGCGCATGGCTCGACGTATCAGGCTGCTGGGAGGGTGGGGTTGTATAACGTCAACCCGGATACGCGGCAGAAGACGTTCTCGATCACCATGTCCCAGTCCGATTTTGCCAAGTTGATCATGACTGCGTTGAGGGACTTCGTTCGGAATGTTGGACCGGTTGGGGGGTTGGCTCCTCTTTCTGATATGTTGGACTACTTGCTTTGAATGGGGGAACTTGAACTTAAGTATAGTTGATTCAATGGCGATGAGTTGCAGTCGACGTTTCCGTACCAGTAAATTCACAACCTCTCTGACCAAGCTTCATTCTTGCCAAGTCAAGAATGACTGCCGTCACAAAGCGGCAGCGAGCACCATCGCGATGTGCGAGTGTTTATTTAAACAACGACATCCGGGTATCGAAAGCGATTCTGGTCCCAACATATCCAGGTTGGTTGGATGCAGAGGTTCGTTTGAGTGTCTGGTCCCTAAGTTGATTGCAGAGAACTCAGCGTGTGATAAGCCAGCCCAGGCAGTGTAAGTGCCACACGCCTCGCGAAAGGCTGTCATCTCTCATCACCCACCCTCATCGTCGTTCGTCTTGGAATCATCGCATTCGAATACATCCAAGCAAACAACATAGCCGATAGCAAGTCATCCTTACCGCCCGCCCGCCAGCATGTGTGTCGCCAGCACCAGAAACCGGCAGCCGTGTCTTCGCAGACGTTTCGAATGGAGCACGATTTCATGATGGATGACGAGCTGCCCATTCCAGAGCCTGAGGAGAAACAGGGCCAGCACTGTTGGTCCCTTTTCATCGTCTCTCGGATTATTTCATAGCCGCTTCTATGTGACCCACGTGATGAATCCGCTGAACAGTGTACGGCGTTAGACAACGGCATGTCGACATTGTTGAAAGTCTGGCTCTTTCTCTGCAATCGCCAGTTTCGATGTCATGCTGGATTCCCGAAGCCTCCGCAATACCTCCAGGTTGATCACATTGCTGAGATATGAACTTACGCAGCCCAACGCATCGCTCGTCATCCAAGGTCACCGACCTCCTTTCCGTATTTACCCAGCAATACGACGGCATAGTAATGATGAAGCCCGGCTAGTTCCAGACTGCAAGTCTAGCTATAAGCCTTACTTTTAGCTCAGGAATCTTCAGTTCTGTGGTAGCAGCACTCGATCTGATTCTGTCTTGTCGCGCTGACCATTCTCTGTCGGGAGGCGTCTTTTTATACATCTAACATCAGACATCGATGTCGAAGACCTTAAGCGCCTCGTCCAGAGTATGTAGAGTCCACATCCATTCAGATCAAGGCCAACAGCTGCTGCTGCAACAACATCCAGAATGCATACCCCAAGCGCCTGGTAAACATCCCAGCCGCGAGTTGCGCCTACCCACTTGTGAGCAAGAAAGGACTATGAAAACCGCGTGTAAATCGAACGGTAACTTTTTTTTCCCATCCGGGCCGGCAATCGAGTCAGCTCTTGCGAATCATTCGCTATATTTTGTGTGGCGATGAACTCAACCAAGCCCCGTAAGAAACCCCCACCTCAACATGAAGTCTCTCCAAAGGCAAAGCTGTTGGTGTTGCGATACCATCCTCTGGCCATCAACGCCGTCCTCCGAGTATCCATCCGTGATACCGCAGTGATGACGCGATCTATCCGTCGAAAGCACAAAACCCAAGGCTCAGTGCGTACGTCATAATGGGCGACAGTCCGAGATCGTACCGCGTTTGCTACCACCAGTTCGAAGCTGGCTATCACCAGTCACCCCTTACAATGGTGTTCTCTTGAAATTCAGGAGGCCGGTCGCTCTTAAAACTCTCAAAATAGTGGCCGCTTGAAGCTGACAGCCTCAACCAGATTTAGGTCCACTAAACATCGACGACACCGTGAAAAGCAACTGGGCTCACACAATTCACACGAATTGAGCGCCAGACATAGTTGTGACCCATGGCAATTATTATTGACACGTTTTCCGCCCCCTCAGGAGCATGCTCTAAGTATCTACCCATTCCCAAACCTCCCGTCACATCCATCATTTGTACAAAGAACCGGAGCCCCGATCCTGTTCGTGGACCGAGGGTAGAGTAAGAAAAAGGTCTAGTCGCTCTGAAATGCCCAAGACGGGAGGAAAGAAAAAAGAAAGAAAGACAAAAAGGTGTCATAATGGAACAGATAGAAAGAACAGTGGTATGTTTTGAAATGCCATACCCGTGGGCGGGATGAAGAATACAATCATCGCCCAACAGGCGGAAAGCAAACTGACAAGAACGCCTAGCTCCTACGGCGACCGTCGCGCCGAATTCCCCATTTTCTTCCTACCGGCATCGCATACGGATGCACAATACGCTTCGGTGAAGACCATAGCCTGGGAGAGGGGTTGGTGCCATTTCGTTACTCCGACCAGTCTCGTGACCAGACTCCAGGAATCCCTTTCATGGACGTCTAGTGTTGTCGCTTTGACTGTTGATATTCCGCTCCAGCCAGATGTTTTGCCCTCATGATCGTGGAGCCCTGTCGAAGCAAGTCTTGTTCGTACATCATACACCATCGTTGCGTGAGCTCGTTCAGCCGTAGAACAGCTCAAACTTAGTCTTGAAGCCCTTCTCTGTCGGCTTGACCTCCTTGATTGGGTGAAGAATCATCGGCGGCAAGCAGGGACGGCCGTGTGTCCGCTCCCATTCCTTGCCTCCATACGAGGTGTCCTCGTATCCAATCCAGTTGTTGTACAGCCTCGCGGGAGGCTCAGCGCGGTAGTACCAGGTCATGCCCTGGTATCTACGCTCTCTGCCCCAGCCCATGGGGCTTCCCTCGCCACCGCTCTCACCACGGGGACCAGGGTTGAACCACTTGGCGAGGAAGGTGCCGTTCCACGGGCGGTCGAACCAGGTGGGGTGGGGGGCAAAGACGGTCTTGAAGCCGTGAAGGAGGGCAACGGTCTGAGGCGTCATTTCGGAAGCAATGTGGTTCCCGCGGAGGTTCTCTACGTGCATGATGTCCAACAAGCGCTTCGAAACACGAGATTGGGTGACGATGGTGGTGCGGCGGGGGAGGGTCTTCGCGGGGTCGGGGTGCTCCTCGTCTCTGTAACCCCAGATGTGGTCGGAGATGATCCAGCTGCTGTTGATAGGGTTGAAGATAGGGCCAACAGTGATCATATCCGCATCCTCACCAACTCCCCACTTGTAGGGGTCCTTCTCGGGGTTCTCGACGGGAGGCTTGGGACCGACAGGGTTGATGAAGCCGCGCTTGGGGGGACCCCAGACCTGGTTGCCGCGGGTGCGCTTCTCAACGTCCTTGCGGAAGTCGTTGTCGTAGTCACCGTGGTAGTCGGGGATGTAGTAGCGCTCGTTGCGTTCCCAGAGACCTCTGCGAGGCTGCTTCTTGGAGAACTCGTCAAGACGCTTCAGGAAATCGTAATGGTGGCCGACGATGCGGGCATCCATTTCCCAGTTCCAGATGAAGTCAAACTCGGGATGGTCCTGGCTGAACTTTTGGACAGAAAGCCATTGAGCGGAGTGTACGCTTCTCTCGTTGTCGTCGGTGAGAGCGGTGTAAATATCCCAGACAGCCTTATCATTCCACAACTTCGTGATGCCGTGGAACTCGAGGGGCACGTGCTCGTTGAGGACGTACTGGTAGGTCGCCTCGTCGTTCAAAATGTCGAGCTCCTGTTCTCGGACGTGCAGCAGCAGGAAAACCTGGAATTCACCGCCGGATCGGAGAGAAAGCTCGGAAATGAGGGCGCGGATGACCTGCTTGTCGTTCTCGCTGTACTTCTTTCCGGTGTAAGATCGCAGCAGAACGGCGGTTCGGGAATCGGCCTTCTTCGCCTTGGGTTCCTTCGACTTGGTGAAACCGCGCTTCTCGAGCTCTTCGTCAACCTCCTTGCCGTACTTCTCGGCGATGTCGGCATAGGCTGTCTTGATGTACTCGTTGGGCTTGCCCTCGTCGAATCTAGCAGCGTTTCTCTCGATGCACTTCTCCTGCAGATCACCCCAGTTGATATTGTCCCAATCAATGCGAAGGCCGGCCTTGCTGAGCTGGGGAAGCAAGCCGTAGGGTCCCAGACGAGTCTCGCGCTCGTAGCAAATGTTGCCGTCCATGTTCATAACATCGAAGCCGCCGAAGCCAGTGGCGGGGAACTTCTGGGGCTGGCCCTTGAAGACCAAGAGGTCCTCAACGACCTCGCCGGTCGCTCCAATGCATGGCACATACGGGGCGCGGTGCGTCTTGTTCCATTCCTCGCCGTTGTATTCGGGGTACGGGTTGTAGGCAACGGGTCGCAGGTTCGTGTAGGCGACGTCCTGGGCGCCAACATCGCGGAGAGCGGCAGCGTGCTCGGCGGTTCGGTTGTCCTTGTTGGTCAATGAATTGAGCGTGTTGCCGTAGATGTAGTCATTCCCGGGAAGCCTAGTAAAGTTTAACCGGAGTCAGTTCATGCCAACGTGCGTGACAGTTGACGTTTCCGCCGTCTGCCGGCGGGAAGTTTTCAGCACATACCTCTTGGCGGCTTCGTACTCAGCCGCGAACTCATCTCGGAGGGCCTGTTCGTACTTTTCTCTCTCCTGCTTCAACCTCTCCTCTTCCTGTCTCTGCTTCTCCTCCTCTTGCTTCTTCTCCTCGTCCGACTTGGGAGGCTCGGCGGGCTTCACAGGCTGCTCGGGAGCCTTATCGGCGGCAGGAGGAGGGGCAGCGACGCCATCGTGGTTCCACGGCACGACGTGGTATCCCGCGGGCGCGCCGCGGGTGGCAAGGAAGTAGACGGAGACAACGGCGAGGGCGAGGAAGAGCAACGTCTTGGGACGGGCTCTCGGGGCGACGAAGCCTGTTGACGACTGCTTGAGCATTGTCATCATGGCTTTGGCGGTCGCGGCGGCAGCGGCAGCGACTGAATTATTAAAAGGCGCAGTGGTCTGAAACTGTGATGTAGCTATCAGACGGTGGCGGCGGTTAGGTGACGGTAGGATGGTGCCTCGGCGCTAGAGAGGCATACTGCGACGACGCACAGTTGGGACCAAAGGAAGGACGGGCGAACAACGATGGAGCGCGCACGCGAAGAGAAGAAGTGTCGGAAAGGCGATTGTTGGTCTTCGCGGAAACCCAATCGACAAACCGGTTTACAGCAGCGTGGTCGAGCGGGACCGGCGACTGGGGGGGCTTGGCGAAATTGGATAAGGCTTGTTGATTTAAAAGAGTGGCACGGCTCCTATCAAAGAAGACCCTGTTCGATAGGTGTTTTTTCTTCCTTCTTCCTCGGTGGATGTGGGTGGACGACGACGTGCAAACTAGGTATGTCGCGGGAAGACAGAGAATGCTCCGCAAATCAGAGATGAGGTATCGAGGTGAAACGACGAGAATATCGACGAAACGAACAAAGAAGAAAAGTCTTGCTGAGATGACAGTTGGGAGGAAAGGAGTGGTGGTGAAAAAGGAGAGGGAAAGACGTTGCTGCTGGATGGAGACCAAAAAGGAGGGTCGACGTGAGCCAGGATAGGAAAGGACTGACGTTCAGGATAGGAGACGCAGGCTGCAGGCAGGAACACAGCACACATGCAGCCGATAGGTTCACACACGGCAGGAAGCAGGAAGCAGGAGGATCTTGGAAGAGGCAAGGTCTCCGCAGGGGATGTACACCTATTCGTACCTACTGCTGGCAACGCAACGCAACGTTCGAAAGGACCCTTACCGCAGTAACCGCAATTCGATTCGTCGGATCTATCGAGACTGGTGGAAACTGGTGCCCGTCTGTTTGTATTCCGAGGGGATACCTGCAGATAGAACACGTACCACTGCCACCACTGCCGGCGCGGCACTCGTCAAGAAGATGGAACTTCTTTACCCAAGGGCAGGTGCTAGAGTAACAAGTGGCCAAAGGGCCCAACTAATTTCCTAAGAAAGGAATGGCATCCAGGCGGGGGACTTCTGGCCTTGGCCCCCCTAAAAGAGGATTGGATGGGGGAGGCTGGACGTCTGGGACTCCGGCGTCCGGCAGTGATCAATCAATCCATCACACGCAAGACTCGCGCGGGCTGCGGGCGTGGAGACTCGAAAAGTCCAGGGTGACATTGTGTGATTTTGGTCGTTCGCTGCTGCTTTTGGCAGCGGAAGAGTGGAAAAAAAGGGGGGCCAAGTCTTTTTTTTCTGCTGACAAGCGCGAGTAGTGTTTTGGCCGCCATGTCAGCGATCAGTGGAGGCATCAATTTTAAGACTTAAGACGTGATTTTCAGGACGGGAAAACCAAGTCAAGGATTGCAGTTGGTAATGTCCGTCGGGGTCTTTTGCTGTTGCGCCGGCGCCCAGTAGAAACTGAGACAAAGACAAGAAATGAGCCGCGTCTTGGTCGTCGGGCCGTTGGAAGAGTCTTGAAACCAACCACGACATTCTTAATGAGCCTCCAGCCAAAAGCAAATTCAAAGACATCTCGGTGATTGGCAACTGCGACTTGAACTCCCCTGACTACTTCTTACCTAGCTTCGACCCTGTTGCTGTGTCACCAATGGAACCCACGCTTTGTCTCACTGCCGCTGCTCTAACCTGTGGCTAGCGCCTTATCGTGGAAGGCACCCAGTACGTACCCCAGTCGCTGCTGAGGTAATGTAGATGCCTAGTTCTTGCCTGCTCAGGATCACCACCATCGTTGGTTGCGGATTGCGGCGGTATGGTCAGATCAGTAGCACTCTTTCAACATCCGACTTCGTCGTCGAGTCCGTGATTGGCAGCTCGTCCTCCCGACGCATCGTGCTCTCTGGAGAGCACGGACACGCCGCAGCCGCTTGACAACAGCGTGACGATGGCGCTGGCAGACCTCTACACCTCGATCCCGCTCCTACCAGGCTCGAGGTCGATTCGCGTGCTCGAGATTGAGAAGCCGTGGGATTGCGATCCTCAAAGCCCCATCAACGGCAACCTTCGAATTATCAAGCTAGATGATCAGCCCCGGTTCACCGCTCTCTCCTACGTCTGGGGCACATTTACTTCTCCACCGGAAACGATTTCGATCGGAAATCACGCCGTTCCAGTGTCGTCAAATTGCTGGTCTGCATTATCGCATCTCAGGGCGCATTTCGGGGCCATCACCGTCTGGATAGACGCCATTTGTATCAATCAGGACGACACTAAAGAGAAAGAAGACCAGCTGCCGTTGATGGGTGACATCTACTCCCTGGCCGCCACTGTCTACATCTGGCTGGGAGAAGGCACCCCGGAATCCGATCAAGCCATCGATTACCTATCTGTGGCGGGATTTCAGACATACCTACCTGCGACTGAAGAATTAGATCCCGTCGTTCATTGCGGGCAAACCACGTGCTGGAGGCTTGCCATGAAGATATTATTCAAAAATGGGCTGGAGCTAACACGCCACCTGCGCACACACGGTATGTTTATCCCGGAGCCTTTCCTCGTTATTATCCGGCCAGTCTAAACTATTTTCCAGGGACTCGAGATTTGTCGAAAGGCCTCAGCCAAAAATGGACCTTCTCCCTTCCTGATAGCTGGGTATCACATGTCATCCTCGATGATTTCTTTTCTCGAATTTGGATAAGTCGAGTCTGGACGCTGCAGGAGTTCCTTCTGGCACGAAACCCCGTCATCTGCTGCGGAACAAAAACCCTGCCATGGAAGTACCTCGCTCGAAGCCTTCTCTTTATGGAACTGTCTAGCACAAACTTTTCCATTCAAATTTCGGAAGCGACCACCTTCAAATGGGTAGGATTGGCGCTAATATGGTTTTCTCTTCGACAGCCAGACTCATGGCGTGAGCAGACATCTCTCACGACCGGTCTTCCGGCATATGCTGCCTTCATCAACAGAATCATGGCCCATTACCGCCGCATTTATTGGTCCATTCTTGTCACTTTCCTTGGCATTCTCGTTGGAAGCACAGCCATGGCATTTGTTATCGAGCCCAATTCGATGGAAGTAAAGGCATTCCGGTTTATCCCAGCAGTGACCGTGCTAGTTTTCGCCGGGCTCTCCTTCAGCATTCCTTTTAGCTTCGGAAAAAGCGACCAACTTCAAATGGAAGGCAGGATCAATGCTGTCGAAGCTATCATCCAAGAGATCCGGACTCGAAAGGCCACAAATCCAAAAGACAAGTCATACGGCGTGCATGCCATTCTCCAGACGCTGGGGCTTTCGCTCACTGCCCCCGACTATTCGAGGGACCTCGGTGAGATACACAAAGAGCTATTTCTCAAGCTGTTGTCTTGGACGAAGTCACTGAACCTACTACTTTGCGCAAATGGCCCCCGAGAAGACGGCCAGCCCTCGTGGGTGCCGGACTGGCGGCTCGATAGCGACAAGATGTGGCTCAAACCCTCGCAGCTCTTTGGACGAGCAAGGAACAACGCGACCCCGGACTCTGATCCGTGGTGGTCAAATCGCGACGAGAACAAGCTTGTCGTACGCGGCCGCAAGATCAATCACGTCGACTGGTGCGGCAGACCCTTCCAGCCAGTATCCGAGACATATGATGAGAACGAAAGGGCAGCCCACATTCACAACATTACCTTGACGCGAGATCAGTACCGCGCTCATCTTGTGAGAACGAACCCAGGCGCTACCTTTGGAGACACATGCCTCCGCAGAAGCCATTACCTCGACACGAAAGACGATCCCTCCCACGTCTTCCTGGCCGAAGAGCACCTCTGGTGGACTTGGGATCGCATCATTCAGCGCGTAGACACCATGACGCCCTCCGATGTTGTGGAGCGCATGTTATCCATCCCTCGGCTGATGGAATTTCACGCCAGCCTATGCAACGGACTCGCCAACAAGTCAAGGACCGTGTTCGTTACAGCTCCTCACCCGCTGGCCGTGGGAAATTGTCCTGTTGGAACACAGGTCGGGGACGTGATTGCGCTCGTCTCGGGAGTCCCAATGCCCCTTGTGTTGCGCGAGGTTGCAGAAAGTGGCGATTACCAACTTATCGGGTTTGCTGTCGTCGAGGCGATGACACGCGGGCTGGCGTGGAAGGATGCTCACGAAGATGACTTGGAGGAAATTCTTCTGTGTTGAGCAGGTGAAAATGAGAGAAGCGGCTTCCTCAAAGTAGCCCTTGAAGTGTTGAAAGATGGACGACTCCGGCATGCTTTCACGAACGGCAACTTGGGCCTGAGTTAAGACAGCGAGAACACTAACCGAATCCGGCCGAGAACACTCGCTAAACCCCACAGACAGCCGACGACATTCGACATCGGTGGCGTTCCCGCCATTCGCAATATGACGCCAAAACACGCGCCCTGGTACCCCTGTCGATCGCGACAGGAAGTACCGAAGCGCCAGATTCTTCAGGGCGAGATGCATATTGCCTGGCCGTCTACCTTTTCAAGGCGTGATGATTTCTCAAATGGAAAGCCCTGCAGCCGGAAAAGCACAAGAGGCTCCAATATCGCGAGTCGTGCTCTCGACATATTAATCTATTCAGCTGCCTGGAAATGAGTCGTAGAAGATCGCCCACGGCTGATCACCCGATTCCAGAAGGTTACATGAAGAACTATGTTAAACCAAAAACGGGTCAAGCCCGTATTACACGGACGACAAGCATCTGACTCTCAGCACTGACAGAAGCCGCCTGGCGAAAACTTCACGCAGACAGCTGTGTGAAATCCCGTCGGCGGCAAACACACGGACACCCGCAGTTGACAGTGCTTGACTTCTGCCTCGCATATACCTCGTTACCGCAGGCACCCCGCGCGTACGATCTCGGATAGAGTCCCTTCCCGTTGGTAGTACCATCGCAACTCGTCTTATCTTGCTTTCCTGATGTCCTTTGACCTGCCTCGATGAGAGTCGGGCCAAGACGGCGAGACCAAGGTCACTGGCAGCGTCACTCGAGCAACGTCGCACAAGGAGAACGCCTTCAAGGACGCCACCAAACAAGCTACCGCCGCCGACGTCTCCAAGACCTTCCAATGAAGAAATTCTTATCTTCAGACATGAGACATGCTCACTAAAACCGGCCCGGAGTCCCTCTCGAAAAGAAAGACCGGAATACAATCATGTGAAGGAGAATATCTTGGATCCTCGCATACTCAACACCATCAAAATGTCTACATCTGAAGCAAGGAAAGCCAAACATCGCACCACCGCATCTACCCGCGTATCACTCCTCCAGGTTCATCCAGAACAGTCTTCCCGTCCCAACTTTTACCCATTCTATTTCCGTCGACACACGGCGACTCGAACAAATGGCAAAAAGAAGAAAAAAGGAAAATCCACCCCACGAACCATCTCATTCTGAAACCTGGCCAACCGGCCAATCACAACAAATCGCCGCCCATCCTCCCCAGGGGTGCTCCCCTGGATCTCTGCCACCCAACACCCCATCGGCCTTCCGCAGCGCTCAAACTCGGTCGCGGTTCGTCCGTCCGCATGCGGCCAGCAGGACGACTCGTCACTCGCAGCGAAAAGATCTGTCCACCCGTCGTCAAGACACGACGCTGACCACTCTCCATGAAACAACCTCTGTGGACCGCCGTATAGAGTGCTTCGGTTACGGTAACGTACGCGCTTGGCCAGAAAGACGAACACGACCTTTGTCAGCAAAACGTCACCACCAAAAAATGCCACCAGCCGTGTGAACAGACAGTGAACACGACACTTGTCCATTCAGCCAGCAGGCAATATCAAACTGTCATGGAAATCGGCCCGCGGAAATTGCCAAAGGGTGGTGATCGTCCCCTATTTTCCGCCCATAGTGAAAACTCCCGCCGAGCGGGAAGCAGAAGAACGAGAGTTAGAGAGCGGGGTGGCTCCTATAAAAAAGCCTAGGGTAGCTCCTATAAAAAAGTATCTACTTATAGTATTAATTAGGCTAAAACTCTATTTTACTTATTATTTACTCTATTATTATTACTATATAGCTATATTTACCTTTATATTTTAACCCTTATTTCTCTCTCTTTTTATTAATCTTTTTTTAAAATATTAATAGCTAATAAGGTATTAAGAATAATATTTCTATATATAATATAGCTTAATATATTAAAGTAACTAACTAAATAGTATTTATCTTAATAAGTATTATTATATATATAATAATATATATTTAATAGAGTTTTATAACTTAACTAAATAATAACTTAAATAATAATAATATTATTATCTTAAAGCTATATATTATAGAGGAGAAGCTAAATTAAATTACTTTTAAAATAATAAAGCCTTTAAAGTATAATACTAGAATAGGACTAGGATAAGCCCTATGCGCCCATACCTACTTACGCCTATACGCGCCTACGCGCGCCTACGCCTATATATGCCCACACGTATATGCGTACAAGTATAGCTTCTATACGTATATATTTTTAGGTAGTAGTTTCCAATAGATATTAATATTACTACTAAGAACTAGTTCTACGCCTAGTATTACGCCTACTACTCTATACCTATTTTAATACCCTTATTATTAAAAAAGACTTTAAAATAATATTTATTTTATTTAGCTATAGCTTTAAGGTTATAGCTATTTTAAAAGTTCTTATAAAGGGCTTAAATTATTATTACTATAGAGGTAATAAGTACTATCTTAAAGGAGATAATAAGTAAAGAAGCTTAAAAAAGAGGGATAAAAGAGAAAGTATTAAATTAGCTATATTATATTCTTCTATCTATTTATAAAGCTATAGAAAATTTCTCCTAAATATTCTAAGAGCTTAAATAGATCTTAATATTAATAAGATCTACCCTTAAGCTAAATAGATTTATTTTATTACTCTTATATAAAATCCTAACTTATACCTCTTAAATTTAATATATCTCTTTAGAGATAATTATTATCTAAAAATAGATATTCTTAACCTTATAAGTAATTTATAAATAGCTTTATAGTCTTATTAAATAAATAGTATATATTATTTTATTACTCCCTTTATAGCTAAATAGGTTTTAAATAGTTATATATAAATAAGAAAATTTTATAGATAGCTTATATAGTATTTATAACTCTCTTAAATTTTCTAATTAACTTATTATATTATACTATTTATATTATTATAATACTAATAAAATAATTCTATTCTATAAGCTCTTTATAAATTTTTTTTCTTTTTTTCTTTAGACTTTTAAAGTATTATTACTATATATATACCCTTTTTATTATATAAAAGTATTATTTAGATTTTCTAATTACTAATAGAGTAATAACCTTTATTATATAGATATCTTTATAAAATTCTTTCTCTAATACTATTTTATTTAACTCTTTATTAATTTTTTTATTTTTTATCTTTAGTCTTTATAAATTTAGGTATTAAACTTATATACTTTATATTTAATACTTTAAGCTTTTTTCTCTTAGTATTTTTAACTCTAAAAGTAATATAGCTTCTTATAAAGCTAATCCTATTAGTAATTTCTAAGAGTAGAGAGTCTATAAAGACTCTATTAACCTTATATATATATAGTTTTTTTATTTTATTTTCCCTTTAAGCTTATTAACTTTCTACTTTTAATAGAGCGCTTTATCCTTAAGGGTATTAAAGAGCTTATTATCTCTAATATAGGCTTTAAGAGCTTTAATAAACCCCTTACCTCTAAAGAAGAGGAGAAAGAGTAAGAAGAGGCTTTTAAGCCTCTTAAGAGATATAGCTATCTTTATAAGAGTAATAAGTTTATTTTTATTAATAGCTATTCTATTTATAAAGCTAAAAAGAAAGTTAAAAAGGCTAAAAAGAAAAAAGCTAAAGAGGATATTATAAAAAAGAAGGCTACTTTTATTAAAAAAGGGGAGGCTATTTATAAATAGAATACTTATATTAAGGCTAAAGCTATTATAAAGAAGAAAGCTATTAAGATAGAAGCTTATATTAAAGTAAAAAAGAAAATTAATATAGCCTTTAAGAAGAAGTAAGATAATATATTTAAAATAGAAACTCCCTATAGCTTTAAAAAGTATTTATATTCCCTTAAGTTATCTTTTTTTATTAAAAAAAGTATTATTATTTAGATAATAATAATATTAAAGAGTATAACTTTTATTTTAGCTATTCTTCTTTTTTTATTAAAAATATCTTTAAGATTAATATCTACTATATAGGTTATTATAAGTATTATAACTATTACTTAAGTAATAAAAAGTATTAACTTAATATTAAGAAGACTATCTATCTCTATTAAAAGTTTATTAAGGTTTAAAGAAAAAAAGAAAAATAAAATATTTATTACTATAAGTTATATTATACTTTTAAGATTTATTAAATAGTTTATTAACTTATACTTTTTATTTAAATAATTAAAATTAAATATAATAAGCTTTATAATATTATTATATATACTAAAAGAGGCCTCCTTAATAATAATAAGGAGGTTATTATTATTAATACCCCCTCTATATTTACTTCTCTTACTTCTCTTATAGTTCTTTTTACTCCTATAGTTCTTTTTAGTTTCCTATTTACTATTTTTATATCTACTTTAGCTCCCTCTCCCTTCTATAGAGAACTAGCTCTTACTTTTAGCTTTAATACTCCTATAAGTAGTATATTTAGTAGCGCCTTAACTTTTAGTAGTTCCTCTCTTTTTAGTAGTATTAATCCCTTTATACTTAGCTATAGTACTCCCTTAGCTAGTATACCCTTTATATCCTTTTAGAGCTTTCTTTCTATTAGCCCTATTAGTCTTAAAGGTAGTATTATACTATTTAGTAGTATTATTAACTTTTACTACTAGCTTAATAAGCTCTTTATAAATATAGGAGTTAGTATTAACTTTATAGCTATTATTTTTATTACTTACTTTAATACCTATAAGGCTATTACTTATTATAGTAGCCCTTTTAGTTAGTAATTTTAGCCTTTAAGTAGTTTTAGTTTTATCTTTAATAGGCTTTAGCCTTAATAGAAAGGTTCTAGCGTTTTTAAGGGCTTTATACTTATAGATACCCTTAAATTAATAGGCCTTATACTTTAAATTAAGTATCTCTTTTTTACTTTTAAAACTTACTTTTATTTTTTTATAACCTCTTAAGCTTCTATTACTTTATATAAAGAGACTTTTAACCCTTTTATATAGTTAGG